TGGAATGAGATCTTTTAAGTAGTCGGCAGCAGCAGGCACTTGCCGTGGATGAGTGATCAAGGAGCAAAGATCCAGTGGGGGCTTCATGAGGTTATTTTCATGATGTGCCCAAATACTGCTGTTCATCCACACTGAGACCCTGTGTGTGGGGATTCTCAGAGGAGATAGAAATAACTTTACAGCTGCTCACCGAGATGGAGAGTGTGAAGAAAGATTTGAACAAGCCCACTGTGTACAGAAGCAAACTCAACTAAGTGGGGTTTTGATGTCGCAAGAGGGCTGTTTCAAACTGTGTAGTTTTGGGTCTTTAAAATTCTAAATAAATACAGTTAATATTTAAAATACCCTAATGTTTTAATATCCTGTTTTTACCCCCATATTGTGCAATCTTGTTGCGTTGCTGTCTGACCTTGTGTAAATAGTTGTTAAACTAATGTAGGAATATTACTCCCTGGGGAGACAATAAATTATTTTAGTTTGCAAGTTAAGCGTGCTCAGTTGGAAATGTCATTAGACTACTGCTTGTAAAATATAATCCATGCAAAAAAAATAAAAAATTATAACTCTTGCTAACTAAATAATTCATTTATAAATGTCAACTAATGGTTTGCAGGTTTTGGCTATAGTCGTTTGAGTCATTATAGGGAACACAGCAATTTCATAAATAAATAAAATAATATATATATATATATATAATAATAATAATAATAATAAATACATAAAAATAAATAATAAATAAATATAACATGATTTAACAGAGTAGAATATAGCCTATATTATTAGATCATATTGAAAATGTACATTTGAGAACATTTATTTAAACGTAAACAAATAAAATATAATACAAAATAGAAATGAAATAAATTAGCCGGAGCACCTTTTCCAATTACGTGAAATAATGGCCAATCAAAATGGAGTCCCGTAGGAAAACAAAGGCTGTGATTGGCTGAGACGCGGCCCCTGTTTTTAGGCGCCCCCCGTCCTGTCGGAGGGCTGGTGGTGAATGGAAGGGGCGCCTGGAAACTGCGGCCCAATGCACAGATTGAGAAGAACGAGGCTGAGGACTCCCGACCGACCGCTCTAGTGCAATGAAACGACGCTCCGTGAAGTCAAGCTGAAAACATGGGAATATTAGCCTACAACTTTTAAAAACTTTAGCGATTTTGTCTTGAAGGACTTTTATTAGACGCTGGAAGTTTTTTGCCCGCAGAGGGGATCTCTGGGTCGTGGATCACCGCTGCAGTGGGATTTGGAGTGAGAGTGGACTGCTTGGAGTCACTTACAAAGACCATCAAGAAGTCATGACACGACGGAGATTTCGCTTGGATTATTTTCTTTAAAACACAAGCAAAAGTTGACTGCAATTGTGTGAGTACTGCTTGTTGCAAACTGTGACCCCAATTTCGGGGAGAAGAGAGCTAATTTTTAAGCGTTTGCATCGTTTTCAGTTGTCCTACTTGGATCAAAGTTTTTCCTTCCCTCCCCCCTCCTCTTCGTCCTCAACTATGGCGGCCACTGCCTCTCTGTGTGTGCGGATCATGTGGTTACTGTGCGGATTGAGCCCTGTGATTTTAGCCCAGCATTACAACAGTGAATCGGGCATTTCAATTCCGGAACACGGCTTTTGTCAGCCCATCTCCATCCCCTTGTGCACCGACATTGCCTACAACCAGACCATCATGCCGAACCTTTTGGGGCACACTAACCAAGAAGACGCAGGACTAGAGGTGCATCAATTCTACCCACTAGTAAAAGTCCAATGCTCTGCAGATTTGAAGTTTTTCCTCTGCTCCATGTATGCCCCTGTTTGCACCGTTTTGGAGCAAGCAATCCCTCCGTGTCGGTCTCTGTGTGAACGCGCACGCCAGGGATGCGAAGCCCTCATGAATAAATTCGGTTTCCAGTGGCCCGAAAGACTGCGCTGCGAGGCTTTCCCTGTCCACGGCGCGGGGGAAATCTGCGTGGGTCAGAACACGTCGGAACCGAGTGGACCTTCATCCTCTTCCTCCTCTCCCTACGTGCCCGAGTCGGTCACCCTACCCCCCAACATCGTGCGATCAAACCAGCGCCCCCCACAGCACAACCAGTATCACCCGTTTGTCTGCCCTATCCAGCTGGATGTGCCACCCTATCTGGGCTACCGTTTCATGGGGGTCAAGGACTGTGGAGCACCGTGCGAGCCCAACAAGCCAGCTGGGATTATGTACTTCCGTGACGACGAGGTGAAATTTGGACGTCTCTGGGTGGGCATCTGGTCCATCTTGTGCTGAGTACTTTGTTCACAGTACTCACATATTTGGTGGACATGCGCCGGTTCCGTTACCCAGAGCGGCCCATAATCTTCCTCTCTGGCTGTTACTTCATGGTGGCTTTAGCTTATGCTGCTGGATTCTTTCTGGAGGACCAAGTTGTTTGCGTGGATAAGTTCAAGGACGAAGGCTATAGAACAGTAGCCCAGGGCACCAAAAAGGAGGGCTGCACTATTCTCTTCATGGTTCTGTACTTTTTCGGGATGGCCAGCTCTATTTGGTGGGTGATCCTGTCCCTCACATGGTTCCTATCTGCTGGTATGAAGTGGGGGCATGAGGCCATTGAAGCAAACTCCCAGTACTTCCACTTAGCCGCATGGGCAGTACCAGCTATCAAGACCATCACCATCCTCGCCATGGGGCAAGTGGACGGGGACGTTTTGACTGGTGTGTGTTTCGTGGGGATCTTCAACGTTGACGCCCTTCGTGGATTCGTCCTCGCCCCTCTGTTCGTCTACCTGTTCATCGGTACCTCCTTCCTGCTGGCTGGATTTGTGTCACTTTTCCGCATCAGAACCATCATGAAGCATGATGGAACCAAGACGGAGAAACTGGAGAAGCTCATGGTCCGAATTGGGGTCTTCAGCGTTCTCTACACTGTCCCAGCCACCATTGTGATTGCATGTTACTTCTATGAGCAGGCCTTCAGGGAGCATTGGGAGCGCACCTGGCATATGCAGAACTGTAAGCGCTTTGCAGTACAGTGTCCGGCGAACAACTTTGCCCCCATGACCCCCGACTTCACAGTGTTCATGATCAAATACTTGATGACCATGATAGTCGGCATCACCTCCGGGTTTTGGGTTTGGTCCGGTAAAACCCTCCAATCCTGGCGGAGATTCTACAAGCGCCTTAGCAATAGTAACCACGGCGAAACAACAGTGTGAACTATATAGACACTTTTTGAGAATGAGGTCAAATAGCTTTCATTTAAATCTGAACTCTTATTATTTTGTTGTGTTTTATATGTTGTGACAGCAATTAGAGCGTTCGGACAAACCCAAACTTAAATCAAGGTTAGAAGCGGATGCATTCAGGCCAATCATAATGCTGGTCCGTGGACTGTTTGAAAAAGTCGGACATGAAAAGTTACTATGAAGCCAGTTAGGTATTACTTATTTTTCTATGTCACAATATAGTTGAATGTTCTTTTATATATTCCAAACAAGAACGAGATTTTCTGGCACAAACAGCAAAAGGTCAAATGGCGTGACCTCAAGTTGGAGCAATAAGATCATGAAGACACCAGCCACACCCCTAAAGAACTGTGAATGCACACTTTAAACACATACGGTGGCTGCTTCAAATCTAAAAAAAAAACTTTATCGTCTGTTACAATTCTCTGAACGCAGCCCAAAGCAACAAATATTGACTTTTGCCATGTTGTGCCAAGCGTCGGACAAACCATTTCTTATTTTCATGTATTTTTGTAGTCCTCTCTGTATTTGAATGTTCACTCCGAAGGTGAATGAAGTTTTGTATTGGTTTGCACAGCTATGCTAACAGTTTTAAAGTGTTACAAATGACTGACCTGGATCTAACATGCAGGGACCACACACTCGCCCGCCCCTCTCCTCTCTCTCTTACTTTGCCTTTTATTCTTTGTAACTGAGACATAGCAGCTCATTGTTTATCCATGCGTGCTTGTGTGTGGTCCTTGGATCTCCATCTAAAAGCAGCAACCTTTTAAGGATTCAGCTAATCTGTAGGCAGCCAGGGTTTAATGTTATTCATTCTGGCAAAAGATGATTGTACTTCACCTACACTTGTAATCACCAAAGTTTTTTGTTAGTTCAAATGTTACAGCTGGTTCAGAAAGGTTTTATAAAGATTTAAATCAACATTTTTTAAACAAAGCCATTAAAACATCTAAATCTATGTCTGTGATCTGTACTTTTGGAGCCACTTGTGCTTGATACTTAAATTACAAAAACACTAGACAAGAAAGGTCAGAAGTCACTACCTTGAGGAATGTCGCTATTTGGAGCTAGGCAGACAGTTTTTTTTTTATCTTTGACCCTTGGAGACAGTAACGCAATTTATCAGCAGCACACAATCTGTCTAAAAGTTACGTCCAGCAGGCATTGCATTTCAAACTGGAATCCATTCATTTCATTTTCACTCGCCACAGCGATTTTACTGTAGCCTGGACTATTTGAGTTTAAAAGCTTGTTCTTTCAGCACATTTTTACCAGTGTCACTGATGGATGAAGTGGCGACAGAATTGTGTATGTTAGCCCAAAGCTACATGCTAAGAGTACAATATAGCATAGAGCAGTCCTTACTCAGAGCAGCTTGTTGATAATCCATGTCACACTGTTGCATGTGATGTATGACATACCTCAATCTATTGTTTAGTCTCCATTTTCAGGAGTCAACCATGGCTGTTCTTGTGTTTACCCAATAACAACTCGAGATGTGAGCAATATCCAATTATAAAGAAGGAAATGTCTGTTTAGTGGCGACATACGCAAACCACCTTGAGCAGACTTGTTTTTTAAATGAATAATGTATTTATGGGGATTTTGTTTTTGACTTTTTAAACTTTTTTTAATGATGTACTTGTACAGTTTGAATAAAAAGTCCTAAAGTTTTTAAATATGTTGTCTATTTTGTGGTTTGTTGTGAGTGTCAATAGCGCATGTTACCCTTAGGTGAGCAAATGACCCACATTATAGGCTCTATTTTATGACTAAACAAAGATTGTAAAAAGTGTCTATGGGATCTGGTAACTTAAACCTGAAGGAGAAATGCTGACACTTTTACGCTAGGTGAAGAAAGTAGGAAAAGTAAAGCACATATTGCTTAATTCCAAAACTGAATCAGAGTAGGGCAGCACTATTTTTAGAAAAACAATTGACAAATCTGACAAATACTGCAAGTGTCATTAGGTGTTTAGAAAGTAGGATTCTGTTCAGAGTGCACACTGTAAACAACTCATCGAGTATTAACATTTGAGAGAAGACTGAAATATGAACTGATAAACTAACAAGAATCTCATGTATTTCAGAACATCTCTGTGGATGTCTGAACTCTAGATACAAGATTTTTGTGTAAGACAGTGATTTGTTCTTCATAAACAATAGCAGCCTTAGATAAATGCAGAAGCTCAATTTTCACATATTGTGCAGCTCTAGTAAAATTGTAGTAATAAAAAGTAGTTTATTTTGGGTTTTATAAAAATGCAAATGTCAGTCTGGTGTTGGGAGTCTGTATTTAATGACTGCACTAACAAAACAGTGGGTCCTATAAGAAGTTACTGCTCCTGTCTCCATCCCTGAGGGGCCTTGAGTCACCACCTGTATTCAAAATGCAAAACTGCTAATAATGAACAAGACCCTTTGTAATGGATGCTGTAAAATAAAACTTTCCATTCCATTTACGGTAATGGAACTCACTGTATTAAAGGCCTCTGTAAGTTAATGACTGATATTGTTGCCCATTCTTATAGACGGGCAGGATAAGCAACAGGTCGGAAATATTTCTGTTAAATAATGTACTAGTATTTTACACCTCGCACATTTTACATAGTTCACAGACCATCATCATGGTAATATTATACTGTCACAGTATATGCAATTTTGCTTTGTCTATGTCTGGATAATACTCAAAAAGCCGCAGCTCCGCTTTCCAGTTTTGCCAATAGAGCTGTACTGACCTCTTGTGGTTAGATATAGATTTACAGGCCAGCATGCCAACATTTGAATTACTCACATCAAATCCTATTTCACGGAGAATATATATTGTAATAAATTAAGGTAAATTCTAATTTGTCTTATCAGCAATAAACACAATTATAGTACATACAAGGATGTATGTACTATGACAATATCAGTGTATTAGGGGAATAGCCTAGTATTTTGGTGTCAAGATAATTTGATACAGCCTATCAAACAATAACTTACTTGAATCGGGGGTCAGTATAACAATACAGAATCAACAATGACATCTAGTGGCCAGAAGAAGGCACTTAAAAGACTGTGAACTCTGCTTTGTGTATTTGCATAAGCAACAGACAGTAGTGTATGAGAAACCACTGCAAGTAGCTTAGGGCATTCCTATTGTTGTTACTTATTTTAGTAAAATGTTTATATTTTGTTCTGACTGATTTTTTAAAAACAAAATAAAACAAGAAAATAAATAAATACAAACATTTTATTATCTTTTATGTTGATTGACTTAACATGAGAATTTGTTTTTCTAATTAAAATAAAAAAAAAAAATCTTTCACATAATATAGGGAGTTATGAAGCACTTAACTTTTTTGAGTTTTATGAAATCTGCAACCTGAAATACTCAGCTTTCTGTTTGTTATCTCTGGAGTGTGAATCTCCTCATTTTCAAATGGGCATGATTGGGGACCAATCGGGGACATTCATTTTTCTTCCGCTTATCCGGGTCTGGGTCGTGGCGCAGCAGTCTAAGCAGGGCCTCCCAAGTTCCTTCACCCCGGACATTTCCTCCAGCTCCTTTGGGGGGACCCCAAGGCATTTCCAGGCCAGCCGAGAGATAAAGTCCCCCCAGTGTCTCCTGGGTCTTCCCAGGGGCCTCCTCTCGGTGGAAGATGCCCGGAACATCTCCCAAGGGTGACTCCTCGGAGGCATCCGGAACAGATGCCCGAGCCCCCTCAGCTGGCTCCTCTTGACATGGAGGAGCAGGGGCTCTACTCCAAGCTCCTCCTGTGTAACCGAACACCTCACTCTATCTCTAAGGGAGTGCCCAGCCACCCTGCTGAGGAAACTCATTTCAGCCGCTTGTATCCGCGATCTTGTCCTTTCGGTCATTACTCAAAGCTCATAAACATAGGTGAGGGTAAGAACGTAGATTAACCAATAAATCGAGAGCTTTGCCTTTTGGCTCAGTTCCCTCTTCACCACATAGGGGTTCTCCCTCTCTCTCTCAAGTCCACCATTAGTCTTGGTCTAGTCCTGGTTTAGCCCTGGTTTATGCCTTGTTTTAGTCCTGGTTTAGTCCTGGCTGGCCCAATGTTCCGCGGTCAGGATGGAAACCACACTGTTTCGGTCGGATTCTCCTCTCCAGTACCCTGAAATAGACCTTACTGTGGAGGCTGAGGAGTGTGAGTCCCCTGTAGTTGGATCACACTCTTGGGTCCCCCCTCTTAAACAGAGAGAATACCCTGGAGCCTTGCCACCGAGGAGCTTGCCAACCACGTCAGTGACTTCAGCCAGGGTGATGGACGAATCTGCCTCTGAGTCTCCAGCCTCTGCTTCCTCCTCTGAAGACATGACGGTGGGATTGAGGAGATCCTCAAAGTATTCCTTCCACCATCCGACAACATCCCCAGTTGAGGTCAGCAGCTCTCCCCCCCGCACTGTAAACACTGTTGTTTCAGCACTGCTTCCCCCTCCTGAGGCGCCGGACGGTAGCTCTAGGTTTTGTCTGTACAACCATACGGGCTGCAGCACGCTTGGCCTGCTGGTACCCATCAGTTGCCTCAGGAGTCCCACGAGCTAACAAGGCCTAACAGGACTTCTTCAGCCTGATGGCTTCCCTTACTTCCAGTGTCCACCATGTGGTTCAGGGATTGCTGTTGAAGTTGAAACTCCTCCTGACAGAGGGCTCCACCAGGCGTTCCGAACAGACCGTCACTATACGCTTGGATCTGCCAAGTCTTTCCAGCTTCCTCCTTCACCAGCTGACCCAGCTCACCACCAGGTGGTGATCGGTTGACTGCTCTGCCCCTCTCTTCACCTGAGTGTCCAAAACACACGGCCAGAGGTCAGATGACACAATGACAAAGTCAATCATGGTGATGCCACGTGCACTGATGGACACCAGTGTGCTCACATATATTGTGTTTATTATGGACAAACTGTGACTGGCACAGAAGTCCAATAACAAAACACCTCTTGGATTCAGATCAGGTAGGCCGTTCTCCCCCATTACCCTTCTCCAGGTGTCACTGTCATTGCCCATGTGGGCATTGAAGTCCCCCAGTAGAACAACGAAGCCCCGGGTTGGTGCACTGCCTAGTACCCTTTCCAGGGACTCCAAGAAGTATTGTAAGGACTGCTGTTCGGGCCCATAGGCCGACACAACAGTGAGAGACCTGTCCCCGACCCGAAGGAGCAGGGACATGACCCTCTTGTTCACCAGGGTGAACTCCAACACACGTGGTGGAGCTGTGGGGCAATGAACAGGCCCACACCAGCCCACTGCTGCTCCCCATGGGTAAAGCCTGAGAAATAGAGAATCCAGCCCCTCTCAAGGATTTGGGTTCCAGAGCCCAAGCTGTGCATGGAGGTGAGGTCAACTATATCTAGTTGGTAAAGCTCAAACTCCCACACAAGCTCAGGCTCCTCCCCCCCCCCAGCAAGGTGACATTCCATGTCCCCAGTGCTAGTCTCCATGTCTGGAGATCTAGTTGCTGAGGCCCCCGCCTTTGACTACTGCCCAGATCTCTGGGTGATGTAACTGACTTCTGTATGGTGCTCATCATAGGGGGCTTCTGAACCTGCTGTTTGCCTTGGGTGACCCTACCAAGGGCATGAAGCCCCCGACAACATAGCTCCCAGTATCATTCAGGCACTCTAACCCCTCCACCACATTAAGGTGGCAGTTTATTTATTTATTTATTTATTTTAAATAAATAGCCTATATTTGATATTTTGTTGATTCCAAAATCTGAGCATGCTAATGATCATGTGGTGATGGCCCACCAGATTTGCACACTGGCACAGTGATGAATAGGCTTAGAGCTCACTGAACCAAGGGCTCAGGCAAGGGCGGTGCCAGAGGGAGCTTGAGTGCCAATGCACCACCATAGATTTTTGACCCATTTTCATAGGACAATGGGTGTGCTTGCACACCCATTGAAAGAGCTCCTTCAACCAAAAATTCCTGGTGCCGCCCCTGGGCTCAGGTGTGGTAGTGAGCTGCATGGTGTTGAATGATCTCTCCTGGTAGATCCCACTCGGCTCCTGGGTTCATGTTATCCATAATAGGTACACTGCAGGTATGCTTTTGATGAGGAAACAATTATAAGATAGGTCAGAAAGTAGCTAATGGGCCCTTTAAAAGAAAAAAGTGTGTCTATAATTCTCTAATAGACTATAACCAATATCATAGGAGATTTAAATTTGGGTAAATCCTTAGCTTCAGAATTTGAATTGTCCATATCTCTGAGCGTTGCCCCTGACACATTTTGATTCTGTGTAATAGCCTGGGCAGTAGCTAGCAAGATGAATTCTCACAATGCTTGTGAGTTTACAAACTCTTGAGAGTCCATCTTGTTCAGATCCAGTGTTTGCCTGTGAATGGTCCGGCAGTGGCTGACCAATCACAGGCCAACACTGTGATTTGTGTGCAAACCAGTGCTGAACGTATTAAAACAAACATGGCTATGCCAACAGATTTCTTATTTGAGAAGAAATACAGACTACTTTGATTTTGAAACGTGCAGAGGGAACCACTTTGTGCATTTGTGGACGGGTAAGAACCATGCGCTTTTCTCTCAACTGGATTTAACTAGATTTGTAGATCTCTTGGCTTGTTCTGCTGTTGTGATGCTTCAACCAACCAATCTGTTTGAACGCTCCAATCATTGGTTTCAAGCACTTTCAGTGTGAGCTTGATTGATGTCAATCTGCACAGTGATGTTGTGAGTCTCCTCTCCCTTTGCTCCTTGTTTTAAGTCACTCCCTCTTAAAACATAGTAAGTGTTTGAGCATTGAGTGTTCAGAAAATCTATTTTCACCTGTCACCTCCAACAGCTCTGTACTTACTTACGATTGTTCCCAAAATTTAGACTCATGCCACAATGAAGTTCTCAGTTCTGCAGTTTAAACAGAAAGTTAATTCGCCAGTTTCTATTAAGATATCCTATATTAAAATCAGTATTGTAAAATAAGGCTCATGCTATTGTTTATTACTAAAAGCTAACATTGCATCACTTGTCACATTATCCAAAACCAAAAAATATATATAAATCTTTAGACATATTTAAGATAAAATACTTTTATACATTATTGATTTTCTGTCTTCTGACCATAAAAATGAACACATATAGCAATAGTAAAGTTTAATAAAGTGTTATTGTCCATGATAAAGGTGATGTAATGCCCACCTCAGGGACTGCCCCTCTGTGCCCTGCCTCACAGTAAACAGGTTCATTAGGAGTTGGTCATAGTCCACTGGCTCTAAGCATTCCCACAACACTCCGGACAGATCCCCAGACAGCAATTTACTCTGGCAGCAAAGGGACTGTTATTGTACCACTGTAAACAACAGGACAAAGCATAATTTCAAGGCCTAAGGTTTCAGAAGATAATAATATAAACTAGAAAAGCACTCAGAGAGCGCAGACCTCCACCAAGGACTACCCCAATTTTTTTTATATAAATTGCGATAAAATCAGTCTTCTGGATCAGATCCGGATCAGCCTTTGGAATATGAAAGAGGATCCCATTGTCCATCCCTGAGTCAAATTTCATGGGGTTTGGTCAATAATTAACCGAGATATTGAGAAACAAAATTTTTGGCCCCATTTACCACAATGTTAACTAAAATTTCAAAGTGATCCAGAATCCAGGATTTCTTCCGGATCACCCCCAAAATGAAATCAGTTCTTCCTTTTCACATTTCCAACAAATCCTGAAAATTTAATCAAAATCGGTCCATAACTTTTTGAGTTATGTTGCTAACAGACAAACAAACAAACAAACAAACAAACAAACAAACAAACAAACAGACAAACGCCGGCAAAAACATAACCTCCTTGGCGGAGGTAATTAATAATATAATAATAATAATAAAGATAACAGCGGTACTTTTAATATATATAATAAATAAAGCCCCATTATAAACTGGTATTGTTGTTATTGTTCTTTTATATTAGGCCTTTTCTGTTCTGCATAAATGAGCTTTTCTATTAGGAATGTATAACAATGTTGTGGATTATCAAAACATACCCCATGACCCTTTGCTTGGTTTCAGAGTAGACAACATGGAGAAAAAAACTATTATTAAACATTTTTATATCTAGTTTGTTGGAATATGAAAGTAAAGCTTGTCTAGGGGCTTTTTAAAGGTTCTACATTACACAAAATCGACTCTTGTGAGCTTTAAGCCATGTCATAATGATGTCATCTCCTCAAATACGTACCCAGAGTTGTGTTTTGTTTCATTGACAAATTTGAGTAATCCTTTATTATTAGTCTGTCTACATCTTCAAAGCTCAAAATAATTTTCAAGTTGACAGCTACCTTGTACTTTTTGTTCAGCAGATATTTGCAATTTCAGGGATGAAATCATTCAAACTAAGCAAAGGTGTATGGAGTTTAAAAACACAGGGGGGGGAGGGAATTTTTGTATTACCACATGACATTACAAGGTGGAAAAGAATTTTCTCTGTTTGAGAAATGAACACAGCCTAAATATGCGGGGTTTGTGTGTTCATTGCGTGAATGGAACAGGCATGTTATTGATGAGGAAACAACATTATCAAATAGATCAGAAAATAGCCTAATATGGACCCTTTAAAAGAAAAAAAAACATTGTATATGATTGTGTTGTCTTTCCCAAAATGATATTCTTATTGTGTAACCATATCTAATATCATAGGAGATATGAATATGGTTATATCCTTAGCTTCAACATTTGAATGGTCCATATGATAAACTGTGCTTAACAAAAGATTAATCTAGGCCTAATCACACAGGAAGCTCATCTAACTGACAAACCTTGACTATTGGCTTTAGCTAACAAAATCAAAATCCTTTTTTCTCCTAAACAGTTTCAACATGTGAAAAGTCAAAAAGATTGGTCTTATATTGTTATGATGTACTTCAGACATAAAATAGTATAGCAATTCTAGGATTACATTTTTTTCACAAGCAAAATGCCCACGAGATTAAACTATGACGATATGTTGATAGCATTACAGCATAAAAGAGTGCAGTCCTCCCATTGCCTATAACTGAGGGCCAACCTTACCAACAACAACAATAACATACAGTATAGCAAGGGCAACTTCTGTATGATGGCTATTTGAGTTACTATTTAATAACTATATAACTTAATATCTATACATATTTCTTCAGTGATCATGAAAATATGAGATAATAATTTTTGTGATTTGTTTAATTGTAAATGTGTTATGGAAAATAATACTGATGCCTTATACTTTAACCTGACCATGTTCATTAATATTGGACACTACCGCTACCCTGCATTTGTTTTCTGTCTGTTGATCTATTGTTTTGTCATGTTTGCCAATCTGGTCCTTATAACTGTTATTTCACGTGAGAAGTCCTTACACGAGCCTATGTACTTATTCGTTGCTTGCTTGTCTTTTAATGCTTTGTATGGCTCCGCTGGATTCTTCCCCAGGTTTTTGATGGACCTACTTTCTGACTCTCACCTCATCTCACGACCAGCTTGTTTCATTCAAGTCTATGTCATTTATACATTTGCTGCCTATGAATTAACATTACTGGGAGTTATGGCGTATGACAGATATTGTGCTGTATGCCATCCTTTGCATTATCACAGGAAAATGACCATCAAAACAGTAACTATTTTAGCTGCAATAGCATTCATATATCCTGCTTTCTCGATTTCAGCATGTATATTTCTTTCAATGCAGCTTCCTCTATGTGGCAATAAGATTCACAAAGTTTTCTGCGCCAACTGGAATATTGTAAAATTGTCTTGCATTTCAACAGTGAGGAATAACATTATAGGGATGTTTGTTACCATAACTACAGTTTTTTGTCCGCTTTTTTTCGTCCTCTACACTTATTTAAGAATCGTTTTGGTTTGTTGGAAAAGTTCATCTGAATTTAAAGGGAAGGTTTTGCAAAACTGCATGCCGCACATTGTGTCTTTTGCGACTTATTCGATTACAGTGTTTTGTGATGTGTCCCTGAGCCGCTACGATCTTGAAAAGGTGAATCCGATTTTGGCATCTATTTTATCACTGGAGTTTGTAGTCATAACACCAATCCTGAATCCTTTAGTTTATGGACTGAAGTTACCAGCAATAAGGAAGCAAATATCAAGAATTTTGTTGATCGATAAAGCATAAAATTAAGTCAAGATTTCAACATAAATTTGAGTCTTTAAAATCCTATGTCATCAGAATGTTCAAAATTCTGGTTTTATGACATTAGAAACAACTATTTAGAATTTCCAAGGTACACATATTCGTTCATTTCTTTCTCTATTAAGAAGGATGGAAAAATGCAGTTCTATTCATGAATTTAGAATGCTTTTGTTTACAAATTAGATGGTCTATAGAAATACAGAGTTTTAGCAAGAACATGTTTTTATTGTTTTCTGCTAAATTCATAAAAGAAGTATCATCAAGTATTGACAGTGTTGTTTATATTATTTTAACATTTCTTCAATGTATGTTCTGGGTTATATACGGATTTCCAAGCATTATTGTCTAGCTTTAGTAATATATATTCAGTTAGTAGAATGTTGTATGTGTAATTCTTCTGCAGCTTCTCTATGTAACCCTTTATGTGACCTTAATGTATTATTTTAACAATTATAATAAAGAGAAATGTGTCTGCATTTGTTTTCAAGTGTCTTCAGAATCATATTATGCGTAAATGTTAATTGGGATTTGATCAGTTTTCATTAATAAAGCTGATAACTGCAACTCTTTTTAGAAGCTGTAAGCATAAGGACCTAAGTTACGTATGAACAGGGTAGAACAATTGAGGTTGGTTGATTCCCACTGTTTAGTTGACTTGCACCTTTATAAAAACATGTTAGTAGAATGTCAACTCCACTCTTGGACAAATTGCTTTAAGGCCTATACATTTTTATTGGACATACTTTTCAATCCTCACCTCATCTCCTGCATTTTCTTTCACCCTGAGTCTGAAGCTTGAAAGGATGCATGTGCTATGACCTCCTGCATTGTGTCAGTGCCCAAGAAGCCTATTCCGTCTGGACTTAAAGACTTCAGACCAGTTGCTTTGATATCTCATATCATGAAAGTGTTTGAGAGACTTCTGGCTCAGCTCAGACCCCTGGTGGCACCATTCCTGGATCCTCTACAATTTGCCTAGCAGTGCCATTTAGGTGTGGAAGATGCAGTAATCTATCTTCTGCAGCGGGCTCACTCACACCTGGATAGTGTTAAGGGCTCTGTGAGGATATTATTTTTTGATTTTTCCAGTGCCTTTAATACAGTCCAGTCCTTTCTGTTGAGTAAGAAGTTGCTTAGGATGGGTGTCAGCTCCTCCATTGTCTCCTGGATTACTGACTATCTGTCAGGCAGGCCTCAGTACGTGTGACCACCCTGTCTGATACTTCGATCAGTAATGTAGGAGTCCCCCAGGGTACAGTCATGTCTCTGTTTCTGTTAACTCTGTACACCTCTGATTTCCAGTACAGCTCTGAGTCCTGCCACCTGCAGAAGTTCTCTGATAACTCTACAGTGGTTGGGTGTAACAGATATGGTCCGGAGCTGGAGTACAGGACACTGATTGCAAACTGCGTGGAGTGGTCCCAGGCAAAACATCTGCTACTTTCTCTCTCCCTCTATCATCTCTCTCTCCCTCTGTGTCCGAACCTCCACTTTAAAGTTCCTTGCTTGAGTAAATTCTATTGTGCAATTATTTATACTTATATATATTATTTACCAAAGAGATTTGCGCATTATTACTTACAAGGGTATATACTTGCTCTGTGTTTACAATGTTCAGTTAAGTGTTCAGTCTGGAGTCACTGCACAAATCTTTATAATGATGGTGATGGTATTTATTTATTAACCTTTTTAAATAATTTATTATTTTAATGTTCATGTTTGGTGTATTTGTTTTGGAACGAAAGCAAATTGCATTGATATATACTGAATTATTGTTAATTCTGGGCAGAGCGGGTGGTGTGGTGGGGCACCACAAAGCATTTATGCTTAGGGCACACAAATGGCCAGCAACGGTCCTGATTTCAGGCCAAGCAATAGCATCACCATGGAGAAAAGTTGAGGCATACTTCATGGGTATTACAAGTTTGATTATACGTCATCACCCAGGGGAATGTAATAGGTTAGTAGGCTGCGATATTGCATAAAAGAGTCCAGCCTCTAATGTGGACTTCACCAAGATGTAGCCAGTGCATGGACTTCACTAACTGCTCTGAGCATTTTAGGACACACTTCAAAACATTTTTAATTGTGTTGTATCTAGAAAATGTATGTGAATAATAATAGAAATTTTGATTCTGAAATTGTGCAAAGCTTTTAACCACTATCTGTTTTGATTATTGACCGCATATTATGGACAATAGCACAGCATCCTTATACTTTAACCTTACCATGTTCAGGACTATAGATGCTTATAAATATCCAGTTTTTATTTTCTTCCTCTTCCTCTATGTTTTCATCACCTCTGCTAACCTTATTTTAATAGCTGTAATATTGCAGGAGAAGTCTACATGAGCCTATGTACATATTTATTGCTTGTTTATCTTTAAATGCTTTGTATGGCTCTGCTGGATTCTTCCCAAGATTTTTATTGGACCTACTTTCTGACAATCACCTCATCTCACGACCAGCTTGCTTTAGTCAAGTCTATGTTATTTACTCTTACGCCTCCTATGAATTAACCTTGCTCGGAATTATGGCTTATGACAGGTATGCTGCTGTATGCCACCCTTTGCATTATCATAGAAAAATGCAGTTCAACGTAATTATAACGTTAGCTCTGTTTGCGTGGCTTTGTCCTCCCTGTTTAATTATTCCTATTATTTATTTAGCATCCATGCTTCCTCTATGTGGAAATAAGCTCCACAGAGTCTACTGTGCCAATTGGAACATAGTGAAGTTATCTTGCATTTCTACAGCTAAGAATAATATTTTTGGGATGTTTGTGACAATAACTACAGTTTTTTGTCCTCTGTTCTTTGTCTTGTTTACATACTTTCGTATTATAATGATGTGCTGGAAAAAGTCCTCTGAATTTAAAGGCAAAGTGTTGCAAAAATGTCTGCCGCATATAATTTCTTTCACGACATATTCAATTGCAACATTTTGTGATATTGCTTTAAGTCGATTTGAGCTGGATCAGACCAGTCCATATTTGGTATTTTTGTCTTTAGAATTTGTTGTTATTCCTCCTATTCTGAACCCACTGGTGTATGGCCTTAACTTACCAGAGATAAGGAGACATGTAGTGAAGATGTTGTCCAAACAAACATTGTAATGAACTGTACAAGCCCATCGTCATTATTGACTTTATCAGTTCAGTAAATGGTAGATGAAACAATATTTCTCATTTCATAGGTTTGGAATTATCCTGTTTAGGGGTTATTGTGTCAGTGACATAAAATGCTTTTAAAAATGTGTTCAAATGTGTTCTTGTGATGGGCCTAAGTGTGCATGTTGGTAAAACATATATGATTATTAAGTTTAGACAAATAGTTGTGCACTGTTACGTCACATTTTTGATTATGGTTATTTAGCATACATTTAGCAAACATCTTGGCCCTAAACACAACAAAAATGGATTCTTGGTTTAGATCTCATCTCAGATCTGCTGAAACCCAAACTGAAAGAACAACCTGTGTGTTAAACATGTGTTTAACACACAAACCCTACATATTTAGGCTTCTGAGGTCTTCTCTCAAACAGAAATCACTGCTAAATGTATATTCATTAAAACTTCAAAACTACTGCTTCATGAGATCACAAGGTGGAACACAGCAGGGAGATGCTCAAACATGTGTGAATGAAACAAAAGGAGGTAAGAGCATTATAACACAGCTTAAAACTCACAAGAGTCAGTTTTGCGTAATATAGGACCTTTAAGACATGTCATAACTAACATTTTAAACTTAAAAGAGAGTGCCTTTTTCTGTGCTTTGTACTGTTTCTACTACTACTGCAATCATTTGATGGCCATTGATCAATGCCAAAGAAAATATTTATTTTGTCAATCTATTTAATAATGGCCAGAATTATATTAAATAAGGAGCTGTTAGTAGCCACAAGAGCTACAACTATTTCCTAAATCTCACATATGCATTTATGTAGTGCTGTTTCAGTGGACAGGCTCATAATGTCCAAGGGGAATTTTAGAGCCGTCAGTTAGAAATAAAAGCCTTGAACTCACGACTGCTGTCCACTATCAGTCTTAGGCCTCAGTTCTGTGTGATCTACTTATACAGAAAATACACAGAAATAAAGGCCTGACATTTTTCATTATATGTTTTATGGGGGAAAACGCTACTTATTTCTTGGTCTTTAACTTAACAATGTTCTTGAAAATTGAAGTTTACCGCTACCCTGCTTTTGTTTTTTGCCTATTGATCTATTGTTTTATCATGTTTGCCAATCTGGTCGTTGTAACTGTCATTTCACGTGAGAAGTCCTTACACGAGCCTATGTATGTATTCATTGCTTGCTTGTCTTTTAATGCTTTGTATGGCTCCGCTGGATTCTTCCCCAGGTTTTTAATGGATCTTCTTGCTGACACTCACCTCATCTCACGACCAGCTTGTTTCATTCAGGTGTATACTATTTACAGTTTTGTTGGCTGTGACTTAATGATTCTTGGGGTCATGGCATATGATAGATATGCTGCTGTATGCTATCCTTTACACTATCATAGGAAAATGAACTTAAATACTGTTGTTATATTAACTGTAGTGACCTATATTTACCCTTTTGTTATTGTAACAACGTGCATTTTGCTGTCTGCTAAGCTTCCATTGTGTGACAACAAAATACACAAAGTTTACTGCGCAAACTGGAATATAGTCAAACTCTCATGTGTCCCCACAGCTCTTAATAACATGGTGGGGATGCTTTTATCTACAACTGTTGTCTTCATCCCCCTCTTATTTGTACTGTATACATACTTACGAATTGTCATTATTTGTTGGAAAGCGTCTTCAGAATATAAAGGTAAAACTTTTCAAAATTGTTTACCACATATCATATCTTTCACAACATTTTGTGTGGCGTCGTTTTGTGACGTGATGTTGAGTCGCATTGACCTGGAGACGGTGAATCCGGTCCTGGCTGTTATTTTATCAATGGAGGTGGTTATAATTACTCCCATTGTGAATCCACTTGTTTATGGGCTGAAGTTACCTGAAATAAGAAAACACATTTTTAAGATGTTCTTAACACCTAAATACTGTAACTAAAATTAATGTATTTAAATGTATGTGCTATGCTATGTGGCTGATTATAATAAAAATACATCTACAATATAAGTCTCTTTCTTCTATTTTAAGAACTAAGAAAGAAATGTCAGTTTTCCAAATCTAAACTTTTTTTCTTTTTTACAATTAAAATTGGGGATTTAAGGCCTAATAGCTTACTATTTCCAGATTGTGCATGAATAATGTTTTTTTTTATTTTTTATTATTCCATTAAGTAACTGTCAGCAGTTATACATTTGTACTTACTTTAAATACACTTAATGTAGCAGGCTTACAGTTTCACATAGAAGTCAGTCCATTGTTACATAGGCTCACAGCTGTTCCTTGTACAGAACAATATTTGTTTCAATCTTAACTATAGCATAAATAATGTTGTGTGTTAAACATACAGTATATATCCTAAAATCTTGACCTTAACCTATGTGAAAGTGCAGGGCACTGTATTTGACTGTTCAATCTACATACAAAAATACAATTAAAATAGTATTTTATATAGAAAAAGTCTATATAGAATTACTATTGTTTCAATTTGTGTAAAACCACAAAGATTCAAAAGTTATTAATTAATCTTATGACTAATACTAATTATTATTCTGATGCCAATAAAGCTTACTCCCCAGACTCACTGCGTCACAGGTTATCACATGCTGACACCTTCACATATCGAAAGCATTTAAAAGACTGACTCTTCAAAACACAACAAACATGGTCCAGTGGTCTATAGTTTCCTGGTGTTTTACTATGCTATATACTATATATCAGTGCTAATGGTAACACAGTGATATTAATGATGTTTAACTGTACGATATGATGGATAATATCTCTGCCATGACTGTGTTCACGCTGTCTGGTTTAAATGGCACTGAAAAGTACAGGGGTTATCTATTTTTTGTAACCCTCCTATTTTATTGTTTGATCTGGTTGGTGAATCTGACAATCATTTTTACTATTCTTGTGGACAAAAACCTCCGTGAGCCAATGTATGTATTTCTATGTAATTTGTGCATTAATGGACTATACGGAACATCAGGTTTTTACCCCAAGTTCCTCAGTGACCTCCTCTCCTCCGCTCATGTTATTTCATATGCTGGTTGTCTTTTGCAGGGGTTTGTGCTCCATGTTGCTGCATCTGCTGATTTTACAATGTTAATGATTATGGCACTTGATAGATATGCTGCAATATGTCATCCTTTAATCTATCACAGTGTAATGACAAAACAAAGAATTTCACTGTTAATATTTTACACCTGGATTATTCCACATTTGTTACTGGTACTAAGCACAGTATCAACATCAACTCTAACCTTATGTGGATCACATATTCCCAAGATCTACTGCATAAATTACTTGGTTGGTAGACTTGCTTGCACACCTTCTCTGTCAAATCTGATAATCCCAGCTATCAATTATAGTTTTTATGGAGGACATTTCATTGTTGTAATTTGGTCTTACTTTTATTTGATCAAAACCTGTATAACATCTAAAGAGGGTAGAAAGAAATTTATGAAAACATGCCTGCCACATCTTTTCTGTCTAATTACAGTCACTGGGTCCTTGCTTTTTGATTTGATCTTTGTTAGGTTTGGGTCAAAAGATGTTTCACAGAATCTGCAGAATTTTATGGCTATTGAATTTCTCATTGTCCCTCCTATTGTCAACCCACTTATATATGGTTTTAAACTCACTAAAATAAGGAATACAATATCACAGTTCCTTTGTAGAAGAGACCTGAAAAGTATAAAATCATGAACTATTAATTACTACACTTCAAGCCTTATATTACACAAAATTGACTCCTGTGAGCTTTGTTACCTCATCAAAAACACACCTGGAGTTGTGTTTTGTTTCATTTGCACATGTTTGAGTAATCATTTATTATTAATCTGTCTACATCTCCGAAGCTCAAAATGCTCAAAATGTTACAGTTACAGATACCTTTTACCTTTACTTCAGTAGAGATTAGAAACTCCAGAGCTGAAATTATCCAAATGATTATAGAGAAGGTGTATGGAGTTATTAACACAGTGAGGCACTTTCTGTATTACTACATGGCATCACAAGGTGGAACAGAGCCTAAATATTCAGGGTTTGTGTTTAACATGTAAATAAACCAAATACAATTTTGGATTTGTTTTTGGTGAGGAAACATTATAACATATATCAGAAAATAATGTGATATGGCCCTTTAATTAATCAATGCAATACACATTCTCATTTTGATATTAGATTCTAAACACAAACCAAATGAATTAATTTCTTTATAAATGTTTGAATAATTTGAAAAAAAAAAACATGATGTTGGAAATTCAGTGATTTTGTATGGTCTATGTCAAATACTTTTGGTTGTAGGCCTGCACATTTTCTATGTCAATTTTAGTAAGACTCATTGAAAGCTCCATGAAATACTGTGTGCAATAGATACGTTTGTGAAATAAAATGTTAAGTTTGTCATTAAACTATTACAGTACAAAGAATGATTATTGTTAAGATGCTCTGAGGTGCCTTATTTGAATATTCACAGATCAGAATTTCAGGAATGTTTGTAATAATAGTAATGATGCTTATGTAGCGCTTTTCTGAAATCTCAAAGACGCTTTACAGAATATGATTCATTCACTCCACACTTGATGGTGGTAAATTACTAGTGTAGCCACAGCTGCCAGCTGAGATGCAGGTTTTCTGTGTTTGCAGAAAACCTGCATTTCTACTGTGAGGCCTGCTTGTATCCATGGAAACGTTGTCCATGGATCTGTTGGATTTAATGTTCCGCAGTATGGCATAATCGCACCAAATGAGCTCATTATTTGTCATACGCAGTTTTAATATTTATTGTTCTTCATCATTACTTTTATTTTATTTATTTTTTTGTCCCAATCATCCCAGTCCCCGAAGTTTTGCAGAGGTTGCAAACACACGTATAAAAATGAGCACAGAGGAGTGGAGATGTGAGTAAAGATGTTCCTTCAGGACAGGCTCAGCTCTGAACATGGATAATGCTTCTGCTGTCCGCCTTTTCACTCTCTCAGGACTAAATGAAACAACACCCTATAGAGCCACCCTTTTTTCCCTCACTTTGATTCACTATTGTGTAATTTTATTTGCAAATGTCTCTCTCATTATTATAATTGTTTTAGATTCCAATCTCCACGAGCCAATGTATATTTTACTGTGTAGTTTCTGTTTTAATGCGTTGTATGGAACAGCTGGTTTCTACCCAAAATTTCTTATCGATTTACAAGCTACATCTCCAGAGATCTCATACGATGCTTGTCTCCTCCAGGCTTTTATCATGTATTCTTTTGCCTGCAGTGATTTGTCTATTTTAGCAGTAATGGCGTATGACCGGTATCTGGCCATATGCCTTCCTTTGCACTACCACTCTATCATGACTAAAAAAAGACTCTCTCAGTTAGTATGTTTTTCTTGGGTTACTCCGTGTTGTATTTTTGCTCTCAATGTTCTGCTCACATCTCAGCTTCAGCTCTGCGGCACACATATTCAAAGGATATTATGTGTGAATTGGGTGATAGTTAAACTTGCCTGTCCCAAAGCAAATACTTTTCCAAATAGTATTACTGCATATTGTACTATGTTCATATATATGGGGCATGGCTTCTTTGTTGTTTGGACATACATGCACATGATAAAAACTTGTGTAAGGTCGAAGGATGACAGAGTGAAGTTCATGCAGACCTGTGTGCCCCATCTCACATCTATGCTCACTTTTGTTTGTACCATCCTCTTTGATTTAATGCACATGCGCTTTGGACCGGAAAATCTGCCACAACATTTGAAAAACTTTATTGCCATTGAGTTTATTCTTGTTCCGCCATTTGTAAATCCTTTGATCTATGGGTTTAAACTGACTAAAATCAGAAACCGAATAGAGGGTCTTTTCTATGTTCAAAATAAATTACACTTGCCAGCACAAACTGATGATTGTTAATAAAATGAAAATTAAGGACTTGAAAAAATATTATGTACAGTGCACTATTTGTTGTGATGTTTAGTACAATATCAATAAAGTTATTTGTACACAATTTCTCCATTTTCACATGACATGTTTCCTTGCATGGCCATCTATACCAACTCAAAAAGGGGGTATTAGCACTGGTTTTGTTTTTTTGAAGTGAAATTTATTGAATATTTTAATATTTAAATGTGCTTTTTTGAAAAATGTACATGGTTGATTTTGGTCAAAAATCATTAAAACTAGAAAATGTTATCTAATTAGAATGTGAGAAAAAGTTTTGGGTGTTACTCAAGGCCAAAACTTCTACCACTAATCTTCACCTCTTCTAGGTTATAGTTTTATACTTACATTTATTATATAAAACAATATCCTAGAAGAGGTGAAGATTAGTGGTTTATAATTATAGTTATTATATATCCGTCCTTGAACAGTCATCTTAACATGGTGGAAGGGTTTGAGTGACTGACTGATCCCAGGAGCTATGTTGTCAGGGGGCTTTATGCCCCTGGTAGGGTCACTCAAAGGCAAACAGGTCCAGAGGAGACGGGTCAGACTAAAAGTGGTTCAGAAGCCCTTTATGATGAGTACTACACTGAGGCCAGTTATGTCCCCTGGATTGGCATTATCGGGGTTCCACCCTGGTACCAAACCTGGTGCGAGCGCTCGATAGCAAGTGTCTGGTGGCCAGGCCTCCCCCCATAGTGTCCAGCCATAGTGGCCACCTGTAGGAGGATCCATAAGGGGCTGATGCAAAGAGATCTGGGTGGCAATCAAAGGCAGGGGCCTCGATGACTTGATCTCCAGACATGGAAACTGGCTCTGAGGGGGGTGGAGGTTCAGTGTTACCAACTAGATATAGTTGGCCTCACCTCCACGCACAGCTTGGGGTCTGGAACCCAACTCCTTGAGAGGGGCTGGACTCTCTATTTTTCTGGTGTTGCCTGCAGGGAGTAGCGGCAAGCTGGTGTGGGGCTGCTCATCCTTTGTCACTGGTTCTGTTCGTTGTATTTAAGGACAGAATTTCTAGGAGCAGTCAGGGGCCGGAGAGGGTCTGGTTTGGGGACCACAAGATGTCTTTTCTGCTGTTTGCAGATGATGAGGATTCCATTAACCAGGACCTGCAATGTGCACTGTAGAAGTTTGCAGCCGAGTGTGAAGTGGCTGGGATGAAGATCAGCTCCTCCAAATCTGAGATCACGGTTCTCGACTGGAAAAAGGTGGCGTGCCCTCTCCAAGTGGGTGGAGAGTCCCTGCCTCAAGTGGAAGAGTTCAAGTATCTCAGCGTCTTGTTCATGAGTGAGGATGGAGCATGAGATTGGTGCAGTTTGGTGCAGATTGGTGCAGCTTCGGCAGTGATGCAGTCACTGTATTGGACTGTTGTGGTGAAGCAAGAGCTGAGTCGAAAGGTGAAGCTGGTCAATCTACATTCCTACAAGCGGTCAATATTAGTTTCCTCTGCAGAGTGGCTGGGTGCTCCCTTAGAGTGAAGAGTTCAGTTACACGAGAGGGGCTTAGAGTAGAGCCACTGTTCCTGAGACTATGTCTCTCGGCTGGCCTGGGAACACCTTGGGGTCCCCCCCCGGAGGAGCTGCAGGAAGTGTCTGGGGTGAAGGAAGTCTGGGAGTCCCTACATAGACTGCTGCCTCCACAACTCGGCCCCGGATAAGCGGAAGAAAATGTATAGTTATTATACCTAGCACAATTTAATTAACAAAATACAAAAAAAAACCAAAAAAAAAAAACATTTACCCCCAATAGTTATACCCAAGAGTTAGCTGATGTTGTTGTTGTTGTTGTTGTTGTTAATGCTTTGCACAGAATGTTCCAGGGTATTTCTCCATGCAGAAAATATGTTTATCAAAGTATAGTAAGAGAAAGAAAAGCATCTTTATATGAAATAAATTGATAAAATGCCATACTGTGGAACATCTCCATCAGCACCTTTAGTTTGAAAGTCCATGTTCCATACCCAGATTTATTTCATATTTCCATAGCCTTCCTTTGACATTGCATTATAACTTATCCCATCACACAAAATATACAGAAATACAAAATATCAGTCTTATGTGATATATGGTAGTTAGGTTATTTAAAAAGTATAATAGAGAATAAGTACATTTTACATTTACAATAGTAGGGTGTAGCCTTTATTTTTTAGGCATCATATTTTTTTCTTCTCTCCCAGTTGCACTAGTCCCAAAAGTTTTCTGTTGATACTGCACCATATAAATATGAGAGATTTAGAGGAGGTCTAGTAAAGATGGACGTAAAGGATCAGAGGCTGTAAAGAATGGACAATGTTTCAACTGTGAGACTCTTCACTCTGTCTGGACTGAACGAGACAATGACATTTAGGGTGACCATTTTCTCTCTCACTTTGGTGTATTACTGCCTTATTCTGTTTTTCAATGTCTCTCTTATTATTATAATTGTTTTAGATTCAAATCTCCATGAGCCTATGTATATTTTACTGTGTAGTTTCTGTTTTAATGCGTTGTATGGGACTGCTGGTTTCTACCCAAAATTTCTTATCGATTTACAAAGTACATCTCCAGAAATCTCATACGATGCTTGTCTCCTCCAGGCGTTTATTATGTATTCTTTTGCGTGCAGTGATTTGTCTATTTTAGCAGTAATGGCATATGACCGGTATCTGGCCATATGCCTTCCTTTGCACTACCACTCTATCATGACTAAAAAAAGACTCTCTCAGTTAATAAGTTTCTCTTGGCTTACTCCATGTTTCATTTTAGGAATCAACATCGTTCTTACATCTCATCTGAAATTATGCAGCTCACATATTCACAGGCTGTTTTGTGCAAATTGGATCATTGTAAAACTTGGTTGTCCTATGAATGATACCTCAGTACACAATGTTTTTGCATATGCTACTATTATCATTTACTTTTTGCATGGCATCTTCATAGTTTGGACTTACATGCATATGATTAAAACATGTGTGCGGTCAAAGGAGGACAGAGGGAGGTTTTTGCAGACTTGTGTCCCACACTTAGTCTCCTTGCTCACATTTGTTGTTACTATATTCTTTGATGTGATGCATATGAGGTTTGGCTCTGATAAACTCCCAAAACACTTTCAAAACTTTATTGCCATAGAGTTTCTCCTTTTCCCTCCATTTGTCAATCCTTTAATATATGGATTCAAACTGACTAAAATCAGAAACAGAATAGAGGGGTTGATCTATGTTAAAACAAGTAAATAAAAAAGTGTAATGTATTGGAAATCCTTAAATACTTCATAAATGCGATCAATGTACGATTACATGAAAATACAAGAAAATAAATGTTACGTATGATATTTTTGTATTTGTATTGTATTTTTGAATTATTCCAATAAAATAAAAGTAGATGTTTGTAATATATATCTATCTATTAATGCAAGGAAGGTCTGTCTCGAGAACTGCACATCCATCTGAAATATGGAGGGTGTCAAAAGTCGCAGATCTTCGATGAGTGATATTATTTTAAACAGACATATTATATTTAAAATAGATCACTCATTTTAAAAGATCTTTGGCATTTTTTGCCCTAACAACATGAAATTTGGCACTGCACATACCTGTACCATTAGGATGACACCCTCCAAATTTGAGATCGGTCAGAGGAGCACTTTGAGAGTTATGCATGGAAAAGACAGGAGGACACATAGACAGACGTTCCTTGCATTAACAGATAGATGTAAGGTAGAGCTTTTTAATGTCATACTGTGGAACATTCCAGAGCAATGACATATCCATAGAAACAACAAGAAAAGTTACACAATGCACCTTTAACTTAAACAAACTATGTTTCACCCTATGCAAATATTTCAATAGAATTTTTCAGAAGGCCACAATTAACAAATATATAAAACATACTCAATTCTTCACTGATTGTGTGAGCAGGTTGTGTTATTCAACTTGAAAAGACGAGACATCTTTTAATGAACAAATGAGCTCTGTGTGCTCTTTCATTTATCCTGAAGTCTAATCCAGAATCACGAACAATAAGATTGCATATCAGGACATCCTGTCTTCTTTACAGTTTGAATGAATCTGAATGAACAAATGTAAATTATTATTATTATTATTATTTTTACATTCAGTGTGCTTGTAAATAAAACTAAGCTTTTTAGAACAATTCGTCTTTGCATTCTTTAGACCCATAACATTAACACATCTCTAGTCTACAGATTTATAAATCAAGTCTGACAGGTTTCTTAATATGACTTTCAGATCTTCTTAAGGTGGGTGATGCTAAAGTAACATCATTTGATTGCTTGATTTCTTTTGAGAAGGTTTCAGTGGTTTCTCCTGAGAATGTTTTATCCTCAGTTCTCACTTCATATGACCTAGGTCCAACTTCCTGGACAACAGTTGCCTTTCTGTTCCATGCATCTTGATCTTGGATTGCCACAACATCATCTTTTGCAAGTGGTCAGAGTGTTTTGTTTGCTTTGTCATAATAGTGCTTTTGCTTCCATTTCAGATTGTCCAGTTTTGTTTGTATCTGTTTGTTTTGTTTCAACTCTGTGTAGTAGTGTAAGGTTGTGTGTAACTTGCGATTCATCAGTAGTTCTGCTGGAGATAGACCACACTGAAGAGGAGCAGCTCTGCAGCTTAAAAGAGCAAGATACAGATCTGATTTGCTGTCTGTCTGCCTTTTTCAGAAGCTGCTTGACAATATGCACACCCTTTTTTGCTTTCCCATTGGCTTGTGCATGCTGAGGACTGGAGGGCACATGAAGAAAACCATACTGCACTGAGAACTGCTGCTATTCTTTGCAGTTGTAACAGGAACCATTGTCACTAACTACAGTCTCTGGTATCCCATGTCTGGTGAAAATGGATTTGACATGTGTTATGACACTGGTTGCAGTTGTGCTTGTGAGCAAGGTGATTTCAGGGTAGTTGGAGTAGTAATCCAACACCAACAAATAGTATTTTCCATTGTAATTAAACAAATCTGTTCCCACTTTCTTCCAAGGTGTGGTAGGAAGATCTGGATACAACATTCACATTTTCCAATCATGCTTTCAATGTCTTTATTGATGCCCTGCCAGCATACGGTGTCTCTGGCCCATCTCTTGCACTTTTCAATTCCCAAGTGTGCCTCATGTATCCTCTGCAGAATCTTTGTTCTCATACTCTGAGGAATCACAATCCTTTTGTCTCTCAGCAATAGTCCATTTGTTACACTGAGCTCTGATCTAATGTGGTAATACTTTGAACATGACCCTTTTGGCCAACTACTATGAATGTGTTTTATTACAATTGGTAGTTCTGTGTCTTTCACAGTTTCTTCACTTATTTGTTCTGACTTGGTTTCAGACACTGATAGGGAGTCAACAATCATGTTTACATGTTCCTCTACTTCTTTTTCAGTTGAATTCATGTAATTCAGGTCTGGCGCTTGTGAAAGTGCATCTGCTAACACTAAATGCTTACCAGGTCTGTATATCAAGTCAAAATCATACCTTTGTAGTTTGATGATGAGGCACTGAATTCTTGGTGATATCTCATTCAAGTTTTTCTTTATGATGGACACCAGCAGAAGGTGATCTGTCTCAATTTGAAGGCAGGAAGGCCACAAACATAACAGTGAAATATTTCTAGTCCATAAACCAACCCAAGACATTCTTTCTCAATCTGAGCATATTTGGTCTCAGCTTTAGTCATGGATCTAGAGGCATACGCTACTGGCTTCCAATTTTCACCTTCTGCTTGCAATGAGACAGCTTTGAGTCCATCTTTTGATGCATCTGTTGAAATCTTAATCTCTTGTACTTGTCATTTTCTTCTTTGTAGTTGGGATCTGTACTTATTACTTATCTGTAATTACATGACACCACACCCACAAAGAAAGTTTCACTCTGGTCACTTTCTTCAACTAGTCACACTGATTTTGAGTTGTCCTTTGCTAGATATTGTTTTGCAAAGGGATTTTTATCATTGCAAAATACTTTGAGGGAATGAAACATTTCATCACCAATCAAATCTACAGAGCGGGGGAAGAATGAGACCTTTCACCTGGTTAGTTGTGTTGGTCACCTGTTTCCTCTGGATGCTGCTGTGATGCCCAGACTTCAGAATCAAAAGACCCTGCCTGACCTCCTGTTAATCTGCACTGGGACCTTTGACTGAAACACAAAGGCCACTAAGAAGCCCAGTGTAAATGTTGCTGCAACTAAACTTGAATTTCCTTCAGGGTTAATAAAGTATCTCTATTTCTCATATTGCGTTCCAAATATCGCTTCTGATATCCTGTTTGGACATTTAAATTGATGTAATAAGACTATTTACTGGTCATAGTTTGCCCAGAAAGTCTCACAATGTTTGAACTTTTATTTCTACAAAGCTGTTCTACTGTTGCTTGAGACATCACACAGCCAAATAACACATTTTGATCAATTTTGTCTTATTTTATTTTTGTTTAAAGGAAATAAATGCTTTTTTCAGTCTTTGCATTGGTATCGGTTGATATTAGATATTGGCAGCTACTTAATGCTATAGTACTGAAAGCTGGATTGGTGTGTCCTTAATGATAACAATGCAGTTATCAAACAATAAAACATTTTATAATTAGATGCAGACAGAACACAGTGGTCTTATTTTTACGTCAAGAGAGAGTGAATTGCAATCAATAGCACAAATCTCTAGAAACCACATGAGTTTATGTTTGAAATAGTCATGTGGGAATGGATGGTTGGACAACACTGAGAACACTGAGAATATAAAAACACTGGTCTAACTGGTGCAGGGGCCACACTTGCCTGGTGTGGTGATCTTAACTGTTTGTGTTCTTGATGTAGTATAATGGATAATGCTTCAGCTGTGACTGTCTTCACTATGTCAGGGTTAAGTGGAGTAGAGAATTACAGGATCCCTGTATTTATTGCAACTTTTTTGTATTACATTATCATCTGGATATCAAATGTGACTATTATAATGACTATTATAATGGATAGGAACCTCCACGAGCCTATGTACATTTTTCTTGTTAACCTGTGCCTCAGTGGACTGGTTGGCACTGCAGGTTTTTACCCCAAGTTCCTCAGTGACCTCCTCTCCTCTGCTCATGTGATTTCATTTACTGGTTGCCTAATTCAAGGATCTGTGCTCCATGCTTATGTTGGTGCTGATTTGTCTATACTTTTACTTATGTCTTTTGATCGATATGTGGCAATTTGTCGACCTCTTGTGTACCACTCTGTGATGACAAGACAAAGAATTGCAATATTAATATTTTTTGCTTGGTTTTTGCCATTTGAGTTACTTTCCATAAGTCCAATGCCATTAATTAATGTGAAGCTTTGTGGGTCACATATCCCCAAAATCTACTGTATTCATCATTTAGTACACACACTTGCTTGTACTCCATCTATAGCAGCAGTAGCATTCCCAGCTTTTAATTACACATTTTACTTCTGCCATTTTATTGCTATTTTTTTGTCCTATATTCACATCATAAAGACATGTATCAAATCCAAAGAGAACCAAATTAAATTTATGAAGACATGTTTACCCCACATTTTATGCCTCACAATCTTTGTTGCTTCTGTGCTGTTCGACTTGATGTATGTTAGATTTGGCTCAAATTTAATGTCACAAAATTTTCAGAATTTTATGGCCATTGAATTTCTGATTTTTCCCCCAATCTGTAATCCTGTTATATATGGCCTAAAGTTGACAAAAATTAGGAACCAATAAAAAAATTTTTTTAGGCTTAAACTTTAACTACTTTCCATCATTACTAATCTATTGTAACAAGTTTATGTGTGATTGTTTATATTTAAGTAAATGTCAACTTTTAAGACAGTTAATTAAAAATAAAATGCATGATTTATTGCTATTGAAGATATATAAATATATATCACTGATATTCTTTTTTAACTATAATAGTCAAACTGGTATTTGGAATCTTATATCAATTTTTTTATTGTTTATTGGTATGATTTATACTGGTTAGGGCTGGAAACTTAACTAATTAATTCATAAATTACCAGAAAATACCGTGAATACTGTGCTTGTGTGTATACAGTGCTTGTATATGTGTACTATATAGAATTATGTTGTACTGTATATTAGTTACTGAAGCACTATTGGACTGGTGTTATGTTCCAAATCATTTCCCTTGTGGATCAGTAAACTTTGTCTAAGTTTAAGTCTTAGTCTATGAGATAGTTCTTCAGGTCAAAACATTTAAACACTATTATATTGGCTCAGATATTCTTTCATCCTTTACCCTCAAAAATCAGGAGGAACAGTAATGTGTTCCCCCAGAGCTGGCCTGAGCCATTAACCATATAAACTACAACCAGAGGGCCATGTGCTCCGGTCACCAGAGAGAGAGAGAGAGCAGCCAAACAAACTCTAAAGCAATGTGTGCTGACTATGGTATGGTACAATGTTATATAGTGATCAAACAGGGAGCAAGTGTCTTCAATTCTTTATCATCTCTAAATAGAAGTGCACTGTGCAGGGCTGTGCAGACAGTGTAAGGAGCCCTCCTAACGCTGTCTGTCTGCCTGTCTGTCTGTTCACTGTGACTAGGAGAGGCATTCAATTGCAGAAAGTTAGAAACTGATAGGAAATTAGGGGTGTCACATTATCGCGTTAATTGCGATTAATTAATTACAGTCATATTTAGCGCGTTATGTTTTTTAATCGCGTTAATCTCATTTTTAATCTCTAACTTTACTGTTTCTGTATGCGAGTTGCTTTATTATAAAACCTGTTTTTATGTGTTGTTGGGACAACAACACACACACAAAAAAACACATTTATATATTTTTTTATTTCGGTAATTCCACTCATTGCCGGAAACCCACACAAAACGCGCGCAGTAAGAGCGATGTAAACGTCATGTTAACGTTGGCGGCGTCAGTCGCACAATGGACGAGGTCGAAGAGCCAGTAGAACAGAGGCAGCAGTGCACAGGTAAAAACACATTCGTGTCTTGGAAATTATTCTCCCGACGTGAAATATAAAAGAAAATAACAAATATAAAATCGCCTACAACTTAAATGTCACTGGTGAAAACAACCTGCATAGACTCATGATGTCTGCACTACTGTCCTATAGTGACCTGCCACATGAGGGGACACGCACACAAACACACAAACACAAACATACACCTTCATCATCGTCATTAACCTGAGAACGCGCGGACCACGTTTCTTTCCATAGTTACTGCGCGGACACCGACGTGCTCCCGTGCGCTGCTTACGTTTTCTCGCGTACGCTGCGTAAACCGCGCTTCCTCCTGTGCACCTCTAAACCAGAACTAACACCAAGACTAAAACCGGGACTAACCCAGTCCAGGACTAAACCAGGACTAAACCAGGACTAAAACCAGGTCTAAAAACCAGGTCTAAACCAGGACTAAACCAAGGACTAAACCAGAACTAACACCAGGACTAAAACCAGGACTAACCCATTCCAGGACTAAACTAGGACTAAAGTAGGACTAAACCAGGTCTGAACCAGGACTAAAACCAGTGATTTCATATATATAAAGCATTTCTCAATCAATAATATTTTTAATATGGTTAAGGAAAGACTGGACTGACTTTTTATTGTCTTTAAGTAGACAAAGGTTATGATGTTCAGATTTCCTCGTCTTTGCTACTTTACAGCAAACAGTTTCTTATTCATGGAGACTTGGGCTCAACAACCAATTTGGAGAGATTTGTTAAACAATAAATGACTTTATAAAGTCACTTTTTTTTGTTCTATATCAGTCTTTTGATCTGCCACAATAATGTAATAATGAATTTAAATGAAAATACCTCAAGTTGAAGCTTTTCTCAGCAATTTTTAGGTGAGATTAAAAAGAGATTAATTAGATTAATTAATTACAGATCATAATTAATTAATCTCTCAATTTTTTTAATCGCATGACAGCACTAAGGGAAATACTAGATATGGGTTTCGGATGTGTACTTCCTCATTTTAGATGAGGCCAGTGATGACTAACTATGCTGGACTAACACATGTTGTTCATTGTTCTGGTCCAGTATGTTAGCAGCCACCTACCTTTACCGTGAAATTTGCAATTTCACTGATATGCGCCAAATTGGGCAGAATCAAATAAAGGATAGCACTGTGATGGACCCATGGCATATTTTGATTTTGCAAATTGCACATGCTTTATCAGATCCGGTTTAAATTTGTATGTGACATGGCACATGTAAAGGTCAGGCAAATCACTAGTTTTATGTTACATTGTGTGCTGTTGGATACCGTGGTAAGCAGCCTACAGGCCTTTTCACACAGGCACATATTTAAGAAAGACAAGTTAAGAATTCTTTACAAAGCAATTACTACAGAAAAGTAATGCACTATGGGAATAGAGGTGTTACGTAATGTTGAATCCACCTATAAGAGCAGATAAAGCGTGAGCAGAAGATGGACCAGGGGCTGTTTAAGAGGAGGGAGTCATCTACAGATGAACAGGAAACAGGCCGATGGAAAATGCCTCAGCTTTAGTGTTCACTCTGTCTGGTTTAAATGGAACAGAGAAGTACAGGATCCCTCTGTTTGTTGTAACATTTTTGTGTTACGGTTTCATCTGGGTGGCTAATGTGACTGTTATACTGATTATTATTATGGATAAGAACCTCCATGAACCAATGTATATTTGTCTATGTAACCTTTGCATCAACGGACTGTTTGGTACTGCAGGTTTTTTCCCCAAGTTCCTCAGTGACCTCCTCTCCTCCGCTCATGTTATTTCATATGCTGGGTGTTTGGCGCAGGGATTTGTGCTCCATGCCTCTCTTACTGCTGATTTGTCTCTTCTGTTACTTATGGCTTTTGACCGATATGTGGCGATTTGTCGGCCTCTTGTGTACCACTCTATAATGACAAGACAAAGACTTTCAGTAATGATCTTTTTTGCTTGGTTTGTTCCTTTGCAGCTTAATGCATTAGGCCCTATTGCAACATCCACCATAAAACTCTGTGGGTCACATATACCAAAGCTCTACTGCATTAACTATTTAGTAAACAGACTTGCTTGTGCTCCCTTTATAGCAGATATTATAATCCCAAGTTTTAATTACACATTTTACCTTGGCCATTTTGTTGCCGTATTTTTGTCCTATATTAACATTATAAAAACATGCATAAAATCAGCGGAAGGCCGAGATAAATTTATGAAGACATGTTTACCACACATTATATGCCTCACAGTCTTTTCTTCTGCAATAATATTTGATTTGATGTACGTGAGATTTGGTTCAACTTTAGCAGATGGTGTGAAGAATTTTTTGGCAATTGAATGTCTTCTTATCCCCCCATTATTTAATCCTCTTATATATGGCCTAAAGTTGACAAAAATTAGGAATAGAGTCCTACAAATTGTTGGCCTTAACCAAAAATAGAGAGGCCTTCTACTACATATGTGATGTGTTTTTGTAAAGTTCTTGACCAGGATGAAAAATCTACTACTACTATTACTACTAATAGATATAACAGATCAGATCAGATGTATGTCAACAAATGATAATACAGTTACATTTTTTAAATTTAAAACCTTTTAAACATGCAATACATTTCACACACTAAAGGGAACTTTTTTGTTTTGACTGTTACAGTTATTGTTTTATTTACAGCAAGATTCTTAGCTTTTGGCTGCTCTAAATGTGAAATGTGTGAAAGTAAATAATATAAAACTAAGTAAAGAAAATATGTAACAAAAGGGAGCAAACACAATGTAAAAAAAAATTATCATACACTTACAATTATTTAACTTATTCAAAGAAAGTATATCAGCATTATATCAGTCATTCACGTTTTAATTTAAATTCATGGTCATATTTTGCTGTAATATTGCAAAAACATGAATAAATGTTGTATAAATAATGCCAGTTGCCATCTGATGCTTATACTCCAAGTAAAAGGTATAATTTAAGATTACAAAACAAAAGTGGCTGAAATATAATTTCTAATTATTTCAACAACACAGTTAGATTACCACTGTGGTCTGAGTCCCTAATATTCAAACTAGCACTGTAAGATAATGTGGCCTTCAACCAAACATACAAAACAATAATAGAACATTTCATAACTAACATCATTTCAAAACTGTGTTGTTTATAGGCTTGGATTAGTGATGCTGTTTCATGTTTTTCAGTACCTCCTGACTTTTTAAATTGAGATGATTTTTTATTTGTCATTATACATAAAAGCTGTGCAACAAAATTACATAGATCAGTCATATTATGATAAAAAACATATTGCTAATCTAGCAGTACTTTTCTGTACAGAGAGCAATTTAAAAACGAATCGGAGCTTCTCAAGGAAACACTAAACTTGCCTTATAAGTTCTACTTAATAAATACAAATATTTTATGATAAAATGCATTTGTCCAATAAAAGATGGTAATAGAGTAGTAGTAGAAGTGTTTAAAAAGTAGTTTTGCAACAGAGAACTAACTCTCTTCTAATGAACAACTCCTTTGCTGTTTTCCAGTAAGGTTTTAGACCCCACCATTGTACTGAATATTTTCTTGACTTTGTCACTCGTGGAATCCTCTTACAGCGACTAGAATCTCTGGCCTAAACTAGTTCATGTCCTAACTAGATCACATGGCTTTGACCTGTGGGGACCCCCAGAGGTCAATCTTGGGACTCCTTCTAATCAGTGTCTACATGCTGTCTTTAGGCCAGTTAATTTGGAGCAATAATGTGTATTAAAACAGCTATGCATACCACACACACATTTATGTCTCACTGGCAGCAGGTGAATTTGGATCAGTCAGTTTCAGCTTTTTTCAGTTAAGACTGAAGTCCTGACTGAAGGCTAGAGGTTTATCACCATTTTTAATATATTTTTTACTCTGTGTTATTGTAATATAATGTGTTGTGTGAGCTACTGTGTACAAGTAATTTCTCTTGTGAATCAATAAAGTCTAACTCACTAAGTCAACTCCAGATTCTCCCTAAAACCTGCAGATCAGGTTGAATGGGTTCAACTTCACTGACCCTAACCGTGACAGACCAGAAGCAGAGTGTGCAGCTTGAGAAGAATGTCTGGGTCACTCAGACAATCAGTACAGGGACTCCACAGGGCTGGGCACTTTCTCCCCTGCTCTTCTCCCTATAAACCAAGTGCTGCTCCTATGAGGTGGACTGGCTGGTGACCTGATGCAGTGGCAACAACCTGGAGCTTAGCGTCCAAAAGACAGTGAGAATGATCATGGACTTCCTGCAACAGGCATGCCAAGTTGCCAGCCCAGATGTTGGTGCAGTTCCACATGGCACAATGTCTTTTTTGGGTAAAAGTACTAGTAACCATGCATATTACATTCTAGACTCTCTTGCTAAATATTTTGTTTCCTTCTGCCATAAAACTTCTAAATGGAAAGTGAATTTGCTAATGTGTCTCCTGATACACTCGAGTTTGAATGCATGGTGTGTATTGAATGTACATGATTTTATTTATGGTTTATGTACAGCGAGAGATCTGTGAACTAAATTGCCCTTTGGGATTAATAAAGTTGATGATTGATTGGTCTGTGTTGTCCCATTGATGGCAACAAGGATTTTATTTACAGTGCCTACAAGGAAGTTATTTCTGTTCCACTGGAAGAGGACGAAAATGCATTCATTAAAAAAAAAAAATCTTTGATATGATTAAGTCAGTCAGGTGTTGGGGTATGTCATAGTGAATGTTGCATTACTGTGAGTTCAGAGACAAAAGTACACCAGGACACAAGGCTGGGACTTATTTCTCTGAAATACTCACCTTTCACCTCAGGGTCTGTGAGCTTGAATTCCCAGACGTTTGCTGTTTTTGTATAAAAGGTCAGTGGATGGAGGGTACAGAGGGCTATAGGGAGCACAGACCACACACCTGTGTTACCACTAGCTGCTGCGGAAGAGAGAGGTCTTGTTTTATTAGAGAACTAAGGGAATACAAATGATGGATAACGTATCTATTGTAAAGGTTTTTACTCTGTCTGCATTGAATGAGACTGCAACATATAAACATACAATCTTTTCACTTACTTTGGTGTATTACTGCCTGATTCTGTTTTTAAATATCTCTCTTATTGTTATAATCATTTTAGATTCAAATCTCCACGAGCCAATGTATATTTTACTGTGTAGTTTCTGTTTTAGTGCGTTGTATGGAACAACTGGTTTCTACCCAAAATTTCTTATCGATTTACAAGCTACATCTCCAGAGATCTCATACGATGCTTGTCTCCTCCAGGCTTTTATCATGTATTCTTTTGCCTGCTGTGACTTGTCTATTTTAGCAGTAATGGCGTATGACCGGTATCTGGCCATATGCCTTCCTTTGCATTACCACTCTATCATGACTAAAAAGAAGCTGTCTCAGTTGATATGTTTCTCTTGGGTTATGCCATTGTCTATTTTTGCTATTAGCATTATTCGAACATCTAAACTTCGTCTGTGCAGCTCAAGAATTCAGAAAATATTTTGTGTTAACTGGGTTGTTGTCAAACTTGCCTGTCCAGGAAATGAAACCATCTCGAATAATGTACTTTCATATGCTACAATTATCATATATTTGTGTCATGGTTTCTTCATTATATGGACGTACATGCACATGGTTAAAATCTGTGTTAGGTCTAAGGATGAACAAAGGAAGTTTATGCAGACCTGTGTTCCACATTTGACTTCTTTAACAACATTTCTCTTTGCGATTCTTTATGATTTGATGTACATGAGGTTTGGTTCTAATGCTATCCCACAAAGCCTTCAAAACTTCATCGCAATTGAATTTCTTGTCATTCCTCCATTCATTAATCCTTTAATTTATGGACTTAAATTGGGGAAAATACGCAAAAGAATTGTATATTTACTGACGTATCCTGGGAAATAACGGGCATCTTATCATTTCTAATGTTCTTGTCTTTTGTATTACGTTACAGTTAAGCATTGTTGTAATTTCATAATATAAATAATTTCATAATAAGGTCAACAAGTATTGGTGGATGAGACTAAGTGCGTATGCTTAAGTGTGCTTTACATGCATAATGTGCCAACAATATGTAATAGGAGTTCATTTGGGCTATTTTAATTATCTGAAACCAAACAATCTAATTTGCATTGTATTTTTGTCACTTTTACTACGAGAATGACAGCAGTAATTTTGTACGTTTGTTGTACAATATATGCATTCATTTCATTTTCAGGGACAGCGATAGGGTTTAATTGTGTCATGGTTTTGGTCTTATGCCAATGATTCTCCACTGATAACCACAACTCCCTAAACTACCTTTGTCGCAATTTAGTCAATTTCACTCTAAAATTCTTCAACATCTGTCCATGAATGCAAGTCTACAGTTTCTGCACACTGTTAGATTACAACCCTGCTCTGACCAATATTTAAACTAGAAATGTAAGATATTACGATAACCTTCAACCAAAGATACAAAGCAAGAAGAATAGAAAATCACAACTACATCTTTTGAAGATTACTTTTTCCCTAATCACTACTGACTGAACACCTTCTTGTATTACATTCACAAAAATAATGTAAAGAAAACTAAATAAGGGAGATCTGACCATTTATAGGCCTATTTTGGTTTTGTTTAATCTGTTTCATTTTGCTATTAGATGGAGAAATCTCACTGTAGACTATTGTAAGACTATTAACGAGGCCTTTCAATGTTTATTCCTTGGTTTATGCAGTTTCTGGTCTAATGTTTAGGCTTTTTTGTCTTATTATTTCATTATGGTGCACATAAGGACACTGAAAATAAATTAATATCTTTTTGGGCTGTAAACAAGGGGCACTGTGGGACTAGAGGTGTGTTATGTGACGTTAAATCCAACTATAAGAGCAGATAAGGTGAAGCCAGAGAATAGCTCCAATGTTTTTTGTGTTTGGGAGGAGGTAGTCATTGAGGCTACAATATTTTAATAGGAAGAACAGAAACAATGCAATGGACAATGCCTCAGCTGTAACTGTATTCACATTGTCTGGTTTAAATGGTACAGAGGAGTACAGGATCCCTTTGTTTGTTGTGACTTTTTTGTGTTACAGTTTAATCTGGGTGGCTAATGTGACTATTATAGTGACTATTATTATGGATAAAAACCTCCATGAGCCGATGTACATTTTTCTGTGTAACCTGTGCATCAATGGACTGGTTGGAACTGCAGGATTTTACCCCAAGTTCCTCATTGACCTCCTCTCTTCCGCTCATGTTATTTCATTCGCTGGTTGTTTGGTGCAGGCATTTGTAATTCATGTCGCAGTTGGTATTGATTTGTCTATTCTTTTACTCATGTCTTTTGACCGATATGTTGCTATTTGCCGCCCTCTGGTGTACCACTCTGTAATTACAAGACAAAGAGTTGGCCTTTTGGTCCTGTTTGCTTGGCTTCTGCCCGTGATCATGATGATGATTGGTTCGACAACAACGTTTATTTTAAAGTTATGCGGCTCACATATTCCCAAACTCTACTGTATCAATTATTTAGTAAACAAACTTGCTTGTACTGCTTCTGTGGCCGGTTTTATGGTACCAGTCTTTACATATTCTATTTATGTGGGCCACTACCTATTTATTGTTGGGTCATATTTTAATTTAATACGAACATGCCGACAATCCAAAGAAAACATGAGCAAGTTTATGCAAACTTGTCTCCCACACCTGTTCTGTCTAGGAATTCTGGGTGTCTCACTCCTTTTTGATTTACTCTACATTCGATTTGGCTCTAACACTCTACCACAAGGAATCCAAAACTTTATGGCCATTGAGTTTCTGGTTGTTCCTCCAATTATGAATCCAGTAATCTACGGCTTGGCGTTGACACAAGTGAGAAACAGGATTGCCCAAGTGTTTGGTGTGAAACAAGATCAGGGCTCCTATAAATTTTTCAAAAAGAAATAAAAGGTTTTCACTAAAATGATTGCAAATGTTTCATTGAATCTATTTCTCTGAAGTAATTCACTTGTGTATGCTGACCATTGCTGAATTAGCCCAAATGATCATAGGTAGTACTTTTTACTTTAAAATTAAGTATTTTCAATCAAACATCAAACTACATAATGATACAGACCTATAAATAATGCCCCAAGCTATAAATATTACCCAAAGAGTAACTGACTGCTCTGGGGCTTTCTGCTTCAAATATACTTCAATATGTATCCATTGATGAAAAAAAAAGTGTTGACACTTGTGGTTTAACGCATTGTTTCCCAAAGACTGGGTCGTGACCCTCAGGTGGGTCACAAAAGATTTTTTTTGGGGTCGCTTGTCATGATCTGCAGGTAGGTCAATTGAATGTTGAAAAGAAAAAGAAATGTCCAGTTAAATTTATTTATTTATTTATGTCCAAATAGTCGACTTATGGATCCTTTTATTGCTGGTTCAATGACTGTTTTTCATTGTTTAAAACTTGAGTAATAATAATTTTTCAGAGAGACACAATCACTCAGTCAACAATAAAATATTCTCATTAATGTTGAATAATTGTCAAATCCACCTTTATTTTGTGATTTTAATAATGTCTATTGACTTCGGTTGCGAAGGTTTGTGACTTTTAAAATATGGTTCCGCAGAAAAAAAGTTTGGGGAACACTGGTTTAAAGGCATGTTGAGTTTAGGTCTATCTTCTTCTTCTGCTATAAAATGGCACACTCTTACAGACTGGTGTGTTACTTTTGTTTTATTTTTTGAAGTGTCTTATATTAAACATGACAGATTCTTGTGTCTTAACCTTTAGGCCATTATAGCCCATTTTTCTTTCAATAAATATTTGCAACATTTTGAGTGCATTTTCATTAACACAATACAATACATCATTTTGTTCACTATACACATTATTAATAAGTAATTCCACTAGCAGAGCAAACAAAGGTTTACACAGTTATGAAGAGCAGTGCAGACAGCATGTCATGTTATTTTTTATTTTGTATTAGGCTATATGTTTAATTTTTTGTTTAAAATTGAACATGTATCTGCTTAGACATATTTTTTATCATGTTAAATGTGCTCATATCACTTTATCTGAGCCATATGTTTGGCATTTGAGTGCACTGGGTCGGAGCGACTAAATGGAGGTTGTAACAAACAGGCTGGTTTGTTACCCCAGAACCACACTTAGCACCTTCACCCTTCACTAGAGCACTTTAAAACACTGCACTTTCCTTGCACACAGCACTTTTAACATATTTGCACATCACAAAATAAATTGCACACAATTGGTTTTAAAAAATATTTATTGGCTTTCCTTTAACCATTTTTTATTCCTGAGGCACAGCACTTTAATTGGAAGTTGCTTGTCCCTGGAGGAAAAGGGAGACAATAACAAATTACATTTTAAATTGACTTTGTGCAATAAATATGGTGCAATATCTGTTTTAGAATGTTTTAAGTGTTGATGTGTTTAGTGTATTTTATTGTGTTTTAATTAGTGATGTGACGTTCCGTGTCGAGTCTTCGAAGCGTGTGCCGAGTAGGGAGGGGGCGTTTCCGCGAAGCGCTTATCGAGGCTTGATGGGCTTGATTCATTTAGGGGAGGAGCTGAAAATGATGACGTCCGAAGCCTCGCTACCCGGCTGTACCACGTGACTGATTCAGGAAGTGGTTCGGGTTTTGCCGCGAGTTTTGACAGCGATATAAACTGCTCAGTCTTCATTCAAAATGTGGGTGTTTGATGGAGAGTTGCGATCAGTGAAAGTTTGGAAGTTTGGAGACAGTTTAAACTCACAAAAAAACAATTCTTATTTCTTAGGTAACAACCTGTGGCGTCGCCTGGATGACAGAGTCAGGCAGACACAAACACAAAATGTAATAGCAGACGCAAATATTGAGGTCCAACGGTACATGATGGAGCCAAATACTGGAAGGCTGGAGGACCCCCTTCAATACTGGGAGAGACAGAAATATGTCTATCCCCATTTATATAAATTAGCAGTGGCATTCTTGTGTACGCCTGCCTCATCTGTGCCCTGTGAGCGGGTGTTTTTGGAAAGCAGGAGAAATATTGTCAAAAAAAAGAAATCGCCTGAGACCTGCCACAGTGGAGAAACTGTTGTTTTTAAATAAAAACCAATGATGTGTCCCCTGAACCATAATCACTCAACGTTACAAAAGCACAATCACTGTCCATACTCCAACCCCAACCACCCTCACCTCACTGTAAATGATCATTAGCATTTTCATAATTTCCAAATAATAATTTTCCATACTGCCAGTATATATATATATATAAAAGTATTTATATTTATAAATATTTATATATATACACACACAGTATACATCACTACAATATACATGTTTTGCATACTTCTTTACTTTGCTGACAGTTTTATTCACAGGCTTTCTGCAAAATGCAACACACTTCAAATTCATGTCAACTGATATTTTTTGCATCCAGTAGACATCCTACTAGAACAAATGAAGCTCCAGGAAGCTTTGCACCAGAGTGAACCAATTGGATGAAAGGCTTCAATGCTTCATGAAGCTTCATCTGCCCATCACTAGTTTTAATGAATGGTGGATCTGCTTTTACTTACCTCCCTTTTTTATCTTCTGTCCAGGTGTGAAAAGAGTCCCCCGGAAACGAGCTGGACCACGTGTAACATTTTGTACAGGGGTTTTAGGTTAGGTGTTTTATTGGTTTATGGGTTTTAACATTTAATTGGTGTAATGGTTTTAGGGTTTTATGTATATAGTTGGTGGTTTTAATAGTTATCTGGGTTTTGGGTTGTTTTATGGAGGTTTAGGTTTTAATTTTACGCTAATGATAATTTTAACCATCCCTGTTTTAGCATAGTGGTTTTATCCAATCAGTAGGACCAGCATAAAAGGCACCTTCAAGATCAGTCTGTGTTCTGCTGCTGGAGAGGAAACTGCTGCCTGCCTCCGTTTTGCACCCTGCACTTGCACTTTTGTAATCATTGAAAAAACAAAAGTAAACTGTGGACCACAAGTACCGGTCTGTGTCTGGATTTGTTTTTTACCTTGCTCACTGAACCCCAAGCCGCTCACGGTCAACCGATGTTACAGAGGTCTATGGGAGAGCCTGAAGTTTGCAGTAAATTTGACGTCATTAGTAGTGATGGTGAGATAAAGCCTCATGAGGCATTGAACCACTTGAGCCAACTGGTTCATTTCTCGAAGCTTCATGTGCGCACGAAACCACCTACTGGCTACCGTGGTGAAGTTAGTTTCACATCAGACGTTAGATATTCAGTTACGCAACTGTCACGCCCCTGCCTGTCCTGAGTCTTCTGGGTGTGGACGTGGGCGGAGTCTGCTGGGAGCACCTGCTTTCCATCTCCAATCAAGCCTGCTACAAAGGCCCAGCTCTCCTGCCAGACTCTGCCAGATTGTTTTCGTCTACCTGACGGTGATTTTCCTATCGGCTCAGCTTTTGATTTTTCCTCGCTTGCTATATACTTACCTGCATTTTTGTGCTCCTAGTTCCTGCCTTTCAAGACTCCTGCATCCCGACATCTGGCTCCTCATCTCTCCACCACCAGACCTCCCTGGTTAATAAACCTTGTTTCTTTTGCACTTTCTTGTTGTAGTTTTGAGTCTCTTTTTGGGTCCACTCCAGTGTCACATAACAGCAACAACAGCGGAGATGTTCATTGCCTGTGCCCCGCTTGCTCCTTCATGGTGCGGGGAACTGTACACTAAAGCTCCACACTGAGTCCGCGGGTTAGAGACCTTCAATAAATTACAATTGCATTGAATGGAGTCTGCTAAAAAAAAAAAAAGAGAAAAAGATATATAATATATATAAAATATATATATCTTCCAGGTCAATTAATCTAAAAACACCAAACCAAGTTATTATAGTAGTCCTACTCCTCAGGTGTCACGCACACCTTTTGGTTTTCCAATTTAACCCTTTGTGGGATTTTTAGGAATTTTTAAACTTAAAAAATTGTGTTTTTTTTCAATAGCTTCTAAAGGAGATGACCTACCAAGTCCAAACCAAGTTAGCCTCTAAACCAGAACCAAGACTAAAACCGGGACTAACCCAGTCCAGGACTAAACCAGGTCTAAACCAGGACTAAACCAGCTAAACCAGAACTAACACCAGAACTAAAACCAGGACTAACCCAGTCCAGGACTAAACCAGGACTAAAACCAGGACTAAAACCAGTGATCTCATATATAAAGCATTTCTCTATCAATAATATTTTTAATATGGTTAAGGAAAGACTGGACTTTTTATTGTCTTTAAGTAAACAAAAGTTATTATGTTCAGATTTCCTCGTCTTTGCTACTTTACAGCAAACAGTTTCTTATTCATGGAGACTTGGGCTCAACAACCAATTTGAAGAGAACAAACAAGAATTTGCAGGATGCAGTTGCTACATTCATGTAGTTTTAAAAAGCATGACAATATCAAGTAATCCAAAGTATTCAGATTACATTACTCACTTTAAGTAATTAAATGGATTACGTTACAAACTACATTTTGGGATATGTAATCTGTAGGGGAATACATTTTAAAAGTAACCTTCCCAACACTGCAGATTAGTAATAGTAATAATAATGATGATACTGTGTAATGTAAGTGACTGCATCTGTTAAAGTTTGTTAAACAATAAATGACTTTATAAAGTCACTTTTTTTTGTTCTATATCAGTCTTTTGATCTGCCACAATAATGTAATAATGAATTTAAATGAAAATACCTCAAATTGAAGGCTTTTCTCAGAAATTTTTAGGTGAGATTAAAAAGAGCTTAATTAGATTAATTAATAACAGATCATAATTAATTAATAATTGGGTTGTGTGCACGTTTGATATTTGGTTTGGTCTGAACTGGTCTAAACATGGACCAGATTTGGACTTCTTTATAGAGTGTGACGGCTCTGGTCCTAACTCTTACACTAAACTAAAAGTCTAGTAGTCGTGTCCTAATCCTTCTCTTTTTCAGGTTTGCACAGGGTCTGTTCATTTTAACCTGTTTGAAATACATTGACATTTCTGTTTAAACACTGTATTAACTTTACAGGGTTAAAGGTTAAATCTCATATTAATATTGCCATTGTGTATGTTGTAAAATTTTTTGGACTTGTCTTGTGAAATGACAGTTCTAACCCTAACTCTTCTGACTCTTCTCACTGCAGATCTAAACTGTTTTACTTAACTTTTAAAGTAGTCTTCACAGGTCCAAAGGCTGCTGTTTATGGTGAGTATGTCTGCACGCACTTACTAACACACTAACTCTACAAGCACGGGCGGTGGGTCTAATCCAGCCATAGAGGGCGCTGTGTGTCCCTCTGTGCCAGTCCCCAGCCTGGATAAATGGAGATGGTTGCTTCAGCGTAAAACCTGCCTCTTTTAGCCCGATTTTAAAGTGTGTATGGAAAGTTTTTTACTTGTGGTAAATATTTATCATAGTTTTACTTCAGTTTTATGTTAGTTTCCGGAAAAAACTTATAAAGAAAAGCACAAAAATAAAGGATGTACTGGTTCTAAAACTGTTATCAAAACTTTCAAATACAGGGATCATTGAACTATTGTGTCATTTCATAGTATGGCTGCTAGTTAAAAGTTATGAAATTGACTCTGTATCTGCTGTCCGTGTTCAACCAGGAAATACAATTTGAAATCTTAATAAATATAATTGCTCAAATGCCATATACATTTCAATATATTGACTGTACCAGCTTAAATCTGTCTTTTATCTTGTAGCTTTAAAGTTATATTTATAGGTTTGATTTAGTCAGTCATTACCAAAATACCTTCTGCTGCTAGAATAAAAAGTACATTTGTAAATATTGTAATGTTGAATAAACTGTGTAATGCGTGTAGAATTTAGAAAGAAAACAAAAACATGTTTCTCAAACAAAATTGTGAAATGCGTGGAAATCTGATGGCTGTGCTATACCTCTGAATTTTTGACTTTTGACTGAGTCTTACAGAGGAAAATCAAGTACCCCGCGTCACCCAGAGCAGTGGCGCCGTCTGCTGGAGAAAGAATACAAGAACCAGACCTCTGGATTCACAATATTCAAACACATAACCCCCGTCTCAGTTCTTTATTTTTTATGAATGAATGAATGAATGAGTGTTTCCTTTACTAAGTCCCAGTTGATTGTTTTATGGGATAGGCTATTTAATACTTTTTTTCTGAAAAGTCATAAACCTGTCCTACCTCGGTTAGCTGACCCAGACCCCATTACTATGGTAACCAGTAGCCTGTCTTCTTTTCAGGTTTTTCTGCCATGTCATTTGTTAAACGTGTTGTGATACTCAGATAATAATCTTTTTAGATTTTTATTAATAGTCTTTTTTTGTTAAGGGTTGTATTTTTGTCTCATAAGAGCTCAGTTATTGAATAAATGTCTGTGAGCCCGGGCTCAAGACAAGCCAAAAGCGGAAAGACATGAGGAGGAGAAAGAAGCAGAACTTTCCATTAAAGCACCAGAGTGGAGCTACGAGACACTGGTACAATACACAGGTACAGAGACACTGGTACAAATACACGGTACAAACACAACCGGAGCACTGTCCTCCATCTATGGAAGTGTAAGATCTTATTACAGATCCACGCCTCCATAACGTTTATCAGATTATTAGACTCACACGCAGCTGTACTCAGATTAGTCTCAGTTCTGCAAGTTTTATTACCCAATGTTTTGTAGTAGTTTATATTAGGTTAAGAATCTTAAGTTGTAAGTTACAACCGTGGTCAATAAGAAAGTTCATGTCAAGCACAACAGAGCTTGATATAATATGAGATGTTTAAAAAAAAAAATTATTCTGTACTGTTTGAAGCAGTAGTGCAAAATGTCCGTAGAGATAGTATGAACTGACAAACTAACACAACAATCACATTTCAAAATGTTCAGTGTTTGTAATGATCTAAATTGCGGGCGAGAAGTTTATTATTGTTGTTTGTGGAGCAAATAATAGTACTATATCTCTGACATGTTAGTGCCATATGAACCATCTGGCACTCTGTGAACCTCAGGGACCAGCCTCCTGCTGGGGCCCAGAGTCAGCATTTCATATGCAGCTAAAATCTGGAACAGTCTTCTTGAAAATGTGAGACAGGTCTCTACTTTGACAAAAATTTAATCTAAACTCAAAACAATTCTTGCACTCTTCTCTATAGTGTTTTTATGATTTTAATGTATTTCTTATTTTGTAAAGTACTTTTTACTCTGGGTACAAATGCTATACAAATAAACTTGCTTTGCCTTCTTCAAAAACTGCAGCCTTAGCAATCTGTTAATTGTGTTTCAGTGTCCATTTAGTGTTTTCGATTTGATTCTGCTCTACACTCCACTAATCACTTTTTGTCTTTGTTCCTACTCTCCCTGAGGACTTGTGTCTTCGACCCAGCAGATTTCCAGCAGGCCCCCAGTAGTGTCCCGGCTGCAGCCCCAGCAGCAGAGCACAGATTCAGCCTGAGTCCTGCCTCCATCCTGCAGGAACCTCCAAACGCTCCACCCACAACAGCCCCCAGTGCAGCTCCTCCAGCCAACAGCCATGCAGGGGAGGAGGTGAGGGGAGAGCGAGGCTTCATCTGGGCAACAAAAAACAAACACATTTAAAGTGCATATGACAGCTTAGAGTAGTTTCACACTGAAACATAGTTAACATAATTATATTTAAGATTTTACTCAAATTTGACCTAGTTTTGTCTATTTTTTTTAAACAGGAGGGCTGTGTATTGGAGTTTATGCAACAAATGGCATAATGGAATACAATTTCTTTCAGGAGTATTACAACCAGCAATGAATATATAATAATAGTGATAACACTGTCAATCCAGAACTCAGTATTTAATTCAGTAATGAGAAATTTCTCCCAATTTTTTTCAAACATAAACACAACATAGGCATGGTGGTCTAAATGTGTAAAATAAATAACATGATAAAGTGAAACTGTAAAATCTCACCAGTTTTTCAGATTCACATAGATGGATATTTTGCTCAGCTGTAATAGAAATAAATTATAACGTAAGAATAAATAACAACTACTACTACTACTACTACTGTTACTACTACTACTAATAATAGATAGGTGATTATACTCACGATGTTTGTTCTTCAGCCCCTCTTCCTCATTCTCCAGTCTGAAAAGCATGTCCAAAGTGCTCACATCCACCGTCATTTTTCTTTGCAGATTGTACTTTTTCTTAAAATGCTTTTGGACCTCCGTCACCACCGACTGCAGCATCATCTTGGTACATTCATTCTCTGTATTCAGTTGTTTCTTCTCCTCTTGTAGCTTCATAATTTCCATTTCCATTTCATCTTGCATTTTAATCGTCTCACTCAGCTTTTTGTCCACTCGTTCTCTCTCTACTTCAATGCTTTTTTGAGCTGTTGTCTTCTCAGATGACAACCATGCTATTAGCTGATCTTTTTCCATGAGATACTTTTTAAGTTGGTTGTTGTCCCTTTCTACATTTTCCAAGCTCCGAAGTGTAATATTTTGGTTAGCATTCATTTCGTCTACCTTGTTTTTATACGTGCAGATTACAATGTCTTTTTGCGCTACTGTTTCCATTAAGTTATTAGTTAAGCAATCCTTCTCTTCATTCATTTTCCTCAATTCTTCATTCTCTGCTTTTGTTTTGTTCAGCTGAATTTCAGTTTCCTTGCATTTTTTGTCTAAATTTTGGCAGCTTTCTTGAGCGTGCATATAACACTGTAGCAAATACTGATGATCATTAAACAGGTCCAGTTCCTCTATCTTCTCTAGCAGGTCTCTAACTTGAATTTGGTCATTTTTGTCTAAATTATTTAAAACGTGATACCTATTTCCACATTTGTCTACTATCCATTGTAAAGCAGGCCACCTCTCAATGTGCTCCTCAATAGCAGTGCTGCATAGTTTGTCTTTATAGGTAAACATCAATATAGTCTTTGACCAAACGTGGGTGTCCAACAAACTCATATGTTCCTCCACTTTCAGGCGATCGGTTTCAGTAAAAGTCTCATCACAGCGTAAAACCAGAAGTACTGCGTTAGGTACTGAAGTATTTGAACTTTCTATAATCTGTTGTACTATTTCAAGTGGAGTATCTTGACTATAGTATCTGCCGTGCCAGCCAGGAGTATCCACTACAGTTACTTTCTTCTCGTAAACCTCACCCTGGCCTGTATGACTTTGAGACATCTCCATAGCTGTACTGAAGTCTGCAGTTCCGAGGATAGTGTTGGCAGTTGAACTTTTCCCAGCATGCTTTGGACCGACAATCAGGATTCGATGTTCTGAAGCTGGGTCTCGCTTTTCTAAATTAAACATAAAAAGGCAAACTGGTAATGTGTAATAAATACTTACTGTAATCTTCATTAGTTTTAATACATCATAAGGATATACTTTGTTTATAATGAACAAAAAGTTTATTAAGAATCATTAAGGACTAGTAACTTCTTAGTTATTGCACTACTTTAACTACAAATCCCTTAAGTTGTTACCAAGCCTGAATCTTGATAAACTTTGTGTTCATTATGATTTATGAAAGTCTTTGTTCATTTTTCCAAAGTAAATATGTACAAGGAGGAATAAAATGTCTTCATTCATACAAAATTGTATTTCTCATATGAAGTTAGTAAAGCAGAAGAGGAGAGCAGACAATAAATTCTGCAACTGCAACAAGGACAGCTCATATCTCTAGTGCCTACTCCTGCTCAGTTTTACATCCTTTATTTTGCACTTTTCCACTTGGTGTTCAGTTAGTACTTTTTAAAGGTATATTTACACACACACACACACACACACACCACATCAAAAGTGGGACTAAACTATGTCTGGATATAGTGGACCAAATCAAGTCTACATCGAACTAACTGACCATTTCCATCAGAGAAAACAAACAATACTTACCAGTAAGGGATCTCAGCACACTCCTTGATGCTTGTCTGCTGCTTTGCCTTAGCTTGGCCTTCTTCTCCACCTCCTCTCTGTTCAGCTCTGATAAAAATGCCTCCACTTTGGTTGAAATCCCAACTCCTGTCTCTGTTTTGTTGTTTTCTATCATCACATCAATTTTCTCCCAAAGCTCTTCCACTTGACTCTCCTGTCCATAAAAGCTTGTGTCTAAAAGATGGTACCTATGTCCACATTTCTCCAGCAGTGGTCCAAGATACTTCATTTTTGTTACATAATCTTGTATTGAAATCCCTTTTAACTTTTCGGGTTTGGTAAATACAACAATTGTGTTTTTCCATACATGATCATTTAGCAGTTGAAGAGGTCCCTCCACTGTCCACTCTCTCCCTTTGTTAGCACCAAGAGGCACCACCATAAGAAATGCATGGGGTCCTGGTTGACACATACACAAGCATTCAGCCATATTGTCATTGATTAAACCTGGGTCTTGTACAGTGTATTGCACCCATCTGTCCGGAGTGTTGATCACAATAATTCTTTTGCCATTTTGGTTCGAAGTCTGTCTCCTAACACACATTTTCACGTCTCGTCTGGTGTCAAACATTTGTTGCTGAAGTAGGGTGTTTCCAGTTGAACTCTTCTCCAGCCATCCATGACCAAAAAGGACAAGGCGCAACTCATGAACACTTTTGATTCCTGTGAATGGATACAAGAATAGGTAACAGTGATAGAAATTTACTAAGGAGAAAACATAAATGATTTTTTTAATTGTACAAATCTGACACATTTAGGATGACCACCTGTCCCTCTTTTGGTTGTCATGTACTGCAATTTAGTCCTTTATTGATTGTCTAATTATAAAACATGAAATTTACATGCATTTTTTTCTCACAAATATCAATACTTGTTTTTGTATACTTGCAATGCAATTCCTATTCCTGTACTATGTTTCGATAAAAAGAAAAAAAAAAACATCAGTCATCAGTGTTATTGCAGTTACACTAATATCTAATAAGTAGACCTTACTTGAAAAAATCTAGGAAACCGATTACCTTGAAAAATCTGACTAAAGTGGACTGTGAATCTAAAGCTGAGCTTAAGTCAGTTTCTCTTTATTTTAAGAGAAAATTAATCTTACTTGGTAAAACCATGGAAACCAATTGCCTTCAACTGAGCAAGTAAAGTTACTTATATACACAAGTTACAGTAAAAACAAGTTCTATTTTGCAATAATGCCATTTAGAAAAAAAAACCTAGCAAAACGTTTAACTGGGAACAGACAAAAATGGAAACTGGAGCTGGACTCTTGGCAATAATACTTCACTGCTGAAGTTACTTGTCTCATTTAAGTTAACTTTAGTCTAATTGACAAGTAATGTGCTTTTTTTTTTTTTTTTTTTTACCCTGAAAGTAACTGTTACTTTCTCACAATCATTAAGATCCACAAATTCGTAGCTGTGAGTAAAGTAAACTTGCTGAATGCAAGTTAACTCTAGATTAGATTTCAGATTTCACAAGTAAAAAAATAGAAAAAAAAAAAAATTATGCATTAGAGTAGGTGTAGTATATTCTCATATTAATATACAAAATACAAATTAAATAAACAAGAAAATTAACTGAAATGAACTAAGACACTGCAGACATCACTGACAAAAACAAAACAAACATCCAAGCTCTAAAAATAGCCAAACAAACAAAAATCTTTTCACCTTTTTGTTGATGTGCTCTACAGGTGTCCATAATTTCCTCCATTTGTTACTGTGGAATTAGATCTTCGACACTTGGATTAATAAACACAGTCTCCTCCTCACACATTAACTGCTTTGCCATGGTCCGTTTGTGTTCAAGTTCTTTCAGCCTTTGTATTTCTGACTCAAGTTCAAAGTTCATAACAAACAGCTAGTCATGCTCTTTTGCTGTGAAGATATCAGTTTTATCTAGTACTCTGTGAACAGAGCAGGTAATCACTTTAGCTCAGTCCGTACGATAAGAGTGTTACTTTAAAGTTAAATCTTAAAAAAAAAGGCACTCAGCGACAATACGTAAACAGTATGTAAATGAATCTTTCCAATTGCTTACGCCCTCTAGTGGTCATATGTAAAACCATCTCCAGCAATTGTCTCAAGAGGAGTCACGAACATCATTCATTCTGTTATAGGGCCAAGTAAGAACAAATAAGATTATTATTATTATTATTTATTTATTTATTTATTTATTAAATTATCATTATTATTATTATTATTTTCTGTAGTTTTTATCTTCACTACTTAAACTTGGCTTTGCAACTTGGTTTTGCAGCGTTGACTGTAAGGTAGTATATTATTCAATCTATTCATCTGGTATAACATTTTTATGAACCTATATCTACAAATATGGACGCTACATACACAACAAGCATATGGAGAGTCTAAACCTTTTGGCACTTCACTCTAAAACAATAAGTAGATGTTCATATTTTACCAATGAAATTAATCACTGAATATAATAGTAATGTTTGGATAGTTGTTTGAAAAGCACAAAAAACAGGGGACAATCGTTTTTGTAGGCAACCATTTTAAAACAGCAAATATCCTTGTGTAGGTTAAAATAACCCAAATCACAATTATGACTGAGGCTGGAAAGGGGAGTTATGTGTTGTTGACCAGTGCAAATGAAAAACTCACACTCACTGGGTTTCATCTTCCTCAGAAAGTCTTTATTGAGATCCAAATTGTTTGAATGCCACAGCTGTTGGAGGAGTGTCCCTGAGTCAGAACAAGCTTGATTCAGTGACTGTGCCATAATGCACACCATGCAAAAGGTTTCCCACTACAGTAACAAATCAGAATCAATGATAAAAACAGGTTAGAAACGCCTGGAAAGCATGTGGTATGGATGCAAAAATTGTGGCTTTTAAAATGACACGTTTGGCATTGCTGATATTTACAGCTAAAGACCTGAAAGGAGCCAAGATCCCAAACCCAGTTTTCTACTATAGCTTCTCTGTTTGACATTTTAAAAGGTGCATATCAGTACATATAGTGGAAAAGCAATTCATAGTGTCATCCATTATTTATTGTACAGATTTAGTACAGACAAAGTATTTATATAATACATAAAATGTCTAAATTTAGATTTTAGATTGCAATAATTTGCCATCTTTCCAATTATCTGAAATTAACTTATTTTTGTGTACTTAATCTATATAATATAAAAGACTAGTGTAAATGGCCCTTTCCACCATATATGTTTATAGGTATGCCCCTGGTACACTGTCACATTTGGTTGCAGCCTGAATTGCAAAAGGACTATCTCTGCCATTTCTAAAAGTGAACATATTATTTACATAATGTACATATGTATAGAATCTCAGTATATTACACTTACTGTGCAGCTAAGTATTCACAAAAAGGCCCGGTTAACTGAAATAATGTTATAATGCGCAATTTTCACAGACATGTCAATAAATGCTAATTATGGAAGATTAAGTATATACCAATTAATGTATATTTACTGTAAAGAAACTGTCAGCTTTATGATTGTAATGTTTTATTTCAATATAAATATAATATGTAAACAATTAAACGGCATTCAGATTTTTTTATATCCGTTAACTGCAAAGCATCAATTCAAACAAAACTGCTTGGCGGGCTAATATATTTCCTTTGTATTGGATTGTTCTGAATTCTCTTTTAAGTATTTATTGACATGCTTGTAGACATCTGTAAGTAGAAGACATTCATTGTTTGTGTTGAGCTTGCTTATACAATGTTTTAAATCAAAACTGTGATTTAAAATGAAATGTATGTGTGATAGAAGATGCATGATAATGAAAATGGTCTCATTCACTATGATGTTCTCAAAGAATAAATCAACAAAAGAAGTGTCTTTGTTATTTAATCCTTTAATATCAAGTGTCAACTGCAGAAAACATAAAAATAGCCTTAGAAAAGAAAAGCTGATGCATAACAACAACATAATACTAATTTTACCTATTAATAATCAATTTTATGTTTTTAATCAATACTTGGGGAAACAACAAGCTCTCCAACCACAGTCAGCAGTTTGTCTTTAACTCAATATTCAAATATATAGTTTGATTCACAGCTTTTGTTCTGCTTCAGAGTACTGTGGGATATTGGTTTGTATTTAAAAGGAAACCAGATCTATGAAATGATCTTTAGTAACCATCATTGTGTCAGTTTTATGATGGTCGGTCTTCACATCAAAGTTCACAATTTATTCGGTCAGTTATTTCAACACCAGTGCATTATGGGGAACATGATCCCAAAAATCTGCTACAAAATTATTAATCTTCCAGTCCTTGACCATAGCAGGGCTCAGATGGCAACTAAAATTTCACACAAAAATCAAAGCAGCACTGACTATTAAGGCTTGTAAGGAAACCACCTCTACATCATACATGTTTCTTATCCCTGGTAATCCCAAATGGAATAATCAAAACGGACTTTAAACAACTTCTTATATAATATGATTTTTAGCATTAGGCCCATTTCTAATATTTTAGAAATCATTTGTTCCTGCAAATTCTGCACTGTGCTCTTGTCTATGTCAGTGTACATGTACAACATCGACATTTGAAATGAATGGATTTCCACCTTTTCATAATATTAGTTTAAAATACCATGATTATTTGTATGCATCAAAACAATCTGACTATTCAAGCAAAAAGAGACCATTGTAAACTGTAAAAATGAATATATAAATTGAGCTATAATAAAATATAGATGGAGAATGATTAAAGGGATGCTGAAAGAATATTCCCTGTCTGAGCAAGCTTGAGTTAAGGCAAAGTTTAACAAAGACTACAGCAGCCTAAACGTAGACAGCAAAACCAAACAGCAAGGAAAGTGACCGGTTTAGACACAAAATGTGCGGTATGAATGACTGGCATAACACAGGTGCTTTGCCCTGACAATATAGTTTTGATACTAAAACAAAATACAATGTAAGTAGTCCAAAGTGATCATGTTGTAAAATATGAATGAAAGTTTGTATGTGGTGTCAAATTAATAAAAAAAAAAAAGCAGTGCTGGTAATGAGACCTGTAACATGGCAGGTATCCTTGATAAGGACAGCCCTTATAGTGATAGAACAGACTCCAGTCTCTCCACAGATCTTCAGTAGAGAATAGGTTCACCCAAATCGCAACAATATTACCTCCATGTGATCATAATTAGAAGTACAAAATTGTGAACACAATACAAAATTGTAAATCGACGGACTAGGTACCATTTGTAGTGCTCTGGCTCCCTCTTCTGGCCTATTTAATTGTTGAATAGGCAAATATTGCCGAAGGTATTTTCAGTGGTATAATTTGTGATTATGTGAAGAATAGAAATATTTTAATTCCAAGAAATTTTATTTGAGTTGTATTAATTTTAATAGTCTACAGTTTTCCAATATTTAAATGCATTGCTAATTCCAAATGTCTGGTTTGACAACTAGGGCCTGCAGTTGTCAATAGCACTGTTAATATGACAGGAATAAAAATGATTTTGGTTTTAAATTGTTCCAAACCTGAATTCAAACCATTATTTAAGAAATACATTTGGTCTTTTTAAACTGTAATGAAAGGGATCTCTTTGCAATATTACACAAAAATTACTGTCTAAGGAAAACTGAATTATGCCTGAAACCAAATTTTCCCCGTTGTGTGTGAATTGGATGAACCCCCATATTAGTGAAGAGAGACTGGGGCCTCAAGGCACCGGTTCCTATTACAAGTCCCACTTAGAGAGAGAGAAGAGACATATTGTGTGTTAAAGATTACAAAATGGATAACCTCTGGAAGTGAGGTTAGAGCTATCCAAATATACGTTGTGTTTTGGCGCCTGCAGGATGAATTTTGAACCATTCTGTTGTTGTGAAGGTAGTTAAGTGGGCAATGTGGGCCATGGCTTGTTTAGGCCAGCTTTCCAAGTGACAGGTTTGGAGCTTAGCCTTATTGGGACTTAGTGGAATGGGATAGTGGGTTACTAGGTGGATTATAGACGCACATCTCTGCATCTCTCGCTAGGTCTCTAAAGTCTGTTTTTCAACACAGGCTTTCTCAATCTGGGATTTCTTAGTTGTTATTTTAGCTGATTCTCCTCCTGACTTACTGACTGCCGTAACAGTATTGGAGGAGATCATAGTCGCTGCATAAATGCAACCACACTTTGTTAAATGGGATGACACACTTTAGTTTTGCTTCTTGGCCTCTTGATCGCCATAACTTGAGCCTGTTTTCTTTACTTCTGTTACTCCTATGAGACGGCGGATGGCTATAGAGGCTGTAAGTAAAAGCAAAAGAAAAAATGTATTTAGTTAGATAATAGAGAGCATACAAGTGTTAAAGGTGCAAGATGTAACTTTTCTGATGAATAAACACCATCTGCTTGTCTCCATGGAGATGTTATCATTTTGCTTTGAATGTTCCATGATATGGCCATTAACTTAACAATGTCCATGGAGACCAGCAGGTGATGCTACTAAGCCAGCTAAAAGGGCAGATCTGGCGAAACCTCAAACTAAGACTGCATTTTTTTTTCTTTTAGCAATAACACACCAGTAACTTAATCCATGTGAGATAGAAGAATAGATATAGAAGTTTACTGCCATACTGTGGAACATTCCAGGCAAACCAATAATATCTCCTGGAGAAAAATAGGCGATGGGACTCTATACCCGAAAAGTTACATAGAGCACCAAATTTCAAGTCTTTTTGCTCAGTGCAAGTATCAAGTTGCACTAATGAACTTCACCTACCTATGACGAGGAAGAGGATAAAGCCAATTATAAGAAGGGGGGAGCCGCTCACGACCACTCCACATGCAAAGTTGATGAGAGGTGAAAGCAGCAGGGTTGCCCAAAACAGGAAATTTAATAATGTCCACGGTCTGCGACGCGGGATTATCGTGGGCCCAGGGAACTTGCCTTCTTTGTTGTAGTTTTCTTGTAAGGCATCCTGCAGGGGACAAAACATAATGAATTTTCCAAACTTTTAGCTCTGAAAAGTTGTACATAATGATATTTAGTTGCTTACATTGTAACTTCACAGGTCTGTTATTAATGCATCGGGCTACGTTCAAACACAAATTATCCTTACCTTTTCCTGGTAGAGCTTGTGAAGCCAGCTGGCACACTCTTGCTCATCATCAGGTATGTCCTCTACAGGAAAACGCCTGTGAAAATGACAAAGGCAAAACTTATTTAAAGCACATTTGAAACTAAGTGCTCAAGACTCCCATCAAGACATTCACGGTTTTCGCTGTTTTCTAGTTTAGTAGGAACACCTACATCCCAAGAGTCTCATCAAATGTAAACAAAATGCAGTGAAATGCAGTGAATGAACAAAAGAGAAATCTAAATCAAATCAATACTTGGTGTGACCACCCTTTGCCTTCAAAAGAGCATCAATTCTTCTAGGTATACTTGCATACACTTTTTGAAAGAACTCAGCTGGTAGGTCGTTCCAAACATTAACAGCAAACCTTGAAAGCCCAGTCTGCTTTGAAATCTTTGTCTGGGAGAGACCTTGCTGATGCAGTATAACTACATTGTGTCTTGTTGCTGTGCTCAGTTTTGCCGTGGTGTATGACAAGTGACATGAGGCCATCTTCCACAACCTCACCTTGGTAGAATTTGGCTGTTCCTCAACTCCAGTTTTAAGCCTCCTACAGAGCTCTTTCTCTTTCAGTTAATGACTGTTTTCCAACCTACGTATGACATTGATGATCATTAACATCTGTTTGGTATAATTGGTTGAGCATACACCTGTCTGTAATCCTACAAAATCCCTGACTATGTGTGTAGCCCTTTGTATGAATTGGTAATGGTAAATGTGGAAGAAATTTGACACATAAAAGCCCTAAATAAGTTAGTGAATTAGCTTATTAGCTTATTGTGGTTTTTCAAAAGGGCCAGCATACAGTAAGTGTAGCATATTTTGTTGTTGTACACCAGCAAGTCCACTAGATGGCAGTCTGTCTATAACCAAAGTACTGCATCTCAAAAGCCTCTATATAGAACCAAACAAAACCATTTCCTACAGACATTAAAAGTGATCAGGCTGAAATATGGTATGAATTTGTAAGATTTACATAGTGCGTGTTCGAATTCACAAAGGCACTTCTTATCTACGAGCTACCTCATTTGGTTAAACTGTTAAACCAAGAGCCATCCACACACTGGGAATGAGGCCAAAGCACTCAGAGCTGTCAGGTGCAGGCTTCATTGTTCCAGGACAAAGATCCAGGTGGTCGGGGGCCATAAGGCGAGAACTACATTCATCATTTTACACTTGAAGAGGCTCAGAGCAGCTGGATCACGGTGAAACGCTTTATCATCAGAAATGGGGGTCCCTTCACTCACCTCACACACATGTCCGCTTTGTATTTCTTTCCATGGACGATGCCCAGGAGAGTCGGGGTTTGGTTGTCTTTAAAGTTGAGGGTGACATCATAAACAGCAGACACTGCAGAAAATAAAGTGAGGAAGAAGCGTAAGTAATTATAATGTGGAACAGGTTGAAAATGAAATGCATGTTTAAATTTGAGTTTTTGACAAGGTTTATTAAGCATGAGTTAAGCTGATTTTATACCAAACTATCAGAAGACTTACTTTTAGTAGTATTTGTAGTGGTAATACAGAATGCTATACATCTTTTATACATTTTTAAAAATGCATTTAAAAGTAGGCCTGTCATGTTAATTACTATAGAGCATATATTTTTATTGTGTGGGGTCAGTATTTATCATGTGCATGTCTTCTTTGCACTGCAGGGAAATTTTTGGTTACTTTTATATTTTTAATGAATGAATTTATATTTTAATAAAAATATTCATATTTATAGGCCTGTAATTTTAAGAAGACATTACATTTTGATGCTGTAGTTGTGTACAGAGAGCCTTACCTGTCCCCTTCAGACACTGCAGTGTGGTGGTGAAGCCTTTGGTGCGGGGCAGGAGGTGATATTTGAGCTTGGGAAGGCCTTTGCTCTCGGCCACCTGCATACTAATCTGGTGCTTCTTCTCCGTGAACCGTGTACCTTCACAATACAACAGGAACTGCAAAGACAAGAGTCTTGCGTCAGTACACATAAACCTGAACGATAGCTTTTCAGTGAGGGTTGGTTCAGTGACAGATCAAGTTCTACCCAAAGTAACACTATGCCATGATAGAGCCCCTTATCTTGGTCATCAGAAGAGCGAGCATGTTAATACAAGAGCTTAGTTTGTTAGTGAGCACAACCAAACTGGTTCTACATTCTGTTTGAATCCAGAAGGGATTGAAACCGGACCATAAAGGGTGGAAAAACTCCTTCCAAATTTGTAGCACATGTCTCTCAAATGTGGAACACAGCTCATCTCCAAAATTCTCCTAACCTTCAGAACAAAATACATAAATTTTTTAGACTTAGACAAACTATGCGTGAAATAAGTAATAGTATGGTGCTTTGATTATTGATTCTGTAAAATTTCACACTGTTTCTCAGTCGAGTAGATTTTTTTCCCCCCTTTTTTATGTGTAAGCAGCCATTTTCTTTTAAAGTGAGCGGGGCATGTAACTCTCTGGTTAATCCTCCTGTCAGTCACACCCTCTGAAATCAGGGAGACAGGATATGGCTTCAGATCCACTCATCTTTGTGTTTTTTTAAAGCATTTTGGCTGGTCAGGTAAGCATTTGATAGCATTAGCTGTAAACTGTATTATGTTTGTATTACTGCTTCAGTAGTAGGCTTAAGATTTGTGATTGTGACCATTAGCATTCCAATTTAACAGCATCATCTTCTATGACTCAGAACTCAAGCCAGCCTTGCCCTGATGTTTGACTTGCCAAGTAATTAGATCAAGCGCTAATCCCACTTATCTCACCTGAGAACTCTTTGCACCTTAGCAAACGTCTTTGCAGTAAACATTTGGCAAAGACCACAAAAGCACAACAAATATTTTAAAAATAAATAAATAGAAGAAAAGCAAACAAGTTGCCTTCTGGGATGTGTGTTAGACAGCTGGTGACCTCTGAACCTGAAGTGTCTAAAGCTGCCAGCAACTACTAGCTCATGAAAACTCGGTCAAAGGACACAGAACAAAAGATGGATTTCTATAAAATAAAAGAAACCTGGGAAGCATATCAGTGAAAATCCTTTGAATCCTTTTAGGAAAACCAAAAAAGCAAGTTTGCAAAACGCTTTCAATTATTTACACAGCTGGGACAAGAATGAAGTAAGATGTGGAAAAAAATACACTAGGTTAAACAATAGTACTTTTAATACATAATTTATTTCAATTTCTGGTCAGATTTGTAATTCAGATTATGTTTTTTGTGACATTATAAAATGCTAAAATTTACAACAAAAAAGGGTATTTTTGGGAGAGTCATTAATGGGCTATATCATTGTGAGTATAAATGACTTGGCCGAGGTCTCTGACAGCCAACTATCCTACCTAACACATACCTTTTCAAATGTATCTTCTTTTTACATTTTTATATGATTGTACCCTTTTATCCACCATATTTACCCTTAAAATGTTTTCACACTATGAGTATTACGAATACACCACAAATTTCATTTTGAGTAAATAATCCAAATACAGGACACTTACCCACATGTGTTCGGGATAATCCTTAAGTCTGTTCAGTCCACTAAACACTGTCTTTCTGTCTTCCTCCCATTTTCTTTTACAAAAAACTATTTCAAGGAAGTACCACGTCCAACCAATTAGAGGGACCATCAGCAGCTCATGTTTGGCTAGCACTTTTGAACTCTGTAAAACAAAAAAAGCATACATTGTAAATCATTAATTCTGTAAAAGAAATTAGCAAAAATGTATAGAAAGCTTTACTGACCCCCAATACTCCATATCTTTCACACATGGTCCAGCCACACAGGAAATCAATCTCATAGTTATGGTTGAGGATGACAATTACATGCTCCGTGCCGAATTTTTCCACCGTAGCCTGATCGGTGTAGAGGGTGCATTCTGTGCCAGACCACCACTCCAGCAGCATTACCAGCTCTGCCAGCAAACAAATAGATTAGACACATTGTATCCGTCACTGAAAAAACAGGACATTAAAATCACAAAGAAAGAAGAAAGAAGCAGCTAGCTAGGAGGTTGATGTAGAAAAGAAAGTCTCCACCAAGACTGCTTCTGACAGGTTGAATCAGCAGTAATTGCAACAAGCCAGTTTCCTTACAGAGATAAAAGTATTCCATAACAGCATTCACAATGACTACACCATAATACCATAAGTTCAGAAACAAATGAGGTTTGGTCAATAACTCACACCTTAAAATTAAACCATTATGTCACTCCCACCCTATGGACCTAGAAAATAATACTTGTAATCAAATAACTTAAGTTAACTTAAGTTATTATTACCCCAGTCAATTATAAAAATAGTTGCCTTGAAAAAACATTCAGAGGCCAGAGCTGTATAATGTCAATAACACCTAGCATGCCAACAGTGCATTTCCTGATTCACAGAGGTTACAACGCTTTTTAATTAGATGATTATAGCACACAGCGGTCTCATTTTGACGTCAAGAGTTGGCTTAACAATATATATGTACTGGGGTGAAACAGATTTGAAATATAATTCAAATAGGTGTGACTGCAATTACAGCACCAATCAAGACCCAAATATTTGTGCTAATGTATTTTTCCACAGGCTGTACTCACGGCTCCAGAGCGAGTAGGCGAGCCTGCAGTTGATGCGGCGGTACAGCTGCCTGTTGATTGGCCACAGGACGCAGGTGCAGAGCTGGATGAAGTTTATGATGAGGCCGCTCACCACAAACACAAAGCCCATCAGCAGCTGCAGGATGAACAGGCTCTTGAGGTAGGCCAGCAGAGCCATGGCTGCGAAGCCCCGAGCTACGCAGGCCCCTCTACACACAACCACCGACCTGTAAGACCAGAGAGACAGGTGATCAAGGAGAGGGCCAGCTTAAGTAGACTGATAGAGTGAACAGATTTGCATTTTATGTTTCAGACAAGATTAGGTTCAAAGTGTTGATTCCAGGGAACACTTCCAGGGATCTTTTCCAGAGGCTCAAAGTCACTTTATACATTCACTGCATACTCAGTGGCGGTAAGCTGTTATTACCACAACTTGCCTGATGCAGACTGGTGGCTGCCAAATGTCATGGGCCCTTCTGAGCACCACCAATCACTCACTCACTCACCCACCCACACACACTACATTCATATTAGGCAATGTGGGAGAAGTATCTTGCTTAAGGACACAATAAATAGTATTCTTAGCAGTCTCCCATCAAAGTACCAACCCCACCCAACCCTGCTCAGCTTTCAAGATAGCTTTAAAGCTCAGCCTTTGACAAAGCCATAATTGTATGGGGAAAAGTACGCATATGAATTAATCATTAAAAGAAACTGAAACAATACATACCACGGTGGGGATCTTTTACAAGCCGCGTTTACACGGTCCGTCAGCCAATACTACAGTCCTGAAACAGAAAACAGAAAGAGCAGAGACGTTAATTCTGAACACAACCGACATAAGTGACAGTAACCATGAAAGGCAGAGACAGAGCATTCAAATTGAATCAAGTGCAGTCTGCAGTGTGTTTTGGGTTGGCTTCTGATGGTGTTCGAGAAGGTCAAAACAGCCAAAATACTGAGATGCAAAAAAGGAAAGCAATGAACAAGACAGATGTTTTAAATAAAGCAACTCTGCAACTGTAAATAACCATCACAGCATATAGTACTCTTGCTTTGAGATTAAACACCATTTTCTTTCACACATGTTGTATAAATAAGTGGCACTATTTTCCCAACATGACCTTTGCAACCCTTAAAAAGCTAGTCTGCTTAAAAAAGAGGGGCCAAAGGTGACACAGGTTGAGTAACTCTCTCTCTCAGAAATGTGGCCAGTCCATTTTTACACTGTTTTTTGCCTCCATAGTTTTTCACTGGAATTACTGCAGGCTAAAATACTACTTTTATAATATTTTTATTTGTTTCTTTTTTAAAGGTATACAGTGCAACTTTTATGGTGGAGGGTCTGCTATCTGCTTGTCTCCATGGAGATGCTATTGTTTTGTCTAGAACAGGCATGTCCAAACTATGGCCCGGGGGCCAAATGTGGCCCTCAGACAAGTTTTTCTTGGCCCTCAGACTTCCAGGTGAATTGGCCCAAATTACATTGCATCAATTGAAAAATTATTTTTTACTGCAAATTTTTTGAAAATCTACCTTGATAAAGCAAATATTTCATATTTAATGTGTGGTTTTAAGGATCTTAGCATGAATAAAGACTGATGGCTCATTCTAACATGTTAAACATGCACACATTTCAATTATTCCCCGTAGTGAGCATCAGTCTACGGAACTTAATCGGCCCTCTGCTTCGTCTGTGTTTAGATATGTGGCCCTTGATGAAAAAAGTTTGGACACCCCTAGTCTAGAATGTTCCACAGTATACCCTATAACCCATCTATCACGAGCGAGACAAGCAGGTTTCCTCACTACGCTACATTACAATTCAGATCTGTGGAGAGTCCCTATTTATGGAAGGAATTACCAGTATCTACATAGCAATAGAACACAAAATGAATATATGCAAGAAGCTAGATGTATATGTTTAATGCCATACCATGGAACATTCCAGGGAAAGCAATAACATTTCCATGGAGAAAAGCATTTGATGGACCCGCCACCTAAAAAGTTATACAATGCACCTTTAATATCCAAAATACGGAAATCTCATTCCACAAAGATTTATGAGATGAGTGTCAGTTCAACACTTCACAATCATTGAGAACTTAGAAGATTTTTTTTTTTTTTTTTTTACATAGGATACAATAAAACCACACTTGGCATAGTATGTAAAAAAGTCTGGTCAGGTGAGTGATAAACAAAGCCAGATACACAGCTTAGCAAAATCCTTGTCATGAAGGGCTCTGCAATTATTCAAATTTTAAACAAATTCTAATTCAGTCAATTCTAATTGTCAATGATATGCTTGGGTCTTTTGAATCAGCGTCTACATGCAATCCTCTGCTCCAAACCACCTGCTTTTAATATCAGGTTAGACTCTGGAGGAAGGCATTTGACTATTCTTTGTGTTAAATGTTAAATGTCAGTGTTCAGGAGATGAATGTAGAAAGCAATTTGTATATGTTCTAGTACAAAAAAACCCCCAAAACAAAACACACAAATACACAAATTGTAAATGATGAGTATATGAGGGGAAAGATGTCATGAGCTAGCCCTATTATCATGACATACTGTATGTTCAATGTCCACCAACACCACTTCTCAATTTGACATCAAGTCTGCAGCTGTAGTTGTAGTTCACCAAACCAACTATATTTTCAGCCTTTCAAAAGCAGCCCAAAGTTATTAGCCAAAACACAAACTCCACTTCAGAGCCTGTAAACAGCAATAGAAACAGAGTAATAAACTGAGTCATATATAAAATAAAACCTTACATGTGCCTCCAGCAGCCCAGTGTCTTGATGAAAATGGTGGCTTGGGAATAGATCCGTTAAGTTCCACGTGTGCATCTGTGGTGTGTGCAAGTCCAAACGTCTTTACTGTGGGTTAAACAAGTGAACTTTGCTCGGACTTGGAAAGGCACAGTGCTAAAGATAACTGTAGCATGTCGCTATGTGAAGGGTGGGCCCTCAAGTCTTATCAATGGAGAAGTGGGTGCATCTGGGGAGCTTGTCCTGATTATACGGGCAGGAATAGATCTGAGCTGACTGAATTACAAGATTTATTGCAAGATTTATATGGCAAACACTTTTAATAAAAACTGAAAGGCTAAACTGGCTTTACTAAAGGGCTGTAGCTTCCTTAAAGTCCTTGAAAAGTTGTCAAATAGCAGGCCATGTCATATAGCAAGGCATGTCATAGGTTGGTGGTTCGATCACAGCTCTGACCAGCACTTACTGTAGTTGTGTCCTTGGGCAAGACACTTCACCCACATGTATTAAATGTGTTGGTGAGGTTATACTATCTTAACGAAATATTTAAAATGCAATTACAAAAATTCGATAGCAAAAACTAAAATGACACAAGAGCAAAAAGGTCTAAACAAGAAATAAGTCAGTAATTATTTGACTACAAATGAAATCAGGACTTGACTTACAATCCACCGAGAAGAACCATACAACATTTTGAATACCACAGTGTAATAATTTGCATAAAGGTTATTCTACTATTACAACAAGTTACATTTGCTACATTTTGGTAAATACAGTTTCTATCTGGCTTGAAGATAATGAACAATCACGTTTGTTTGACGACAGCTAACAGCTGACTTTTGCTGCAGCAGCTGAACTTTGTGCCCATTTCTCTGGTTTCTGTGCTCACCCTGGAGTCAGACTCAAAATAACCATGATTTCACACTCAGCTTTGGTCCAAATGATCGCTTTGACAACAGCTTCCACTTTATTCTGCTTCATCATCAATACATTAGTAATGCTCAATTTATGAGGAGAAAAAGCACAAAAAGCATGAATGCAAGATACCAAAACTTGAGGAATGATAATAAAGGCAGTGTTTCATCTATACTCCTACTCTGTTATTAGGTTCTTTTTTTAAGACCAAGAGTTTTTTTTTTTTTTTTTTTCATACCTGACAGTTTGGACTGCTCACTAGCACTCTTCCTCAGAGTGGTCACATGATGTTGCTGTGATGTGTCCGGTCAGCTGATTTATACAGGTTTTTGCTTTGTCTTCCTACAGGTGGAGGCAGGATGACAGCGCCATCTGCAGGCCAACTTCCTCAGGAAAGTATCCCAGGTGTGTGAGAGTAAAAAAGCCCCCTCGTCCCGGTTTATAGTCCCATGGGCACATTTCTGTATTTCGATTGCCTCTTTAATTCAGCAACAATGTTTGTTGTCCTCTGTCCCAATGATGTTTTCTCTGTCCCAGTTCATAATGTGGTTCGCTCTGTTACAGCTGTTGCAGATTTGAGTGGTTCCTGTTCTGCTTTGTGTTTTGTTGCTCATGTGCATGCCTTCACCGTTTCCTTCTCGCATTGTGTCCTATGCGCCTTTTTTCGCATACTGAACGTTTGTAGCGTACCTGTTTCTGGACATTAACATCAAGCACAGAGAAGATGGCATAATCAAAATACAAATACATAGAAAACCAGCCTACACTGACGAGTATCTTTTATGAACATTGAGAACATCCCACAGCCAACAAACTCTCTGTCGTAAAAACATTATTTGACAGAACCAACATTATAACAGATGAACAAGACAAACGGGAAGAAGACAGATACATCCACAATGCTCTGGAGCAATACCAATACCCAAAATGGGCAACAAAGGAAAACAACAGGTCAGAGAGAAAGAAGAACAGAACAAGAAAAACAAAAACAAAACAAAACAAAAAAAAGAGCGCAGGCATGGTAACATTAAAGGCATAACAGAAAAAGTGAAGAGGGCAATGAGAAAACGCAATATCGATACACCAATAAACCCGTACAGGAAACTAAGGCAATTTCTCGTCTACCCAAAAGATAAAAAGGAACTGGAGCATAAATGTAAGGTCATATACGAAATACCCTGCATGTCCTGCAATACAACATACATTGGGGAAACAGGGAAGACATACACGAAAAAAGGACCGTAGGACATAATGCAAGAAGGAAACAGCGAAGGCGTGCACATGAGCAACAAAACACAAAACAGAACTTGAACAACTCAAATTGGCCATTTCTGGCCACTGTAAAAGAGAGAACCACATTATGGATTGGGAAGACAATGCCAAAACCCGTTTAAATCAGCAGACCAGACATGTCACAGCAACTTGACGTGACCACTCTGAGGAAGACCGCTAGTGAACAGACAAAACTGTCATGAACAAACTGTTGGTCTGAAAAAAGAACCTAATAACATATTATCGGAAGACTAAATGAATCTCATTGGACTGTACTCTTACTCTATATTTTTAACTTTATACTCAGTGGAATTTGTGTAAACTAATAACACCATCTTGAATATTTCACTAAAAGACAATTATAAGTTGCAAGTTAGAACAAATATTTTATCATGTGTTTGTGGTAGGACTGCCAAAAAATGTTCCCTTAGCACTGCCTCAGGAATCAGGATACACCTAGTATTGAAACTAGAATACATTTTTGATACCAATTTGTTATACCACCTCTAAAAAGAAGATAATTTTATATCAGTAGTAATGTGACATTTTAATAACTTCATGTGTTGCATAGAATAATATAAATGTGCAAAGCATCAGGTATTGATTTTATTTCTTCAGAGTAGAAGTAAATACTGGTCAAATAATATAATTAAGCATGGGACTGGCTTGTCAAACTGTACAGAATTTGCTACCCTAATGTTAAAACAATGAACATTTTAAGATGCTAATTACTAAACTTGGCATTCTTTAAAAGGTATTCTGATACTAAAGTGTAATAAATGCATTTACCAGTTGTGACCCCACATCTTACCAGATTGTTAGTTTGCTTTTTTACATAGTCTAATGCATGTCTATGGACATTTTGCATGCTTGCTTAAAATATGGCAGATTTCCATGGGAACAGCTGTTTTATGACATTCTATCCCAAGCTCTATATACCAGGAAACTCTCTGGTAGTCCAAGCACAAAGCCAATAGATATCTATGTCCCTGCTGAACTGAGGCCCGACCCCATGACCTGCCTGGAGGAAGATTAGGGAAGTCGGGTTAAATCTTCTTAGAACGGGACAGCTGCTGCGTCACCTACAAAACTACTTCTATTTCTTAGAAGAATCATGCTACAACAAGACTATTTATCAAACAGTAACTTCAGGCCAAAAAAGCCAGATAACACAGCCTTATTTTTACGTTTGAAATTAATCGTTTTTGCAAAACATGACAGTAAAAAGTAAAAGCAGATGAAGAGTGGGGAGAGACATTCAACAAATATTCAGAGCCTTAAATCATATTCACAAACTCAACCATGTTGCTTGTATGTGAAATGCAACCCAAACCTTAAGATATTCAGCAGTTAAGAGCAAATTTATTTTATAACCGTCTATAAACTGAATTTGAATTATCAGTAGTTATTTTACAAATGGGAGTGCTACCAGAGCTATGGATCAGTTATGATTTTTTCTTCCATTTATTCCTATGGCAGAAGAGACTGACTAGAGTCATCTGTAGTAACTATACAGGCTGGAGAACAACTTGGGCAATGACCAAAAAGTAACATGACAGCTACAAAACTATTTCTGAATAACTGCATAAATACTCAAACAAATTTTACCTTGCTTTGCCCTATTCTAAGTGCAATAACAAACTTACCAGTAGACGTAGTAGGCCATTGCCATCACCACAAGAGCTCCACAAATGCCCGTGAAGATCATAACCGCGCTCTGGTTCAACATATTGGCTTTTGGCTTGTTACCAAATCAAAACCAGAATATTAAAAATAATATAATAAATGTCCATAGACGGGATGACGGCACGGTTATTCACAGAGCGTCCTTCCTCATAACGATGCTAATCCCAGGAAAGCGATGGGGCAGATTACGATGATGACAGCAACTTCTCAGCTCCCAGACCCTGCCAATTCAGCACAAACTAACCTCCATTTCTGCAGGTAATTTTAATGCATAAAATATAAACAATTAACACTTAAAGATCCAAAAGTGTGTCTGTGATTTGGAGGAAGTTTTAGGAAAAACAAGCTGGCCCAAAATCTCAGGAGGTGGTAGAGACACATGGGAGTGCAGTCTTAGATGCATCCCCTCTTTCTAATCCAGTAGATCAGATTAGGGCTGATTAGCAGGCTATGGGCACCCTGGATATGTCACAATTCATTACTGTTAACAAAGCAGACACAAGGGCTAGTATCGACAATGGTCAGGTTAACACAATTACATTTGTTGCACCATAAAACCAGATGAATTAAAGTAAAGCAATGAAATGACTGCATGTTATTTAATCAGTGAACAGAGTAGATTTCAATATTGTGTTACATCAATACTCCCCCAGCATTATGGCTGATCACATTTCTTAGATAGGTTAACAAAAATACAGACAACTCACTGTGAGTATTTTGTACTAGTCAACAATGAATGAATTTCAGGATGAATTTACTTCATTCTCACTTAATAGAATTATATTACTTATTTACAATTACCAAACAGTAAGTTTTAAGTAGGATAAAAGTAGAATATTCTAGAATAAAGTAATTAGTGAACTAAAAACAAATATTATTTTCCATAACATATAGTCAATGTTTTTATTATGTTTCCTTTATGGGCTGCTTCTTCTGTTTGCTCCTACGTTCTTTTCCAAATTGTCGTCACAAACCGATTGAAGCTGTCAATTATGGAAAGCCCAAAATAGCTTGGCATCAGGTTGCTTTGAAAAGAAATGACAAGGAAGTCAATTTAAATATAACCATCATGGCAGTATGTCCTAGAACAATCAAGAGGCAGGGAACTATAATTTTGGCCATGTTAATTTTGTGCAGGAGCTGACAAAAAAGAAGTCAATTTTGGGAGGAGAAAAAAACAGTTTAACATGGTAACAAATACTGGGTTTATGGCTGAGAAGTGCAATGCACATTTCTTGTTTCTGGCTCTCAATTATACCATTCTAATCAACTATACAAAAGATGAATACCCGTTATCAGTATTTCTTCCCTTTTTTTCCACCCACCTTAATGATACTGGTCTTATGGGGAAGCCTTTGTGAGTGGGGATTTTAGGTCAAAGGTGACTGTTAAGACCATCAATAGACTTAACCATCTCATAAAACCCAACCTGTGCAAATGTCCTCAAATATCACTTGTTCATTTAATTATCTAGGTCCACAGTCAGGCATAGTACGAAGAGATATTGCTTTTAACTGAATAGTCTATGTTTAGCCAACATAGTTATGAGCTTCAGGTGACCAAGTGGTCATAATACAATCAGTCTTACAAACCTGATAAGATAGCACATTGCACACATACTATTCATATTACTACATTATTTAACTACAATGATAAAATGTTACAAAACACACTCTATTGCAGTAATGATGTGTTTTTGGCCCATTTAGCAATGTCTTTCATATCTGAAACCCTTAAATTGTTCACATTATCTGATCTCTAGTGGTTTGAGTAAATTTGCTTCCCATAGTTGTGCAAACATGACACATGATGGAGTTGAGGACAATCCATATTTGAACAACCGTATTTAATACATTTTGTAATTAATATATTTTGGAGTTAATACAAGAAGCAAGAAGTAGCCTAATATCATATTGCTTAGATTATGCACGTTATAAAAATATTTAAGAATTTATATTAGAATTCTGACCAATTATATTCCCTAATGTTCTCAAAAATATATACAACTTCAGTCAAAAGTCGACACTGCAGTTAATATGTCGGTTTTAATAAGGAAGTCAAAAAGGCACAGAAGTGAAATGACCGACAGTAACCTTTGGATTGGGTGAGCGGTGGTACGACTCCGTTACGCCAACTGGCTCTCACACGACATACGCCGCTGTCTACAGTACACCACGTTTTAAATATACCCAGTGACACCACGCCATTGACCAGACACTGCGCACACCACGTTACATTAGAATACACCTGCTCTCAGCCGCATACATCCACTATTTCTGACAACATACATTCATCCTTCACCTGCAGGAAATATTGTTATCCAAAATGCAGCTATTACTCCTTATCGCTTTGACACGTGTCTACAAGTAAACAAAGATTAACATATCAATTTCAACAAGCCAGAGTTGTAGCAATTCTCACAAAACAGAGGATGCACCAATGATTGCTAAAATCACTATAAGTTGGTAGCTAACTAGTGCGCATTGCCAGAGACGCACAAGGGCAGATACCGCTAGCGAAAACACTAGCAACCCACTAAAACTACTGTTACAAGTCTGCAGATCAGGGATATTCTGGTGCATTATCGAAACGACTGCACAGAAGATCATCAGTTATTTGTGAAGTAAAGTTCGTCACGTTGGGCAGCTGACTGGAAATGAATGAATTGACCTGCGCCGCTGCTAACGCTATGCTATGCTAATGATGCTAAGTAGCCGGGGTAGCATTAGCTCTCTGTAACGGGACTCCTTACCTGATAAGTTTAGCAGACGCACCAAACACGCCGTGGGTTTTTCGCGTTGCTCCGTGATGTCTGGTCTCAGAGTTGCACAGATAAAATGGATGATCACCCCTCCGGTCTCCCCACAAAATGACTTGGGAGATAATGCGATTTGCAGGAGCGCTATTGTTTGTGGTTAAAGCCCCATATTTCCCCAAGCCCATCTGAAGGTGGCATTCTTACATCCGGTCCGCCCCCCTCATGATGATAGAAAATAAAAACTGATATTCCAGTTTCCCATAGACTCAAGGGAGACTATGGTGGCACAAATCATTTTAATTTAAATAATTTTAATAATTTAATATTTTCCTTATTGTCTTTATTTTTAAGCAGTAATTGTTTGCCAAATACAGTGACTTTTAAATGTACAATGTAATTCCATGTTAGAGGTTCCAGTGCTTGCAATAAAATACCTACAATTTACTAGAAATACAGTTTGCCTGCAGGAGATCACCTTTTTGTTTAGTTTTTTAAATAATGATTTAATTTGACATTATTTGTTTAATAACCTTGTAGGCCTATACCACTCTCTCTTCTGGAACAGGCCATAGCTTTTCCAGGAAGTAATGTGTTGTAAAAGAAGCTTACATTTTTAATACACTGTGAAATCTTCATCATCTACTGAAACTATAGTATAATGGGTGTTATAGTAATTATTCTTTTAGCATGTTTCACCAAAGCCGAATCAAATAGTATCCAGGAAAACATTTCAGTTGTTCAGTGAGTACAGTCTGACCTCTCCCCTAGTAGTCCATGTATACCCATGTTTAGAGCTTGTTAGCCCCCTGGTGGTGAATTTGCATATCTACATAGAAGTTAATTGGATGCTTAGTTTACTACTGTGTGTTGTAATGAGTGGTAAATATTTACCTTATAAAGCGTGTCATAGCTTCTAGACTTTAGTTTGTCCCTGATATGGCATAACTAACATTGAGTAGGTTTTGGTTGCGGTGAATTGTTGGTTTTTTTAGCCAGTGTAGTTATTTGGGTTAATGCTGGCTGTAGCTACATACTGTGGATTAGTGTTAGCAAAACAATCTGTCACCTGCTTAATCAATACACTACATTGCACAAGTCTACCTTTAGTATCAAATAGGCTGACTTTTTTCTTCAGACAAAGGGTTTCCTGTTTGTTGCAACAAGCAGCAGTTAAAAATAATTAATTCAACAAATTATTTTGTATATGCTTATTTGTATTTTGTTTGATTAGTGCTACTATATTGTTGTGTTTTAATAATTTAGTTTTGATTTATAACATTACCCATTTTAATAATAGATTTCATTGATAATAATAATAGTATTATTTTATTATTATTTGTAAAGTATCAAAGTACTATTTGAAACTTTTCCTGCACCTCTATGGACATTATTTTGAACAATTCATATATAATGAGGGCTTCTTCCATCTCTGGCACCGGTGAATAAACTGCAATAGCAATGATACAAATATGACACAATTTGACTAAAAGATTGTTTATTCATCAATAGTTTCATTAAGGTGCTCTAGATTAGAGCAGGAGGTCAAGGGTTGGCACTTCACTTTCTAACATTACATTACTACTGATTCATAAACATCCACTTTCTAATGGTGTTAAGGCTTCTACATGTCATCTCATACCAACTCTTTCAATGAGATATGAAAAAATAATAGCAACTCCCGTATTAAATGTCATTGTGCAAGTACCTCAATTTGAGATGTTAAGACATAGATCTATCAGGGTATACAGTATCTCACTACTTCATTCAATACTGTATACATAAAAAAGATTAAATTAACTAGTAAAAGTAAACAATTATTAATAAATTACACTTTTATTAATAATTTGTTATAAGAATACATGTAATCAACATATTAAACTACCTGGCCTATCATATGATTCATATTTTGCATAATTTAATGGCATCTATTTTAGCTCATAATGTCTACACTTAAGTATTTGTAAGCACATTTTGTGATTAGATGATCAGGGGAGAGGTGAACACAAGACTAATTTGTGTTAATCGCTGGCCTAAAAAACAGGGTTGCAAATAGAAGATCATCTGGTGTAAATTAATATGCTAAATCACTTGGTGACAACAATCTAACCTGATCTGCATTTGTCATTTTGTATATTTTTGTTGGAATGTGCTTATAAACCTTGAGTCTTTGATGGAAATAGATGCAACAGTCATTTTTTGTGGTACCAGTTAAAAATGTTCTGTTATTCTTTTGAATATGGATAAATAATAATCCATAGAATAACAGAGACTGGTTTTGTAGATCATGTAAAGAAAACATTTCTAACCACTATATTGAAACATAGTGGCACCTGTTTTGAAGTCGGTAAGGCAAAGTCACTGGACAGTCTTTGATGAGAAAATCCTACATGTGTCGTACTAAAAACAGCAAAACTTCACTGACTTTTCTTCTGTATAACTCGAGCCTTTACAACAACAGCAGGGTTTTCAATGTCGGCTTTGCTTTGCACCATCCGCAGCTCCAGTTGTGCGGCATTTGGCTTTTTCCCCGGGCCAGCCATCTCTACAGAAGGGTCAGAGAGAAATATAGCAGAAAATGAACTTCTCAAGAGAGGTCAAATTCTTATCAAGTTTTGAAATAAATAGTTCATATTGTAGTTTCTTGCATATTGAATTTTTTTATCAGTTCAAGCTGGAGTAGAGCAAAGATAATGATGAGACCCTGTATGCAAAGATAAAATTCTATATGGTTGAGAAGTTTCAGTGCATTTTAACCCTTGTGCCTTGTTCAAAATGTGTTTACACTGGGTGTGTTTGAGACAATTTTTGTTTTTCGATTTTTAAACTGCCATAAAATCATCAAACATTAATATTTTTCAAAGATTTTATTTTTTTATTTTTTGTGAAGGGGTTCTCTTCAAAATGACATATTGGGAGTATAAATTACCATAATTTAATTTCATAAAAAATAATTTTATTTTACTCTGACTATAACCAGTGTGACTGGCCTATCAGTGTGGATGTTCAGTGTGAATATGGACTTTAGGCCATTTTTTGTTTTTGAGAAGTCAATTTGAAAAAAAAAAAGTCACACTGGGCATGTTTAAGACAAATTGTGTATTTTGTTTTTGAAACTGCTAGAAAATCAAACGATTAATATTTTTCAATTTTTCAAATTTTTTTTCCACTGACATATTGATTCCATACATTGCCATAAATAATTGGCCTTTTAGATGCCGGTTTGTGCAGAAATTCCATGTATAGCAAATTCAAATTATATGCAATAATTCAATAATTATATATATATATTTTACTCTGGCTGTTATCAGTGTGAATGGTCTATCAGTGTGGATAATTAGTGAGAATACAGATACAAAAATTTACCTTAACAAGGCACAAGCATTAATATTACATTGGTATCAGATTGATGTTGCAAAACTTGTCATAATACACAGTATATGTTTTTTTGTTGTTTTTTTTTTTACTGTTGTTGCCCGTCATAATTTTAAGTGCCTAAAATATCTAAAGTATGAGTAATTTTAAATGCTTGGCCAAAATGACAATGGAACACACACAAAGTGGAAACATACCATTGGCGTACTTAATTGTTCTTTTGATGACATGATGCATGATAGAGGCGGTTTTCTCACAGGCAGACTGTCGAAATCACAAATGTAAGTTAAAGTGGTTGTGTAATAGTTGACGTCTATTGAACATGAAAGCTACAAACCTTCAGATCCTTTGGGTGGTGGTGAGTCCATGCGAGCAACATAGCAGCAAACAAGTCCCCAGTGCCCACAAACACAGCGTCCACTTTGGGGATGTCAATGCAAATTTTCTCAGTGGTATTGGTCCCATCTGATTTAACTGAGAAGAGAGAAAAAAAGTTTAAAATGTATTTGAATTGTTCAAATAAACACAAAAATTGTATTGTCATTTACAATAAATTAAGTCCCTTGGCACCTACTAGGTTTTGTGTGTGAAAACCCAATCACTCATTCCCATGCTAATGATTATTTTAAAGATGTAAAATATGTAATACCAATTGTATGATGTTCAGAGCCAAGTAATTAAAAAGACCAAATAAAACATTATATAGAAAAAATATAAATGTAAAAAAATTCACCTGTTTTTTGACTTCCCAGAGCCACTAAGTACTGGTCCCCTTGTGTTGAAGGCAGGTCTGTACTGGTCAGAACCACAGTTTCTGGACCCATTTTATGGAGCAAGTCCATCACCTGAACACAGACAGCCAGTTATTTAAAAAAAAACAATTATAAAACTTTAGATATTAATAAAATGAAAGAGGATACTCACCTCTATTGCATCTTCTACTGAGTAAATTTTCCTTCCAGTTAAAATCCTGTGTGTAAAGGAATAAATAAGTATGCTGTATCAAGTTAGTTCAATATAGCTGGAATCATTTTTCTGCAAATCTAAAAAGTTACAGATTATTTGGGTAATATTTTAGGTTTAGGTTTTTGTTTGTAAATCCTGATTGCACCATCACCATGTTTTTGATATATTTAATCCAGATCCTTTACTGTTGTAGTGAGGAATAATTAGAGATAAACAGAAAATTATTCATAACTCAAAAATGCAACCATAATGTCTTGAATGATTCTTCCTGTTAAAAAGCCTGCAGAGTTACACTTACTCTGCTTCAAACTGATTGGGCGTGAGGATATCAGCCAAAGGCACAACTTTGTCTCTGTACACTGGCAGTAGATTCTCTGGAACATACTGAAAAAGAAAACTCGGACACATGATTAATATGCAACAAAAATGTCAGTTTATAACTCAATATCGAAGCCTGCATACCATAGCACCTTGATCTCCCATAACCGGATCACAAACTGAAAACACACATACAAAGCAAACAAAAAAAATATTTTATTTCTGTTGTCAATCCTGACAATCTGAAATTGCAGTATGAAAAATCTCTTGAGGACTTATATTTTACAATAAACTACTGGACCTAAATACATCATCAAATTTCTACTAAAAAGACCCTTGCCAAATTATTGCAATAAATATCTTATTATTAAAGGTCCTATATATACCATGCCTAAAAGCTCACCGATTCTTGTGAACTTTTATAATGTTTGTTATAATGTTGTTACCTCATCAAAAACATAGCTGGAGTTATGTTTTGCTTCATTAATCCTTTATTAGTCTGTCTACATCCACTTTGTGATGTCATGTAGTAATAGTTTCAAGATAACAGCTGCCTTTTATTTAGTAGAGACTGGCAATTCAAGGGCTAAAATTATCCAAATGATTAGTGACTAGTGGATTCTAGTGTATGGAGCTTTAAAACAAAACAGAGTACTTCCTGTATTACCACATGACATCACAAGGTGGAACAGAGTGTTTTCTGTGTGAGAGTAGAACTGAGCCTAAATATGCAGAGTTTGTATGTTAAACATATGTGAATGAAGCAAAACAAAACTCCAGGTATGCTTTTGATCAAGAAACAACATTATAACATGGAACAAAAAAATATCCTAATATGGGCCCTTTAAGGTTAATAACATGTTAATAACATACCATGAGATTTGAACAGATTCTCCTTTAATATAATAAACCCTCACCATACACCAGTTTGGGATTGGTCCTCTTGAGCTCCTTTATAATATCCACCACTGTCTCCAGGAAGGACGTGTCTCGGCTGTACCCTGAGGCAGACAGGAAAAGCACTGGAAATTAGTGACATCTGGTTCTTACTTCATCCAATAATCCAATTACCAGACAATAGCACTTTTGTATATTGCCTGTATTTTACATCATTATTGCTGCGGTGTTGTTAGAAGGGGTTTGTTTGGTTTGGTATGACGCAAAAGGGCTGCTGGAGTCTCCTACAAAGATGACACTTCTTACGAGATTTGGGGTGTTACTTATGTTGTGACTTCATTGCTCAAGGGACAAAAGAAAACAATCTAAAACTATCCCTTTATATTAAGTCATCTTCATGCATTATTTATGTACACTAGTATCGTAGCCACAGCTGTCCTGGAGCAGATCAACTGAATTGTGACTGCCAATCTGCATCATCGACCTCCAACCTTTGGGTTGGTGGGTAGTACAGTTTGTAATAGGGTGTTAGAGGAAATTCCATTTCTGTCTGTACTGAGGGCTCTCAGTGCCAGCTCAGTTCTTGTTATCTTGGCCTACATCAGAGATATAATATTCCCTACAACTGAAGCATATTCACACTGGCCACCCCACCCCAGAAACAGAAAAACATGCTGAAATTATTAAGAGCTTATTGTCAATTTGATGGTACCAATCTTGGAAACAGATAAAAGTAGACTGAGTGAGGTTGCTGGGTACAGACACTGCATAATACATACTGGATTAGTTTGAACATGTCACTTGGATTTCATTGTTATTTTCTGCATAGTTTCTACAGTGGTATCTCATGCTTGGTATGTTACATGACAGACTCACCTGTGAGGATGTAGTCATAGTGGTTGACATTATTGAGCTTGATTCCTTCATAAAGAACATTCAGCTCCTCTGCAGTTAGGACCTGACCCTTCCAGTGGTCATAACCTACAAAGATACATTTATATGAAACCTAAAGGTAGTAATACAAAGGGTAAAATGTTCTGTCCAACTCAGTATAACTGAAGATTTCATTAAACATGGGTTAAACTATAGCATTATTTACTACTAACCAAATACATGCTTTTAACATTAGTGACCAAGAGCTAATGTGGAACAATGCAAATCTGTTTCCCAAGTGTTTCATTAAATGTTTTCAATAGTTGTGAACTCATTACGCATTAGTAGACAATTAGCATAATCTGCATAGCAATTTCCTGACTGTACAACTCTGGGATTTTAAATATAAAGTTTGGATAAAGCAATAATATGCTTAAAAACACAGTTAAATTCAATCTTGAGCTGGACCAAATTGGGTAGTAGCTTTCTGTATTTCAGCATGTGGATCGTGTTTTCCACTGAAAAACTTTGCCCCCCCACAGGGCTGCTGACCACAGACCGTAGTACACATGTATAACACGTGCAGTTGGTTTGATTGCACATGTCATCATGAATAAAAACATGTATTTTGTATCTCAAAAACACCAAACAGTTACTTTACTATTGGACCAATCCTAGAGGTAGAAATAGTGTTTGCCCTCCTGGTATATTCCCCATAGACTCTGTGCTAGTCTTCCACATCGAGCAGAGCCAAATGGGGCCTCCTTGCTCTCTGAATGGGATGCCTGTATCCTGGTTGCCAGCTTCCCCCGCCTTTGTCCCTCTTTCAGCCTTAATAAACTAGAATAACCCCAAATGCTCCTCACTGCAAGCAAATAGAGAATAGCCATATTAAACAGGCATCCCATGAGGCTCTGGGTTCACCCCAAGTCAGTACCCCTCCCACGGTAACAAGTAACAAAGTCCTGCTACAGATTGGACTGTATCAGGTGAGTTTTTAAATATGAGCTGCAAAATATTTTTAAATGCCCTGACACATACCCGCATGAGTAAATTTGGACGGACAATCAGAGCCATTTAGTAAAAGCCAAATGGTCAACACTAAGCAGAAATCGTGTTCATAGAAATCCATGTTTGTACTGGTTCAAGTGGTTGGAGTGGAGCTTGTCTGTGGCCCCATGTGGAGAGAGCACATTCTTTACATACTGTGACCCATGAAGCTGATGATAATCCTATCATCTCTGCAGGTGCCTACAGCAAATGACTGTCAACTCAAGACATTTAGGTTTTTTCTGTGTTTTAATGGGCGTAATGTTAAAGGTAAGGAAAAGGTAAGTATCTGAACAGGATTGTTTTAAAGCATTTTATAGTGGGGCCGGGTCTACAGCTACATGACAGCAGTATAAAATGATCTAAAAAGCATTTCACATAAAACTTTAGATATACATGGTTATATAGATGGAGGTTTTCTTTTTAGTTCAAGTTTGTAAACATCTGATTGCTATTAAAAAGCCACAGTATGTTACTTTTTGCAAAACAAAATACTAAAATGAAAGCATGTTTTTCATTATGGATGTTTGTATTGCACTGAAAAAAAAAAAAAAAAAAAACAAAAAAACAACATCCCTCCGTAGTCTTGCATCTCCACAAACCTGACTCTGGTTTGGCTTGCTTATTTCCATAGACATGTTGTTCCTTTCACTACAGTATTTCACAGTACGGCATGGAAAATGTTCCCATATATGGCTTTAACTTTCTACTTAGTCATGCAGTTGACTTTCACCTCCAAAAAGTTACACACTATCACTTTAACAGCAAAAAAGTTATTTTCAAACCACTAGGGCTGGCTAGATATTGTAAACGCTGATTACCTGCTGTGTCCTGAGACAGTGCTAGAGTGAAATAGATTTTTAATATCTGGCTTCTTGACAATAAATGGGGAGGGGTTATAAGTTTAAGGGTAACAGAAGTGACAGGATTCAAATTCTTTTGCTGAGCATTTAAGGTTAAATTAACATTGAGGTATATTTCTTTTTTGTGGAATATCAAGTTAAATAAAAATAAATAAATACAAATCTTATTTGTTTTTCTTAGTCTTAAATGGGTTGATTGTACCTAAAATGGTAAAGACATAACTTTGTTTGATCAAGCCTTGTGGGTGCATTTTATGTATAAAGGCATCTTGTTACTTCTATTGGTCATCTGCCTTTTCATGTGATGAGTATCATTGCAAAGCATACTATTCAAAGTACAATTTTCTTTTTAAAGTTAACAGTAAATTGATTAACATGCCATTCATACATTTGTATATTAGACTGTTTTAAGCATGTCTACGTGTAAGGTTTGAATGGCTCTGTTATTGTTGATTCTATAGACCAACATACAGTAGATTAATTAGATTAGTAGATTAATCAATTATCCACTTTAAATATGTCATAACGGTATAATAATGAAGCTTTTGACAATGATCACAAATATAAAATATGTGATGGAGTTTCCTTTGCTCCACAGATAGCGCAGTGTAATCTATGAGACTAAATTTCAATCATTTTATTCATCAATGAACGATTTCCCTTCTCCCAATAATATATCCCAAAAATTATTTAAAAATCCTAGTTTGAGCTGCTAGATCTCTTATTTGACTTCAATGTGTGGCCTTTTCTTTCAGCCCAATAACTGTAAAACTTGTATATACCCATAACAGGCCCAAAGTAGCAAGAATACATCTATGCCCCATAATAACAAAACTGTTACAAATGAATCATTTAGTTAAGCAATAACGGTACTGTGACTGATGAGCTCATTGCGGCTAACTTGCTACACAGTATCTTGTTGCTTAATCTGATCATCCTTTAAAACCGTATAATTGGAAGCGAACAGTTATTCATCTTTGCTTGACATTTTACAAATTGTATAGCACATTTAATATTACATACATGTAATACACATAGAATTTTTGCCAGATGCCCTGCCTGCTTGAGCCCTTTAGCGAAGCATATCATGGAAGCACATCTTGAATTTGGCGAGTGATGATGTTTGACTGGATATTTATTGAACTGTTTTAGTCATGAAAATGTAGTTTGTGAGTATCTGCATTTGGATAATGTTAAACCAGGTGCCCAGAGGATGGTAAACAGACAAACCTAAATCACCTGGAATCCCATCAGTGGAGAGGGAGGTCCATTGTCTCAATGTAGGCTTATGAACACAGGATGATCCTGCATCTCTGGCCAAGAACAATGAGGAGTTGTTTGTTCTGCTCTAAAGGCTCATGTTGCTAATCAAATATAACAGTGTTTCTCCAATAAGCTTTAACTGTTATAACTTACAACACAGGGAACATTCCGAGCTGCGCAATTCCAGCAAAGTAAAGTGGACACATGTTGCAGACCATTTGGATAATTTGATTAGAGAGGGATTTTTATTATTCCTAAAGAACTGTGTTAAGCGGACTAAACTTACCAGAGTTTTATTGTCAGTCTTGAAAGACAAATTTAGCAAAGTTTGACATAAGTACATATGAAGAAACTAATCTTGGGAAAACCAATAATGTCTTACAAAGTTTGGGACCAAACTAAAAAACAATAACAAAAACAACAATAAATTTGCTTGGATATGGCAGTTTGAGAATCACTAAATTGGTCTGATTAAACTTTAACTAACTGTGAAATGTCCTCGTGAAATTAATCATCTCCAGACTCACCAGTGTGGTTGGAGAACTGTACAGAGTTTATAGAGTCCACTTCAAAGCCCAGAACCTGCAAAAAGAGGGAACATGTTTTATTTATTTATTTTTTTTTAAAGTGACGCACTTTGTCAAAACCACGCTGTTCATGATATATCAGCTTACATAATAGCTACCGTACTCTAATAATCTACTAGATATGTCATTGTGATTTTTGGAGAGGAAGATGTCATGGGAAGAAAGGTATTATTTTAACATAGACAGACTGAACTTGTGTCTAGGTCTCTCTGTTGTAATTTGATTATTTTGAAAGTAATTTACTTCTACTCCTGTAAAATGGCAAAACATAGACTATAAAAAGTTAAAAAGTTTGAATGTTCTGCCTATACTACTTCAACAAATTTTAATATAAATGGCACTTAAGATTTCTTATAATCTCCTGCCATCTTCCTTTACAATTTTATTATAGGCCTATCAACTATAATAATTTCTGAATGAGCTATTAAGTATATGCAGGGGGCGTAAATAATATGTGATGTAACCTATTACATGTACTAGGCTGATTTAAGGCTCTTTCCCACCGCTTGCCTCATGCCTCAGGCTAGGATTTCCGCTATACTTTGACCAATACACACAAAAGTAGTCATACATTTTGCTGTTTTTACTCTTATCTCGAAAATATGAAAACATATAATGTATTTTGGGTTTATTTTACCTGCAAAGGGAATGTCGCCGACTTGTTCCCCACGTATCCCCTGACAACATGACTCTGAATGGACAGCACTCGACACTCCATCTTTTACGGATAAAATGATAAAAACAAAGCGCAAAAGACCCTAATAAAGCGGCATTAAGACGTGAGGCGCACAATGTGGTCGTGACACGATGAGACGAGGCATGTGTGAGAGAAGAGGAAGTCCACAGAGGAAGGTGAAGGGCAGGAGGAGAAGACGTGCCGCTGCAGCTGACATTTGCCTTTTTTACGCACAGGCACATCTGAGGACAGCTAAAACTGTGGTGAGTTCAGAGGCAAGGGCACGGTGGGAGAAAAGACGACTGCGTGAGAGAGAAAAAAATGAATGGAAAAAGTACAATATCAAAATGATAATTATAATAAAGAGAGAATATGTTAACAAAGGTAATCTAGACTTAGAAGTAACCGAGTACAAGTCATTTTAAATAAAAAATAAGCAACATATGTACAATTATTGAATTTAATGAATTTGTTGGACAATATTTAGAAGACCTTGAAAAATATCCGATTGTTACTATAATAATGTAGTTTAAATTTTAATTTTTAAATGAAGTTGGAAGAAACAATAAATTATATTTAGCCAGCAACATTTGGATAGCTAATGAAAATACCTACATTTATTATTATTATTATTTATTTATTTATTTATTTATTTATTTTAAACAAGATTTACAAATGTTTAAAGGGGAAATTTTGCCTATAGGGTTGTGATGAAGTGTGCCTGAGAATATGCAAAGCGATCACATTTACAAATCCTTGTAATCTGATGATTTTATCTGATGTTTCATCTCGTCTTGACAAAACGTTGGTGTTCAGTTACCACAAGAGGGCACAGATTAGCTTTGTTTGTTTGTTCTGGTCACAGCGTGAAGTAATCACTGACAGCAAAAGGCATGTTATGTGAGAGTATGATACGTTTTATTTTTTCTTTAATTCATCATAATTTACCTGTTTGTTTTTTTTTTTGTTTTTTTGTTTTTTTTTGACAATTTATGCCACAGCAGTAATATACAACTATGGGACCAGGAAAAAAGGAAAGGGGTTTGCGTGTCACCCACTGTATTAGAACTTAGAATAAATATAATTATATCAACAAAAGCATGTACTCCAGTTACACCACTGATAAATTTTACAAAGAGTCACAATGGGAAATCTTGAATGAATCTTGACGTAGGTTGTGATACAAAGGGCATCTGACATCATTTCTATTCTAACTGAGAAGGACTGAATGTATTTTTGAGAAATAATGAATGAATAAATGCTAGATGGAGATGATTAATGTCACACCATGGAATATTTCAGGCAAAGCAATAACATCTCCATGAAGACAAGCGGATGGCAGACACTCTGCTAGAAAAGTTGTGCAGTGCTTTAAACTACAAAATCAAATAGATAGGCTATGGATGTAAAATATTAGCATTAGCCTGTAGAAAAGAAGTGATGTTGTTTGACTTTAAAGAAGAAAATTGCCCACTTCATGTACAATCACGATCATGCGGTTGAGGATAAAATCTAATTACATTATCCATAAAAGTATGTGTATGTCTGATCGATTTCAGTGCACCTTATGTGGGTACTTTCCGAACAGAGCCTGTACTCTTTATATTTTACAAGGTAAACTCAGCTGGTTCTGAGAAAACAACAAATATATACTGTCACCTTAATTTGATCTTTTGGCTCTATAATGGATATAAATGGAAACCTGGATGAAATCAGGTATGTATGTTGTTGGTCTTGGCCTACTTTGTGTGGGGGACAAGGTGAATAAAAGGGAAATAACAGATACAGCTAAGATTTTTATTATTATTTTTTTTTTTTAAATCTCTTGGCAGTACATAAATAGATAATGATTATTTCCGTTCAGTACATAATAAGTTTCTAATATGGGGAAAAAAAGATCCCCCGATCCCAGATACAAATATATGAAAATAGTTTCTTCTGCAGTTTCTGAGCCCTCCATTTGAAAAGATAGGCTACTCGACAAATAATTAATAGCTCCATATCGATAGGAGCATCTTTCCCGCGGGGATCCAGATTCTCCTCGATGGATCTAGAGGAACTTTCTGCAACAGGTAAGTTTGGGCATTTCTGCCTTGAGCAATGTTTTCGATTCCAGATATAAGCTTAAGTAGATGGGTCATTAGATATTACTCAACCAAAGAGATGGGATTTCAACTATGCAACAGCATTTCATATCAATACATCGTGATTTATGACATCAGTACTTTAACATATAATCGCATAAGGATTTTAAAGGCACAGTTTAGCTATATCATAAATGGAAAGTTTATTTTTAGTGCCATAATTCAAATAAACTGCAGGCTGTAACATGGATCGTTTACACTGCACACACAGCCGTGGCCTGTCCCAGTAGCAGCAGTAGCATCTGTGGATTTAGTTTAGTGCCCTACATCCAGATTCCTCGAGACAGCAGCGCGTGTGATTAAACAAAGTCCCACCCCTTGAGCAGCTAGGCGCACGCTCATTGGTTGAAAAGCTGAGCCGCACTGACGCATGCCCGCCCCCCTCTATCTGTGCGCTTTGGTCTGGGATGGGGGGAGGAGTCAGGTAGGAGCTCGACTGACACGTAAGAAACTGCGTAAATTATAAGGAAGGAGCAGATAACTTTCCTCAACTCTAGTGTGGAAATGATTGCTTCATTTCAGACTTGATGTAGAGTCGCGCGGTGGCGGACTGTAGCCTATTTTGGGACGCTGAGGAGCGACGCACCGGGACCGATTGGGACAGAAGGCAAGCCCGGGGACAACATGAGATTTTCAGCGCTTATAACTGTCCTGCGGTCGCTCGGCCCGGTGGTCATCGGCATTTCTTTGGGTTTCACGTTAAGTTTGTTGAGCGTGAGTTGGACGGATGAGACGTGCTACCTGGGTGATACCGACATAGAGGATGGCAGTGTCGGGCAGGAGGCGCTGCTTAGTGGGGCAAGGAAACCTAACTCCGTAGCGGGTAGCAGCAACGATGTGGAGTCAGAGGAGGACTTTGAACCAAAGATCATCCCGTATAAGCAAGTCCAACCGCAGAGTCCACCAAAGAAACTTGTCAGGTGTGTATCAAGACCTCAACATTATTTTATTCATCCCAGTGGAAATTACGCACACAAGTTGCATTAAAAAGTTGTCTCATCCGCTTTCTTTAATAGAAAATGACACGCAACTAAACTTCATTATTGACTACATCACAAACGTACTCTGTGATCTTAATTGAGTGATTTTTAAGAAGTGAATAGCCAAGTCTACTTATGGGCATCTCCTCTGCTGAATTCTCTCCATGGATAGTATCAATAGAAGTTGTGTCTTGTGGACTATTTCTGGAGCAGATTACAGTAACCTATAGAGGACCAGGCCTGCCTCTTCAGTCCCTTACACTTAGGGGGGACTGATAATAAATAAGTGCTCTGTTAGTGCCCGTTACCAGGTGTTGACCTGCAGGTATCAGCTGGTGACCACGTGGGAATGAAACTTCAAACAATACAAACCTACCATTAACTGTACTTAAAGTAATCCTGCAAAAGTAGTGGACATTCTCATATGTCATTTTTATAACACAATACAGATGTCCTCTAGGTTAAGAAGAAACAAAGCTTATTCAGTGTCTGAATTCCAAAAATAAAAAAATAAATAATATAAATAAATAAAAAACAAACTTAAATTTCCGTTTTGTAAGGCCACTATGCCACGTGTATTTACAATGGAAAAACATTACTAAACCTAAACCACCATTAATTCTATTCTATTCACATCTTAATGCCCTTGAGCAGTGCATTTCTTAGTATAAGTAATAATAATACATAATGTAATACATATGCTATGCAAATTGAAAAAAGCAGACTTTTCCTTGTGCTCTGCTTTAACTTGAAAGAAAATAATCATTCAAAAATTCTATCTAGATTCTTATAAATTCATTGTAACAAAAAAGCCATTAACTTTTTAATAATGTCAAATTCCCTTTTAAAACCTGTTGGATGATACAAAGCTTTGCACAGTGCTGTATATTTGAGTCATTAGAACAGGCTGTATTTTCCATACAAAGTCTAGTCATTCTCAAAGTCGGCCCAGTAGTGTCATTGTATGTGTCTCTTGGGAAAATGATGGTTACCTTGAACCAAACGGACTATGTAAGGCATTCACAGGAGAGAAGTATTTCTGCCATTGAGATGAACGGCACAATGTCACTTCTACATATTTGACAGGAGGAGGAAAAAATATATCTTACGCTTGTAATATTGCCTCATATGTAACCAACTATCCATCTAAAAGTCTGCCTTATCTTTGTTATGACAACTAGTTACAGCCATGTTGTAATGCAGCTAATTTTCACTTTTGCCATAAAAAAAAGTTGATCATAAAGTGTAGTGTTAGATTTTATTATTATTATCAATTACGCCTGAAATTGCTTCTAGGTTTAAACTTTAAAGATTCACAATAAACCTTTGGTGTGGGGGGTTTGCTACCTGCTTGTCTCCGTGGAGATGTTACAGCTTTGCCTGGAATGTTTGACAGTATGGAATTAAACTTGTCAGTCTTTCATTTAGTCTATTACATGTGTTTTTATTGTTCAAAAACATGAAAAACATACATACTACTCTGGTCTCCAGAGAGCTGACCAGTAACCTGACCAGTAACCCTTTTTGTCTCCATAGATATATATACATTTCATGACATACTGTGGAACATATAGGGCAAAGCAATAACATTTCCACTGATACAAGCTGCTGAGAGACTTTTCACCTGAAAAGTTACACAGAGTCACTTTAAATATTAACATGATTATATTAGAGACAAACTAACAATTTCATGTATTTCATTATGTTGTCATTGTATTGTTTTGTCTATTTTTCAGGGCCAAATACGTGAGCACTGAGTTGGGAATTCGTGAGCGCTTATTTGTTGGGGTCCTCACATCTAAAAACACCCTCAACACTTTGGCTGTGGCCGTCAACCGCACCATCAGCCATCACCTGGACATAGTCATCTTCTTCACCGGGACACGGAATCGCAAAGTACCTCATGGAATGTTTGTTGTATCCCATGGCGACGAGCGGCAAATCTGGAACATGTACCAAACTGTAAAATACATCCTAGAACATTACGTCACAGAATATGATTGGTTTTATTTGGTGCAAGATGATGCGTACGTCGAAGCGGATCGTGTCAAAGAACTGGTGGAGCATCTTAGTATGGACAAGCAGCTGTACATGGGGCGTCCAGCGGAGTTCATAGGTGGAGAGATGGAGGGGAAGTACTGCTATGGGGGTTATGGGTTCCTCCTATCGAGGACGTTACTGCTAAAACTACAGCCATTTTTGGAGAACTGTAGGAATGACATTCTGAGTGCCAGACCTGATGAGTGGCTGGGGAGATGTATTATCGATTACACCAGCATCAACTGTGTCAGCCAACATGAGGTAAGCTTACTTTTAGTACCTTGAATCCATTCATACTAGTCATGGTTTGAGCTCACGTTAACCTTAAAGCAGACTGGGTTTGTTTTGCCCTCTTGTAGTCCCAGTCTAGTCCAGGTTGATTCCTTGGTTTAGTCTCAGTTTTGTCCAAATTTGGATGTGGTGTGTGCAAGTGTGAACAAATTGTTTCCTCTGTCTGACCTTAATTAGGCCTGGTTTAGTCCTGATCTACCCTGTTGTAGTGCATTCACACTTGTACACACTCAGCGTTAACAATGGTACTAGCTTAGTCCTATTCTAGTCAAGTGTAATATGTCATCATGTCCTGTTCTAGTTGTTGTTCAGATCTAGTCTGGACATGATGGACCTGGTTGTGTTCTGGTTAGACCCAGCAGTGTTTCCTAAGAGCACTTAAAATGGAGTGAATAGTGGCAGATTGTTGAAAAATGTTAAATTGAATTTTATTTGAACAAATATTTTCTTTGTATTAACTGTTAAATTTTGAACATTATGTGGATTTTGGACATCAGTCATTAAACTAAGAAAATACAATCATAATAATAGAAATATACCACTAAACAGATTTGTTTAGTGGCAAGTTAGGGAGTATTTAGAGTATGAGGGAAACTTAGTGGGTACTTCAGACAAAAAAGTTGGGAACCAGGGATTGAAGTCCAAGTTTTATTCCCTGTTTCATTCTGCTTTAAGCCTGGATAAAGGCTGTTTTTAAATGGAGTATCTTTTGTTCATACTTAATAGATGGCATTTGTTTTAGTGCCCTGTTATTTCGAGACTTGCTAAATCTCCTCAGTGAGCCAATCAGGGTTCTGCGCTGGAGGATCACTGTGCACAGTCAATCAATGAATCGGACAGCTGTGGAAAATATCAGCGTGGGAGTCCTATTTTCCCCCTAAAACAAACAGCTGACGTCTAACTGCGCCCTTGGGACCAGACTAAGCACAAAAAAACTTAATGAAGTAGTTTTACTTCAATTATGTTGTAGTAGTTGCTGCCATAATGGTTGTAGTGAGAAGTAGTAGAAGCTATATTTTATAGTACCTCCGAATAATACATTTGACTTCTATAATATTTTGGTCTATTGTCAAATCTGAACCATTTACTATGAATGGTAGTAGTCATTGTATTATCATATCATATTATTCCTAGTAAAAGTATTCAAGTTATAGCATTGTAAGCACAAAGTTAGTTGCATTTTTTCTGTTTATGAATGAATCAAAGCAATACTTATCTAAACATGATCACCACTTAATTGGTAACAGTGTACAACATAATACAATTGTTCTTTTAGCCACAACAGCTGACATCTTTTCCCCTAGGCATGCACAAAGCCCAAAAATAATAAAATGGGTAATTACAACACATGCACATGTATGGTATTTGTATTATAGGCTAGTTTTCTAATGCCCCTTGGCCCTTCTTTACCCCCGTGGCAAATAGGTAAACAGGGCAGTGGAACACACAGTTTAACACGGGTTCAATGGTGTGAAAATCCCCTGTGGGTCAACATGCACTGGTCCTATAATGTCATTAGCACTAAGGGTTAAACATGTTCAGGCCTGATCGCTCCAGTGCCCTGTCATGCAATGCTCCCCTTTTGTGTGGATGTAGTTTCCTGTTAACATGCGTCATGTTAAAGTTCAAGGCGTTTCAAGGAGTTTGAATAGGTGAAAAGCTGTGTAAAAATCCTTATGACAAATACTTTTATGGATGCTTGTTTACAGTGCGTGTGGACAGTCCTTATATAGAGCTGGCTTAGTCACGTAAACCCTGTGGTTTAGTCCTGGATTCAGCCTTATTTAAGACTGTGAAATTGCATCATGATTTCACGATTATTCATAGTTACTGACACATCATATAAAGTTGGAAATCCTTAATTTATTGTTGTTTAAAATGCTTAAAGGGCCCATATTACTCATCAAATTGTCATAAACATACCCGGAGCTCTGTTCCACCTTTTGATGGTATGTGGTAATACAAGTGCTTCTTTCTGTTTTAAGCTCCATACGCCCTTAACTAGAGTCATTTGGATAATTTCAGACCTGAAATTGCCCATTTCTACTGAAAACTACCACTACATGACATCACAAGGTGGAATAGAGCATTTTGAACTTTGGAAATGTAGACTGACTAATAATAGAGGATTATACAAACGTGTGAATGAAAACCACGACTTTGGGTATATTTCTGAGGCGGTAACAACATTATAACATGGCTTAAAGCTCACAAGAGTCAGTCCTTCGTAATAGAGGAACTTTGATAGATTACTGTCTCTCCAGTATGTGACCAGCTGTTTGAAATAGTTTTGTTCAGGTCAAGTTAAATTGAATATCTCTTATCCTGGGTTAGCCTCTCTGGGTTAGTGATCTGTGGACTTTAACTTTGTTGACATTGTAAGTATGTCCCTTATTAAGTGTTCCTTGTTCATTTGTCCTTTGAATTTGACACATTTGCACAGTATCAAATTGAAAAGGAAAAATGTTGACACAGCTGATTTTGCATTTTAAACAAATAAAACATTTGAATAAGTATGACCTTGTTGTTTAGTTTTGGTCTAGCTCTAGATTAATCATTGTTTTAAACCTGGTTCATACCTGGTTTCATTAGACTTGACAGACTTGTCACACTTCATTCATTGCCTATTAGTTCTATCCTGGTTTATAGTTTTACTTCAGATCTGGTTTTATCTTATTTTGTTCTTTTATATAGAGGTGAACTTATCATGATTTACCTCTTCCTCATTACTGTATGTATTCAATATGACATGTGTTGGAGACGTCTACTGTATTTGGCTCTCACTGTGGCCTGGACCCAAAGGCGAGAGGAACCATCTTGTTAGACATGGTTGCATGGTTAAGCTAATATGCCTCCAAGAAGTTTGAAGAGCTCCAGCTGAGGACAGATAACTGGTTGGAGGGGGGAGTTAACCAGCCAGGCCTTAAGAGCAAAACAAAACACTGGGCCTCACATCAATTTCCCCTTAGAGACAACAGTGATGACAATTAGACACACACAAAGCGTCTGAGTGTCCAGCAACACAAGCTGGAAGACATTGACCAACACTTGTCACAGAAAGGCCAAAGGAACAATCCTATTCTTTTAATAGCTGCATTAGGCTAGATTCACATTTATAAGCACTCAATCTCCTTATACAGTACCAGGCTAGAATCTTAAGCAGTTAATTTTAGCCAGGGTAACAGAGAGGTTTATCAGGAGAACTGTTATCATGATAACTGTTTTCATATGACTGTGACACAATTATTATAAAAAGACAATAGAATTTTCAGCACAAAATGATGGTAGATTATTTAATATTAAATATGTTATAAAAATCAGGAAAAGGTCATAGTGTGTTGTAATTTTTTTCTCCATCAATATTTGTTCAAATGAGTTGCAATGCTGTTTTCATTATCTGTGTATCTCTTTTAAACTCTAATAAGAACAAGGCTAAAGACAGTGACTTAACTCGCACACCAACATCTGATTATTATCTGATTTAAGATTATTTAAATGACCTGCAAACGTCAGATGTGATGAAATGACAGATCTGAGGGACCATGATCTGAAAGAAATCAGATTACTCATATTAGATTTAGTTGTTTACATGTCATTTAAATAATCTTTTAACTTCAAAAATCTGGTAATAATCAGATTTTTGAGTGTGCATGTAACTGCAGCTACTGATCCTGCTACCTCATGAATGCTATTTATTTTTATATACCGTAAAGTATATAGTTAGTAACTTGTAGTTGCATATTCAGCCTATCACTCCTATTATTTCTACCCATTGAAATAACTAAAGAAATCCAACAATATCGTATAGCTTTCTCACACAAATTTTGGCACTACTCTGCTTTGTATGCGGAAGAGCAGTATCAACTATCGCCTTAATCGGATCCGGTCTTATTTTGGTATTTGCTTTTAGTGTAGTCACAAAACATACAAACATTCCTAAAACAAGAAAAACTTCAGGAAATCTCCAAAACACTGACAATAAAACCTCATTGTCCTTCCAAAATACACCCATGTCTGCACTTTACTCTACAATTATGGTCCAGCCTCCGTGTTTGGAGTGGAAACAAGCCCAGAAGTATTGCCTAGATAGCATGTAACTTTCAACTGTAAGAAAGTCACCATAACAAAGTTAGCTTGTAATAACATCAGGTATGTTTCTGTCATGCCCTAAGTGCCCAAGAATGAATGGAGGTCTTTGTGTTTGTATTCCCAGGGACTTCACTACTACCATTTTGAGCTTGAGAAGAATTCAGACCCCAGCAAGGAGGCGAGTGAGGAGTTCAAGAGGGCACTGACTGTCCATCCAGTGTCCGACCCAGAGCAGATGTATCGTCTTCACCGCTTCTTCACCCAGCTGGAGCTACAGAAGACTTACGAGGAGATCGCTAAGCTGCAGGTAAGCTGATTTCAGTGTGTGTCTAGTCAAAGAGTTCACAACATCACACGCAATTCTTGTCACTTCTATAGTTTGAATGTCAAAAGGGAATCGCTAGGGCTGGGTATCATGTAGAAGTTGCTGATACGGTATATACTTTGATACATTGGCCATGATACAATACATACCTCGATACAGTGTACTTTCAATTTAATATGATATATTTCAAATCAATTCGATACAGTTCATTAAAAATAAAGGCTAAATCATGGCTGTGATACTAAAAACCACATCTTGTGCAAAGTTCATATGAAACACGCCCACTTTACTCATTTAAACAATGAAAATGTCAAATACGAGTTTCCTTCTACTAAACAAGCAACAAAACTGTAGCTCTCTGACAAAATAATTTTGTAAAATACACCAAAAAGTACTCTTGGCGATATATCGATACAACAACCCACGATATCGATACGGTATCATCACATTAAGTGATAAGTAGAGCAGAGTTTAACTGTGATGGTAATGCTAACAACTACTCGCCTGCTAACATCGCACCAGGATTAGATCCTGGTTCACAGCTGATACCACATCTATATGCTTGGCTAATACTTGTTAATTAATGTGTACTATTCTATATTAAATAAACTGCTACCTTTTGTCTTTGTATTTATCTAAACTCCTTTCGTTTTGTCCACAGGCAGAGATCAAAAACGTGAGCGCGGAGGCCTTCGAGGGTAACCGTAGCGCCCAGTGGCCTGTAGGGGTCACTGCACCATTCGAGCCCAAAACGCGTTTCGAGGTCTTAAGCTGGGAGTACTTCACCGAGGAAGAGATCTACTCGTGTGTGGATGGCTCTCCCAAATGTGAGCTGAAAGGCATCGATCACATGGATGTTTTGAACGTAATTGAAGTCGCATTGGCCGAACTAAATAAGAAATACATGCCTCTAATTCATATGAAGAAACAAGCTTTGATTAATGGGTACAGAAGATTTGACCCAATTCGCGGTATGGAGTATATGTTAGACTTGCAGCTAGAAGTGGAAAGCCAAAAAGGTCATAGCCAGTCAATCACCAAGCGGGTTCACCTAGTTCGACCACTGAGCAAAATCGAAATCATTCCTATGCCTTATGTTACCGAGGCGACGAGGGTGCATATCATTATACCGCTCACAATGCAACTCAAAAATTACGTTACACATTTTCTCGAGGTTTTTGCCACCAATGCCTTCGAAACCAGCGAGAATGCAGTGTTGACGTTCTTGTTTATTTACGATCCTGTGGAGGCACAACAGGTAAACCAAAATGACATCTTTGCAAGTGTGAAAACTCAGATAACAACGCTGGAACGGAAATACCCCACTATAAAGATCCCGTGGATAAGTGTCAAGACGGAAACGCCATCGCAAATCAAGTTCATGGACATCATTTCAAAAAAGCACCCAGTTGATACCCTTTTCTTTTTAGCTAGCATCAACTCAAATATCAATTCTGAATTTCTCAACCGATGTCGCATGAATTCAATAAACAACTGGCAAGTGTTTTTTCCGATACATTTCCAAGATTACAACCCAGAGGTGGCCTATCATAACCAGCCTTACCCAACCACGATCGATTTGGTCAAAGAGGCTGGACATTTTGACCGCATGTCTTTCGATGAAGCCTGCTTTTATAATTCCGATTACATGGCGACGCGAACTCAAATGGTAGCGGACGTCCAGGAGAATGAGGAAATTTTGGAGATGCTGGATATTTACGAGATGTTTGTGAAGTATTCCAGTTTGCACGTTTTTAGGGCCACCGAGCCAGCACTACATCAGCAGTACCGCTACGAAAATTGCAACCCGCGGCTCAGTGAGGAGATCTACCACAGATGTGTGCAAAGTAACTTGGAGGGTTTGGGTTCACGCTCCCAGCTTGCTATGCTGCTATTTGAGCAAGAGCAAGGCAATAGCACATGAGGATGGCTCGTAAAAACTGCATCTCTTGCCTCTCTAAAATGGGTGTCAATGCCTTTTATGGCCTCCTGTTGCAATTCAATAACTTGATATGGATGTGTGAGACCACTGGAAATAACGTCTTTGTCTCAGAATGAACTTTGAACTGGAAGTGGTTCACGCACTCACTATTCTAAATTGCAGCAAAGACTGATGGGAGGCTGTAAGAGACAGATCGAAATGCAGTATCTTGACTTAATGAAATGTTTACAGTGTTTGGTAATAATAGTTTGATCCCAAAAGATGTGTGAGCGATCCTGTGACCACTCCATGTCCGAGCAGTATATAGTTCTATAGTTCATTCAGATTCTATGGAAACAACAGTGGGACAAAAAGGACGCTTTCCAGTTCTTATCTCGCAAGCTGGTTTCAAACAGCTCTTCACAGTAGCAGTAGCATACCGAGAGCTCAACAAGCTTGTCTGCTGTAAACCAAATGGACAAAACACTATGAGGTTATTTTAAGTGAAAATTCTTGTAGTATGCTTTAATGATGAGCATTACAAAAGCAAAGGAATGGCATATATTTCTTGATACATTGCACAAGTTTGCCTTCAGGGCATCTGGCTTGTTACAATCATTTATGAGCTTAGCTATTTACAAGTGCCTTTATGCAGATGTTGAGATCAGTTTATGTTTGAAATCAGTCCAACTTTTCGGTGACATGCAGCTTTAGACATTTATTTATTAAATCACAGCCAAGAACAAAATGAAAGCAAATAATAATGCTCATGCTATGTGGTTAAGCACTGTTACATGTCGTGGGAGAACAAAATGGGATTTGTGACAACCTTATATTTTTGTTAAGGTGAATTCACGTGATCCTTAATTTCAACATGCAATTTACTCAAGTGCCTTTCTAGAGCACAGAGGCAAGCATTGCATGGGGCTGTATGGGAGTCACACTCTCAGATGGGGGCCAGAGCCAGTATTTTTGTAGGAATTATTTACTATTTAAATTTAGGAAAAGTGAAAATAGGAAAGAGATAGGAAAGTGAAACTTGATCATTGTATCAGTGAGAGGGTTGGAGATCCTGCTTTATTAACAAACCTATAGCAGCATTAGTCACCTGGCCTGGCCCCATCTGAATGAACCCCACAGGCCTGTAGAATGTGGTGATGCCTGAGCAGCTCCTCTGTCTGAGGTGTATGAGGCCTCAGTCTTTACCTGCTCCAGGTGTGTCAAATATTCAGGAGTGAACTCATGAAGCAAAGGTACTGTAAAAGAGTTACTTATGAGATCAGTTTTGAATGTACAAACTGTTTTTCACATGAGCAGGTGTGGATATTTTGTACCTTTTGTGCGTTCAGAGGTTTAGTTCCAAAGTGTTGTGGATTGTATTGAAGACTTTGTAAGTCAATGGTGTTATTGTCCTGCGAGGGCTGCTTCAGCGGTGGAGGCGCTTTAGTTGCAGTGAAATTGGAGCCTTTTTACTGAGTTTTACTGAGTGTCATTGAAGGCTTGTCAACCATAATGTGCAATATTACCACGACTGGACGTCCCGACCAGGACAGGACCCAAATCTTTGTGACGTTTGCTGCAATGAACAGCGCGTGTATGAGACGCACTGTTCGTTTTAATTTAAGATTTCAGTTTGAGTGAATACACTGTAATGTTGTGGCGGGACCTATTTAATGTATTTTTCTGACACAAGACACTTTTCACCAATGTTATTTACTCTATTTAAGTTGAATTGGATCAAAGTGTATGTTGGAAATGTGACATTAACTGTGGTGGTCGTGGGCTGTACTTTGCTGTGCAGAGGTCAAAACATTGAGTGTCTGACTTTTTAAATAGGACTTTCTGGTAACACTTAATTTTATAGTCCACACATTAACGAGCTGTTATCATTGTAGTTTGTGGTTAATTAGTTTTTATTGAATTTACAGTAAAGCACCCATTCTCTGTAACCACCAGTCTACCTTTAAATTGCACTTTCCCCACTAATCTCTTAACGTCTATACTGTACTTCATCCTATATATATGCCCGATAAACTTTTTTTTTTTTTCAGGCTGAAACTTTATTATGGGGTTGCTTTGTTGTGAGCTGAAATCCAAAGGAAGTAAGGTAGATTTTTCTCTCTTATTTGTTTTATACATTTTAGAATATTTTTGAATTAGCTACTTGTTACTTTGTGGACTGTAAACCAAATTGTTACCAGGTTTTTAACGCATCTCTTCTTGGAGATCAGCTGAGTGAGTGCTCTGTTTGTCATTGTAGTATGAATGTTTTTATGCATTTTACTTGTTACACAAATCTCCGAACCACTGTGAACAAGATGGCGGCAATTAAATGAAGTTATTTTGGTGATTTTTCTTTGTTTAAAATTGCCTAATACTGTTACAACCGCCATCACTGAACCAATGTTACCAAACTTATCTGTCACTTCTTAATGAATTGTGCAGATCTTGAGTCACTCTGCACTAATCTTATATTTTATAGACATTGTTTATTTAGTTTTTGGAGTCGTTTGAACAAATGTGTATTCTGTTATGTCTTTGTGCATTTGTCCTTTTGACCTTGAAAATCCAAATGTATTTAATTTTCACATTATAGAAATACTGTTGACAAGTTAATTCATAGATCTACATGTATATTTGTACATGGGATGTTATTTTAATGTTACTCGGTTTACATTGTTGGATGGGTACTTCTATAACCAAAGCAATATTTGAAATTACTGTTTGTCACGTTGAATACATGCTGTACTTCCCAATGAACTGTGAATTATAATTTTTTAATAAATTGTTTTTATAAATATATTTTCCCGATGTTTATGTTGAGCACTGATTCTCTCTCTTCTCTCTCTCTCTCTTTTTATTTCCACATCTGCAATCCGCAAACCAGTGGAAGCTAAGCAGGTCTTAAGCAAATGATCTCATCAAGACTCCAAACCAGGACTGAACTAGGACTAAAAAGTTAATTACACCACAGTTTAACAACATTTTTTTTACATTCTCAGTTCCAGGGTCTTTCATTCTTACGTTCAAGTCCTAATTTGACCCATAGGTGTCAGTAGAAGCGCGCGTTTTGCCCTGTCCATTTCTGCTTAGGTGAGGTGCGCTACTGATGATTCCAGCTCTGCCTGCACCTCCAAGCCCAGAAAGATCTGACTTTTTCCAACTAAAACGCCTTAAAAGTCCTTTGCACTTAGCATTCCTGCCCATGAGGTATTTATTTCTGTTGTCTGGGCTGGGTAAAAACAGGCAAAAGCGCTGCAAACCTAAATTATAGCTTTAGTTATTTCAGGGGTCCTTATGCAGCGGCCCGAGGCATGCTGTAAAGCCACAAAGTACAGAGCAGCCGGGAGCTAATTGCAAGTCATCATTTTGTACTTGGTTTTTACATAGATCCCAGGACTTTCTCCTCCCACACGGCTGCAAAGTTGTTTCAAGTCTCTGGAGGACGACAGCTGCCAGTTTGGGTTCACCTGAGAGGTTACATTGTTTTTGGCCCGAACAACCTCGGGAAACACCGCTCACATGTCGTGGAGGGAGTGCGTCACTTTAGGGCTGTGCTGTGGAAGTGTGCACTCACGTTTTATTGTGGCTATGTGTATTCTAGGCCTATGTTGTTTATAGATTATGGATCTCTTGACATGCGCCAAACGAGGTGAATAAGTACTCAAATGCAATGTTAGGACTACAGGAAAAAAGCGTTTTGGGTTTTGGCTGTGGATACAGACTTAAAGGTGCACTGTAATTTTTTGGTTGGGGGTCCGTCACCTGCTTGTTTCTATGGATATATGTCATTGCTCTGCCTGGAATGTTCCACAGTACGATATTAGGTTTACCTCGCCACAGAGCTGACCTGGTCTGGTTTGGTCTCCATGATGATAGAAAGGTTTAATACTATGTAACATCCCAGACGAGACAATAACATCTCCATGGAAAAAAGAATATGATGGGCCCTCCACCACAGAAGTTACACAATACACCTTTAAAAAGGACATGTATAATACAATATATAAACACATATAAAGTGCACTTTTATTGGCTCATGTTCCTTCATCATTAGAAAATTGAGTAATCCAGTATTGTCTGGCAGTTGAGGCTTGAGGGCACAGGAAATGCTGTGAAACCTATCCCGTCTCCACTCAGTTTTGTACTTGTGATTATTAACTCAGGTCATACATGTGAGGTTCAATATCATATAGCTATTTTGAACAGGAAGTTAATGAACTAAACCTGAAATAGACTGAGACAAAACCAGGACCCAAACAAGACCACTTAAGAAAGCCCACATGATCAGTTAGAAAATTCTGAATAAGAAACACTGGTTTTATCAATCTAAACTTTAATAGTCATTGTATTTGCCGTATCTCACATTTATAAAAATCTGTTGTAACAGAAGAAATAATTACAATTTCACATTTCTGTACAAAATGTCAATGCAATCGGCAATACTGCAGCCGGCATCCATTTAATTCCACATTTCCTCATATGAACAGTCGTTTGCATCACCCTGCATCCTTCTCTTCTCAAATCACAATATGTCGGACATAAAACGAGACAAAAATGGTACAAAACCTGATCTAGAGGTGAAAAATACAAAGAGAAAGAACAAAAGCATGATAGCATAACAAGAAAAATACAATAATGTTCAATGATCATTTTTGTCATTTGGCCAGACAAAGCGCCTTTCTTTACCTTAACTCTTTTGTGAATTAATCTGTACTTTATGATGACATACAATTCATTGGTACAGACATAAATTTGTGGTTCAATCGCTTATCTCTTATGCTTATCTCTTGTGTTCTTGGGTGTTCTTTCATGCTTCAGTTTAAACAATCCAGAAACTCACTCAATTAAGTCTTTAAAAAAGTATTATTTGATCTTGATGAAACCAGGACTAGACCAGGGCTAGAACATGACCAGACACTTAGTAAGATATAACCCAGACGTGTATAGTTCCAAAAATCCAAACAAGAGTGAACTGGATTGATGGTGGTTAAAGTAACAGCCATGCAGAGCTATAAAAGGTATAGACCTACAGTAGAGAGGAGACAGGAGCTCAGATCAGAGAAACCAGAAGAATCTCAGGAATGTCAGCTACATGTTGTCACGCTGGGTCGTCTCATTGGCGCAGGACAGAGGACAGACCTGCTTCTCTCCCCCTCTCTTTTCCACACATACCCTCACCATGGACTCCTGCCTCCTTCCCACATGGACCAAATCAATGTTTGTGAAGGTATGGTTACAGGACAGTTCTCATATATATAGGCTACTATTTTAAAGCGCACATGACAGATTTTCACGTTTTTCTCATTTTGACATAAGTGGTAGTGGGAAAAAGGTGTGAAAAAGTTTTGTTGAATTAGTTTAAAATTTTTATTAATCTACTCATAGGTATTGTGCAATTTAGGTTTGGCTTAAGTTCTGGCGCTTGTCAACACTGCATAGTTGCTATGAAATTACCTGTGACTGAAAGTCACCTGTTTCCCATACACTTGTAACACAATGTAATTAAAGACACAGAAATTATATAAAATAGGCAAGTTTCTAATAAAATCTTAAATATAATTAACTATGTTTTAGTCAAATTGACCTGTTTTATGCACTTGCTCATAAGAGAGTTGTTTTCCTACAAAAGCTTTTACATGATTTTGAATGCATGTCTTATTTTTTACGACACAACAACTTTTCTAAACACTTTAAAGTGGCTGGCTCAACCAAAACATATGGGCAGCGTCTCAACAAAATAAAATGAAAATATCCTTTGCATACCACACATTTGAACTTACATGAAAGAGGGTTTAATTTTTAGTGTTTACAAAAGCACATAGTTAAGCATGTCTGTGGCAATGTTTCTGTCTGCTGCTCTTGACAGGAGTATTTGGATATTGTGAGAATAAATAGGACCTAAATGGAGTTAAAGTTAAGGTTATGAGTCTTTTACTTAATTATACAGCTTTTGTTGATGTCAACTATCTACTAGTCATTGGTATTTTACTATTACTAATAAACACTGTGGTGATGGTCCAATTTAATGTCCAAATAGATAAGAGCAATATAATGTGTCAATAATTTTCCAGGTTTAAAAATGATTGCAAAAATATTCTGGCATTATGAGGATGAGTGGCCTGGAAAATCCAGACTAAAATCCTCTGTGTACAATTTGCTCACCACTCCCTCAGGACCATCTTAGACAGAGCCATGCAATCAGGTTTGTTCATATCAGTATCAGTAGGACATAGACAATCTCACTGATCATGTATTTAAACAAAATCAGACTTCTATAACGTTATATTAATGCTGTTTAGTGCTTTACTCATAATTACGCTATGTTTTTTTTTTTTTTATTCTAAGTTATATTTTTGCATTTTTTTAAAATACATAATCCATCATGTTTGTTTTCATACAGACAGATCACACATTGCTTTGATTGTCTTATCTGGTTGTCAAAAATCTGAACCTGTGGAGATGTCACCACATGTAACACTTCTTTATATAGGAAAAATTATGTTGTTATGTCTGGTCAGGCTCTGAAATTTTGTGGAAAAATATCAGAAAAAACATTGTTAATATCATAGATGACCCCTTTAAGATTATAATATCACATGCCTTATCTGCGTGTCAAACACACCCATCTGAACTTGTGGAGATGTAACCGGAGCCCAGACTACACTTCTTTGTATTAGAAAAAATGTAGTCTGATCTGGACAGGCTTGAGAATTTTAGGGAAAACATTGGAAAAAACGTCCTTAATAGGCTCTATCATGTATATATTAAAATAACTTTATTCACTCTATTCACGCTTACTTCACAAACCAGGAAGACACTTGGAGACGATGGCAACTTCCGATGTAGTTACCGATATTGGGCTCGCCTACTAACTGTGATAAAACCCACTGAAGTAAATGTCATCAGCAGTAAAATGAAAACTGCATATGTATGTGCTGTTTGGAAACATCTTGAATTTGGAGCTTTCATCTCTTCTGATAGAATAGAATAGAAACCCTTTATTTTCATTATACAATAGTATAAAGAAATTCAGAGCTGCTCCGCCAAAGTGCAAGAATTAATAATACATAAAACAAATTAACAGTTCTCATTAATTATGGTAATAGCTATGGGGAAGAAGCTGTCCCTGAGGCAGTTGGTTTTAACTGGAACTGACCTGAAGCGCCTGCCAGAAGGCAACAGGTTGAACAGGTGGAATCCAGGGTGTGTATTGTCTTTAATTATATGTGTTACAGTGCGATGATTGCCACTGCATGTGTTGGTCACTGTATTGTTGTGCGCAAGGTTACGCGGGTATAAAATAAAGGCGGAGCCTCCTGTGTTGCGATTCTGCATGTCAGAGCGGCCAGTCATTGTGGCTACCTGTCAAAAGTTTAGCATGTCCCCTGTCTTTGTCTGTGCTACCTTGGTGGGCTACCGGTGGTAAATCTGTAAAGATGTCCACGCAGGCTGAGAGCACGGGCGAGGGTCCCCGTGCACCTAGAGAGCGACCCGCTGCAGAGGAGTCAACAATATGCCTCACGCTGCTGAGACAGCGGGAGTTGTATAAAGTGGTTAAGAAAGGCAGAGGGCAGCCAATAATGTCCTGTGCAGTGTTGGTCACCCTCTGCAGATGCTTCCTGTCAACCTCTGTGCAGCTAGAGTACCACACTGTCACAACAGAGGTCAGTAGGCTCTCAGTGGTGGAGTGATAGAAGGTCAACAGCAGGCTTGTGTTTAGTTGCACCTTCCTGAGCAGGAAGTGTAGCCACTGCTGGGCCTTTTTGTCCAGTGCTGAGGTGTTGACTGACCAGGAGAGATCCGCAGAAATGTGAACCCCAAGGAATTTGAAGGACTCCACTCGCTCCACACTTTGGCCGTTGATGTACAGGGGGGCAGGAGTGGCTCTGTTCCATCGAAAGTCCAGAATGAGTTCCTTAATGATATTCAGTGCCAAGTTGTTAGTTGCACACCACTCGCTGAGTTTCAGGAGCTCATCTCTGTAGGGCGCTTCATTCCCCTCTGTTATCAGCCCCACCACCGTCATGTGGTGGGGCAAATTTGACAATGATGTTCTCTGGGTGGGTGGGACTGCAGTAATCACATGTGCCCAGTGCGCTAGGAGTTGTGTGTCAGTGGGGAAATGGTGAAAACTGACGTATGGTTGTAATTGTTGATTAGTCCAACATAACGAAACGCTACAATGACATGGAGATGATGAGGTGAAGAAAACTGGGCCATTTTCTCATTTTTCCAAGATTTTGTCAGACTTACTACTGAGAACAGAGCCTGCTGAAAGCTGTTATCGTATGTTTCCAAATGTCTTCACGGTTTGTGATGTAAGTGTGAATACGTATAGCCTATATTACAGACCACTCCTTTAATACTATAAGATCATAAACCTTATCTGCCTGTCAAACACACCCATCTGAACTTGTGTAGATGTAACTTTAGCCCAGACTACACTTCTTTGTGTAGAAAAAAAATGTAGTTTTGTCTTGTCAGGCTTGTGAATTTTAGGGAAAATACTGGAAAAATATCCTTAATATTATAGACCACCCCTTTAATGCTATAATAAGATCAGTGGTCTTTACTGTCTCACTCAGCCCACCTTCCCCTCTCTGTGTGTCTGAAGACGGGGGGCTACAATTCTGGATGGCACGGGAGCAGATTGTTATGCACGGCCAGTACAGGATGCCATCAGAGCTTGTGATTGGGAACCTTTGGAAAATGTCAAAGTGACACATGATTACGAATATTAAACAGCCATGTAAAGCCCATGATTACTGGATAAAAAGAGCAGAGATGACACGTGGGAGCCATCAGGAGACTGTCCTCGTGGAGATAGAATATGAATACAGGTCTATGTAGGCAAATTAACACAGGAATGATGTTGGCATTTATAAACATTATATGGAAAGAGTGATTAGCTGTAGACAATGAATTATATTTGAACTGTGTGACAAATATATATTGATGTAATTAAACAATAATGCATAATAATTTAAAGCAACACCATGTAACTTTCTAGAGGAAATAGAAAGTGATAACTACACTTCAGATGTTTCACCAGGGAGATAGATACTCTGGAATATTACAGCCAAGGGAACCACATTTCTGTGTAAACACACAGGAAAAGACTCTCTTCCAGATCAAATAGGAGTCAGGTTATGTAGATACAAGCCCGCTCAGGGTAAGGGTATGTTTATCAGTGCAATAAAAACATCCAAAATAAAAAGTACTTTTGTTTTAGTAAATTTTTTGGCCAAAAAAAGTTACACGCTGGGCTTTAATTTACTGAATATTCTGTGTTTGAATATCAGACAAAAACATTGCACCCTCAACACTAAATCCAAAGACAGACTTACAAAATCAGGCATCATTTGAGTTTAAAATGTAGTTTCCTGAACCTGTCACTGCAGGAAGTAAACGTAATATACTGCATGTTTAGACAGAGCTGGACCGCACAGGATCATTTTCATAGTGATGAGGGAGAGGAACCTTCAACATTGTATCAGCTTTTTAAGCTTTTTAAGTTTAAGTTCAGCATGTTATAGATCTTATTCATATTCTACAATGGCACACTATAAAAAGTATCATAAGTATAAATATATTTAAGTAAGTTCACATCACTCAAATTATGAATATTTAACTTGATTTGAGTAGATTTGAGTAAAATGATCTACCAAAGATTTTTTTTAAATTATTTATTATTCAAACAACATAAGATTTAGTTTCTTATGTCAAATGAGAGTTGATGTTTTCCTTATCTTTAGTGTAACAATATGTATTTTCTTATTTTAAGTCCAAAATGGATTGTTACTCTGGTAGATCATTTTACTTTAGAATTTACTCAGATCAAGATAACATTTTCATAATTCAACTAATTCTAACTTGGCAAGATTTTACTTTTTGCAGTGCATGATGTCATACTTCTGAAAAGGGGACAAGAGACAGTTTCTATATTTGATCATGTATTTTCACAAGAATAATATCCAAATAAGAAATACACAAATGTTGAACTGAACATTACATTTATTTTAGTAAGGCCCTCAAACCTGTTATAATGCCACTATTTCCATATTATAATATATTCTGCTGTGATCAGTCAACCCAACAGTCAATGCAAAGGTAGGACTGGCTTTGTGTTATAGGCAACATGGACTGCATTAGTCAGTCAAATTGCTTTTGTTTAGAGGCAATCTACAAAAGTAACCTTAAATCAATATATTATGTCATCTTTTTTCCATTTGATTATTTTATGTTGATCAAAAGCAAATAATTTGTATTAATTTAACATACAACATTTAGCTTAGAGGTGACATAAGATATTTATTTAGGGTCAGCATTTCATTTTTGAGTGTTTTTTTGTTTTCAAACTATAACGTAACTTACATTGCACAAAACCAAAAGCTAATACACAAATCTAAAGAATTTTGAGTGACTCGCAGAAGCAAAAACATATTTTTACACAGAGGCAAAGTTCAAATGTGGTCAACGCAGAAAAGTAAACAAGACAGTAGAAATAGCTGTTGTTGTGTCTGTACCAGGAACATGTCCAAATGCAGCAGAAATGTCTCTCCCAAACACCACAGAGCCCAGAATAAAACCTGTAGGTGTAGTTATAATAAGATGTGTATTTGTTTGGTCCAGCTGTCGCCTCCGTACCACCAAAGTCCGAGTTTGTAGTAAAAGCAGAACTTCACAGGCGCTCTTAAACATGTGGGCTCAGGGTCTGGACTTGTAAAGAGACTTATGGCTGTACTACACACTCATATGACCTCTGCCGCTAATATGAGACAGATGACAGTGATTTCATTATCGCGCCGGGCATTCTGAACTGTCATTTCCATTGCCGTTTCCGTTCCTCTTAAAACTGTGGTCTATCATGCCCTCCCTTTGAGGTTTATGCAAAGCAGTAACAACATTATGACCTCCGGAGCAATGTTTAAAAGAGATTCTGTATTTGTGAATGACATTTACAATTTGGAACATTTTTTTCAACATAGGTGAAATAGTGGCCAAATGTGGTTGTAATATCAAAATAATTAAGAATTTATTGTAATGAAAATTTGACTGCTTTAATTTTAATGAAAGGGTGATTACTATTTCATTATTGTTCTATAATCAGTGATGAAGCATTTATATTTTTAGACTAGTTTGGCAGGAGGAGAAGGATGGGTTGGTTGTCAACAGATCCACTGGTGGATTGAGGTCACTGAAAAACAAGTATCCAATCACTGTTTTGCCAACCACATAGGGAACAAGCACTGTGTAACTTTTCTGGTGGAGGGTACATCACCTGCTCATCTCCATGGAGATTTTATTATTTTTTGCATGAAGGTATATTGCACAGTATGGCATTAAACATATCTACTGTATTTTTCATGAAGATGTGATCCCACACAGTGAGTCTTTTTCAACCCATATTTTTAAGCAATAAAAACACATAGATAGAAAAATAGATACATTTAATTCCTTGGCAATCCCCAAGCAATCCTCTACTTGAAAAGTTACACAGTGCAACTTTAAGTCCATATAAACACAGGGTTGAACTGGGAAGTGTATGGAAAAACAGAATGCAAATTCTCATGTGGCCTGTATGTCATGTTCTGGCATATGGTTGTATAATTAAAATCATACTGTAAGTGATTCTACCTTTTGGTCCAGCCCCAGCCTTACCAGACTCCAAACCTATGCAATCACAGGCACACAGGACTACTATGTTTTATAAATGTAATTTTCAACATATAAATGAAAATGAACATTCAAATATATTACATTTTCTTATGAGCCACTCTTGTAAATAGCTTTTCATGTTATATCCTGGAGACACATTTAAACTGGTAGAGGTCTGAGCCTGAGCAGCTCCCCTCTTGACTTCCAGATTTGTTTACATTACCTCTTGGGGACTGCTGCAATCCGTCCACAGAAGGAACTCAAAATAGGATGCGTGTACGAGACTCCACTGCTGGCTCTGAGCTGGAGAGATGAGTTAGCAAAATATAAATCAAAGTTTGTTATTGCTTATGTCAGCATTAAGAATGACCCACCAGCATTTTAAATAAGTAGAAAATATGGAGCTTCACTCATGTAGCATTGCTTAAATAAACATGGAAACTGTATGAAAAAATGAATCACAAAGAAAGCAGCACATACAAGTCCATTATTGTCAATGGTGCAGATTGGTGATTGGCAGTCTGTAGATTGTGTGTAAATAGGAATTGCTACAATCGTGATTGCTATTGTCATATAAAAATCCTCTTCTAAAATTTATTAAAAGTAATATTACATAAGTTAGGCATTATTATTTGAACAGAATATAAACAACAAACATTATAACAGAGGTTTTTAGACTTTATGTACAAGTACAATGCTACTCTCTAACACCTGAATCACGGACCAGACATAGTGTAATAGATGAGGCCAGATCTTCGACTATGATTAAACAACTCAGTATTTCTCAAACTGGTCTATGGTGTATGATGGGGCTCAATTTCATTTTTATTTTCATTTCACAACAATATAATCCACTGCCAAGAAGGTACTCTTTTAGGATTATTGTGTTATTGTTCTGTTTGTCTGTTGGAACGATAAGTATTGTGATGTGCCATAAATGATTCTCATTATGGCTAAGGGGTTAGGTTGACTCAACATTTTCACAATACTGTATCATACACTTTTTAAAAAATGTCCCAAAAATAAAAAATATAAAAAAGCTTGATGCTTTCTCAGAGATATAAAATACAAGATTAAGAAAGTTTATGGGATTAGATTCAGCACCATTTCAGGTTAGAGCCAAACATTGGTGGAAATGTTGGAAATCTGGACAATGTCTTTTTAAATCAGGATGTTGATTGCTATCCGGAAGCCATTTTCAATCTGAAGGTACTGGTGTGAGGAGCTATAGAATTTATACTGCCCAAAGGGTAGAGGAGATAGAATAGCTCTGACTTATTGGAGGAGTTACCTTGCCCTGGTCTTGTTTACCTGCCCTGTACAGGACCCAGAAATTAGTCAGATGCCAGATGAAGTGTTGTAAAGATGGATGAATGAGAGATTACATTTGAGGAGTTAATTTGACCAATGTGAGACATGAATTGAAATCTGCTAATTCCAGTGCTGTTACACACTGCAGAGTCAGACCAACGCCTTGGTAGAGGATTACATTTTGCAAGTCTTTCTAGAGTTTCTAATTATATATTAAGGATTCTAATACACATAAATTATAAAAAGCTGCTTATATTTTTTATAATGTCCACTACTGAGCCCCAACCCACCCGTTGAGAATCACAGTTTGAAATACCCCTTCCTTGGATGAATGCAACACGAGCTGAAGTATTTGTAGCTTGTTTACAATAGAAAGTGATAATATTATATCATTAAATAATTACATAATTTCCAATGTGTTATGGCTGGATATGGTACAGTGTATTGAAGAAGGAGGTAAGTCAGATACAGACAAAAATATATTGTCACCGTTGAAATTCTGAATAAATAAACCATACTTTTCCTTGTCCGGAGCAAGGTGACATGCAGTCCTCCTTTTGTCCCTGTATTGTGATCATGTACCAAAACAAAATTGGCCCAAAAATCACAAAATCGCCCCACAAGTTTGAGTTCCCATCCAGATCGGAGAGAGTTGTGCCTACATTTATTTCATAAGTGATTTGTTAGCAGCACAAGTTTGGTGTTTGACTTTGGCTGTAGCTTAACACCGAAGACAGCAAAAGATATTTACGAAAGTTCTTTTGTGGGTATCTTTTGATGTCCCCAGGTCCAGGATGGTCTATTGTGGTTCTAGCAGGCAAAGTCCTCAAACACCCCGCGTCGCCCCGTAGAGTGGTGGGGGTGTGGGATGGGGTGGGGCTGTTGGTGGGGCAAATTTTGTGGGTGGGGTATAGCTTGTGAATGGGGAATAGGTGTTGGATGGGACATTACTTGTGGAAGGGCTACTGCCTTTTGGTGTGGCACTGCTTGTGGGAGGGGCACTGCCTTTGGGTGGGGCAGCTGCTGGGGGTGGGGTAGTTGTTGGGGGTGCGGGTGGGGCATAGGGTGGTGATTCAAAGGCAGGATTTGGTTGGCGTATGCTCCTTCAGGATGGCTCCGCATGTCATTGGGTTCCTGTTGAGAGATAAGTGAGAGGTTAAGGGATAATGATTCAGTACAGCACAAGACAGTTGTTTAGTCTTCAATGAGGGTGTGGTAATCTCACATAAAACAGGGGAACTTCCAACATTTTTATCTTTCATTTTGACTTACAAGGCCACAGTTAGAAATTTGAACATGCTGACAACTTCAACACTTACGTTAACATACAAACTTTACATTTTAAAATTTTTGCATTCAAACCACGTTGGTAGAATTAGCTACTTTTAACCTTTTTACTACTGTTTAACATGAAAATTTAACATGGGGAAAATCTATTTATCATCATGTTTTTCTAATTGGTCACACCTGCTTGTCTCTATGGAGATGTCACTGCTCTGGAATGTTCCCTGGTATGATTTTAAACTCGTAAATTTAGTATTTATTTATTACAGGTGTTTCTACAGCTCAAAGAGACATAATTCCATGGAACATAAGGTGGTGGACCTTCTAATAGAAATGTTGCGCAGTACATCGTTTAAGTGTTAGTATTGTTGTGTTTAGTTATAATCAAAATATTGCAATGTGCAACATCTACTATTAGCACAATTATCAGCAGGGGGGACTGTGAGTGGTACATTTGTTTAAAAGTCTATTACACTGTCAAAATGAAGGATGAAAAAATTACAAATAAATAAAAACACAGATTATTATTAAGAAATTACTCATTATTTTACATTGTCATAGTTCCATGTAATGTAACACTGCATTACTGTGACTAATGGTTACTTAAGTAAATTTCATAATTCAGCCTGTGTTGTCTCTCTCTGTCTCTCTGTGTTGTCTCTGAGTTTCTCAAGCAACAAGAACATGTTATGGATAATGTTATAGTTATGGAACAATTTACTGTGGTGATACTGAAGAACAAAAAGCTCAAAGAAATGTACCTTAACCCTAGACCATTATTTTAGAGCCAAATGCATTCAATCAATATTCACATAAGCAGGAAAAGTGATACAATACTATGCCTACAGATATGTATTATGCATAATTATAAAAGATAAAATATGCTGGATTAACATCATATAATGTTGTGACCAATAGCATAACATCGACAGTCTGACCCTATTCACTTCATTTTCCCAAAGCACACTGTCTGAAAAGTAGTTCTGCCATTTAGTGCATTAGCGGTGACCCAATGTGAAAGTAGCAGTGCATTTTATGCTGCTAAGCTAATGGTTATCACATAATAGCATGAACAGTGGCTAACTCCCTATCTCTGCTTTCAGAGCTACATGTAGCACACATACTAAAAGAAGTTACTGCAATGTTACAGGGATGCCAGAAAACGAATAATGCAAATCTTTCTTAATAATGCAAATCTTTCTTAATAACATAATAACATAGCTGAGGTTTTAAATAGGGCTATTGAAGTCACTTATTAGAAACACGTCACAATTAGATTTAGAGCGTTATTATTATAAAAGATTGATGTTGACTCAAGAAGGACTTCAAAGACTAAAAGCAAGTTAAGCATGTTAAGCAACATACAACTACAAATACAACAACTATTATGTAGGCACTTTTAATTAAACAAAGTACATAACACTGCTATGTGATTTACTGAGGGAGAAATAATGTTTAGACAACTACATAAATAATACATAAAAAACCTCAATACTAAAACCACTTTAAAGTATGGCAAGTCTTCGCTGTGGTCAAAGCTCATCAAGAACACTAAACCGTTTAATTTCTATGGTAAAATCTGTTAGTACTTTTCTATGATCTGTTCCATTAGATTACAACACTTTCTCCTAAGTGATGTAATGCACATGATAACAGCCCCCGTCTTTCCCATTCACATTCAAAATAAACATGTAGTCACATGTTCCTTTATCAGTTTGTAACCTAGATCCTATCATGTAATAATATGCTGGCTTCATGGTTTACAATAAGATAAGAACAACAGTATGAGTGTTGTGTATGCAAATAGTAATGGTCTGCGACCAGAAACTTCAGGTATGCAGACATTATTAGTACATATTCAAAGTAACAGATGACTTGAAGCCAAATGTTATTGCAGTATTTCTACAGCTCACCAGGGGGCCCCAGACCACACTTTGGAAATCCAATGTGTAGATGGTAGTTCATGTAGTTTGAATGTATTCCTGTGTCAAAAAGTACCATAACTTTTATGTTTAATTTAAAGTTCTATTTTATGTCAGTATAAATAATAATATAATAAACAAGTTTTCTTACCATTAGTATTCCATGTCCTATGTCCTTACTGATACAGCTCAGAGTATAAGAAAGTCTGTTTCTTTACTTGACTTTGTACAGGTGGTTTATGTCAGATGCCCTGATTCAAACTTCTCTGTGTGTGCTTTGGAATGACATAGGCAATCATATGATCTGAATGACATTGGTTTATAGTGTGTGTACATGCATAACTGAAACAACAGTCACTTTGAACCAGGTGTGATTTGTATTGCTGTATTTTGTACCTTTGTTTTCATTTCCTCTAGCTTCACAGTGGCGACTGTTGCTCTCTGCGGACTCTTCTTCTCTTCTTTCTGTGGTCGGAGTAGCCTCTGTATCCTCTGCTTGATCACCTGGATTCACCCGCGCAGACCACAGATCACAAACAAGACAAAAGCACAAGAGAGGGATAAGACGGAGCTATGCATTCACTGATAATGTTTAATACATGTTTGTCTGTTAAAGTTGGACTCAAAGTTTGAAAAGAGATGAGGCAGAGGTGTTAGCATGTCCACGGCACAGTCCGGAGCGGATATTAGTTTCTCCAGCGGGAAATCAAATAAATCTGTTCACATGAATAATAAGTGATAACAGCTGCACGGCCAGACTCAGGCAGTGGGGCTTGGAGAATACCCACAGTCTAATATTACTGAACACAATATAATATATTAATTGTGGAAATATGCACATGTTTGAAAGTGTAGGCCTACTATGTAACTTTTCTGGTGGGCAGTCACCCACTGGTGTTCCTGCTGCTTCCTACTTACAAGCAAATGACACCACCTGACCAAGTGACAGGTCAGAACTGTGAAGAGTGAGTGAACTCACTTGTAGCAAAAATTCACATTTTTCAATTTTTGATTTATAGAAACACCTGTAATTGAGTCAATGCAAGATAAAGTTTAATGCCATACTGTGGAACATTTGAGGCACAGCAATAACATCTCCATGTAGACATGTAACTCTTACGAGGTTACATGGTACAAGTATAATGTTTGTTCAGTTTGAAGATAGAGGTTTAGTAGTAAATAGGAAATACATTGATGTATTTTTCCAATCTTGGAGCGGAGCCTGATGCACGACAGCTATGTAAACAGTGATTTCATTGGATCTACATGTCGGTTATTTCCACCAGATGTCATGTTGTACATAACAGTGCAAGTGGCTACAAGCACAAGAACATTTGTTCTCTCTAAATGCTCTAAATAAATCCTATAAAAATGTTGTCCCTACAGATTAATATAGCTTTAACTGGCTCAATAGAAATGCTACAACAACCTTCCTATAAACGAATCACATGTAATCTCACTCCAGTGAAAACATGACAACTATTTATTGACTGCACATTGGTGAATGCTATCTGATCTTCACTGTGATGGCTTACACGACTGACACAGTACCTCATAGATATAATCCAGTATTTCTAACACTGTCAAGATGCTGGCTCCAATAAACAGGCCCATCTGTCCACCAATGTCGCCTGAAAGAGAGGAGAATACAATAAGAATATTAAAACACATGCAATCTATACTGTCTCACATACACAGATAAGCCATAGCATTATAGCAAACATAGATTTACTTGTCACGTGTTGAAATTGTTTAGTTGGCCACCATGTAAACAGAACTTGAAGCTGGGATACCTGATTTTCAAACAGTGGGTGTGAGAATTATCTAACTTGCTCCTAGCTCTCCCATATTCTTTGTCACACTGCTAGCATTTACATTCATCATTTTTTGTCAACGAGTACATAGTATAGTTTTATAGTTTTAAAGCAGCTTTTCAGATAGATAAATGAAGCAAGGTCAGCAGCACAGTCAATAAGCTCTCATCAAAACATCATATGACTCAAGTGGTGTTTTCTTAAAAGTTCAGTACACTTTCTGGGAAAAAATGAATTTACTCAATCATGAAAAAAAGAGTCGAGTTATTTCAAAGTTGAGTGTTACAAGCAGGAAAATGCAGAAGTATAATTTTTGACACAGGTGACTGGGTCTTAGCATTTTCAAAACTGCAACTTGTGCTCCTGGTTCACAGTCAGGAGTGGGCAATAACTCAAACCAACTATACCCCAATGCACTTTTGCGCTTTTACTAATCATCTAGGGACAAACAATGTATCTGGTTTGTGTTGTTTCCACATGCATACATACATTTATTTGTGTTATCTAATTTTAAAATATAACACGTGTAGATTACTATACATTTTGTTCATTGTAAACTGCAATATTAAGTTTAATAATATAAATAGATCCACTGACCTCCTGTTCAAAACTGCAGAAGTGTGAGGTCTTAGTGGCATTTCACCCTCACACACAGCTGATTTACTTTTTAAAGCTGAAAAATGACTATAAGCAACTTTGATTTTCAATCCTACATGTATGACCTAGAGTTTTATTTAATACTTAAAAATAAGTACTGAGAAGTAATACAAGGATACTCTAGTAGGCATGAATTAAAATGCCAGTGATAAAGGAGAACCATTATAACATGGTTAAAACCTCAATCAGTCAATTACATTAGTTTTCAAGCACACAACTAAGTCTTACCTAATAATCCTGCAACATCGTACGCCTTCTTTTGTTCAATGGTCTCGTAGTTCAAAGCTTCAAAAAATATATCCAGGACCAGAAAGTTATCTCTGTAAACAGAAGAGGCATTCAGGACTCATAAAACAACTGATTTACAATGTTACTGATTATAATTGATACTAAATTTGACAACTATAATAACCAGGTGTTCTATACAGGTTGTAAATTGTTATAGTAGGGTAGACATGCCCAGAGTGACTGAGTAGGTTCATACCACAGACATGAGATAATGAGCTGTACCTAGTTTTAAAACAGCGCAAGCACACTTCAGCCTCAGTTAGAGTGTGTTTTCATCTAGTCCCATTTATACAAGCTGTGACTGAAAGGCATTGAGTTCAAATGCCTTTTATATCATTGAAAAGCATGAGAATCAGCTAATCAGAACTACAGGTATGAGAAGGCAACATCATTAGCACCTTCATAGGGAATAAGAAATGGTGCTTAAGGGTTGTTCAACCTCTGTGATAATTGCCCAGAAACAACACAACAAGAAAGTCATGTTAGCCATTATAAATCTATGTGTAGGGTCAATGAGAATGTAGGTCTGAAGTCCTTATTAACTGAAATTAATCTGCGGCCAATCCTCTGTCGGTAAAAGTATGTGGTCTGTTTATTAATGTTTCCTTATCAAAAACATATTTGGAGTTGTGTTTTGTTTAATTTACACATGTTTGTCATACTAATCCTGCATATTTAGTGCTCCACTGTGTTTTTAAACTCCATACACCTTCACTAGAATCATTTCGATAATTTTAGATCTGAGATTTCCAATCCCTGCTAAGCAAAGGGTAAAAAGTAGCTGTTATCTTGAAAATTAGAACTTCATGACATCACAAGGTGTAACAGAGCATTTTAAACCTGGGACATGTAGACAGACTAATAATAAAGGGTTACTTAAACATATGTGAATGAAAGCAAACACAACTCCAGGTATGCTTTTGATGAGGTAACAGCATTATAACATGGCTTAAAGCTCACAAGAGTCAATTTGGCATAATATAGAACTTTTAAACGGAAATGGTTAAAACTGGTCAAACACATTTGATTTAGTAGAGTAGAGGTACAAACTGTCTGTTTTATTCTATTTAATTATTTTATCATGAGTGTATCAGGGTTAACAAACATGAGCTGCACTATGGGGTTGTACAGCTGTTTAAAAATGTGTTATACGGCAAATAAATATGACCTTTGGTAGTAGTTGTAAGAATTGCCGTTGCAGGTGCAGTACTAACCGTATGTAGTCCTCTGTCTTGTCATACTTCCTGGACAAGTACCGCGCAGAGCCCTTACTGGGGATCTTCACCATGGAGAGCTCTTTCCCATAACGTGTCAGATTACAGGGAGTCTCACATGGACACGTCTCCACTGGTCTTCTGTAACTGGGCTGAAACACACACATACAAGAGGATAGACTAAATTCAATTTGTGAAAAAAAAATCCCAGAAACAGCAGAATCAGACAAAATTTCTGCAGTGATATGGATGTACTCTTCTTCCTGTGTCATCAATTTATTTTTAAATATCAATAATAATTCCTGTTAATGCATTTATTTTTTATATTTTCTCCCCAAATTTCTTTAAAAGTAGTATATTACACACATTTAACTCTTTGCCATGTTATGTTTTACCTGATCAAAAGCATACCTGGAGTTGTGTTTTGTTTCAGTTCATATCATAATATTATATTACTCATAATATGAGTAATCCTTTATTATTAGTCTGTCTACATGCCCAAAGCTCAAAACGCTCTGTTCCACCTTGTGATGTCATAAAGCAGTAGTTTTCAGGTTAACAACTACCTTTTACCTTTTGTTTAACCAATTCCAGGGCTGAAATCATCCAAATGATTCCAGTGATGATGTATGGAATTTAAAAACACAGTGGAGCACTTATTGTATTACCACATAACATCACTAGGTGGAACAGAGTGTTTTCTATTTGAGAGAAGATCTAAATATGCAGATGAATATGCAAATGTGTGAATGAAACAAAACACAAGTCCAGGCATGTTTGGGATGAGGAAACAACATTATAACAGATCAGAAAACAGAGTAACATAAGCCCTTGAACTGACAGGTATTATTAACATGAAAACCTGGCATGCACTTTAAGTTATCTGCAGTATTAGAAAAGTAACTGAGGCAGCAGTAATAGTAGTGATTATAGCTGCAGTCATTGGGGTTCTGTTAAAAAGGGCTTCCATACAATACATAAATGCCTTTTTTGGTATCCCTCAATCATAATTTACCCTTGACTTGTTTTGTTTCAGGCTAAGAACTGGAGCACATACACAATAGGCCAAATGACTGATCTCAGTGTTAATGAAATAACTCCACCCAGACCTCTTTATATGGAACAATCAGGATAATTGTATAGCAGAGAATAACAGTAGCCTTATTCTTGTCTGTGAATTGGAAAACATCTTAAAAATATAACTTTTTAAGAAGTTATTACTTTTCCCAAGGGAGGAATTTATTCAGACAATTTGATTTAGTCGTCTATAGCCCATGTGAATATGCTCATTCTTGTAAGATATATCTGCGATTTCATTCGGCCATGTTTAAACAGTGCTAGGGTCTGTGAAGAGAGAGATAATTAAATTTGGGGCTTATTTTCTTGAGAAATTATAGCTCATAATGTACTTATACGTCTGCCGGGGCTGCTATGAAAACCCCTTTTTACTGCAAATGCAATTCAGCCTGTAAAACCAATGCATCTTTGTTCAGTCTGCCGGATCTAAGGTCAGAGTTAAAGATTAAAAAGATACGACTTATAAAGAAAAGTCCTACCATTAAGACTAAATAAAAGACTAAATAAAATTAGAGAAAGTTAATCGAAAAATAAGTGAAAATGTTTGAAAGTTGTAGTGCGTGAAAATACAGGAATTCCAACTAAGCCCAACTATAAAGTCATCAGTCATGTCCAATGTATAGCAGTATATTGAATAAGTGACTAATGGATGCTGCGTTTGTATCCTTAAGCAAGACACCTTATACATATGCATTAGAGTGTTTGGTGTAGAACATTAATTTTGTATTACATGGATAGTTCAGAAATATGGTAACTATATGTGGCACCAAAAACTTAAAGGAATTGTATGAAAGATTTTGATTTTAAGTCTTATAAACATAATCTAACTGTCTCTAGATACGAGGTAAGCATTGTTCTAATCAAATTTAACTTTTTTCTGATAACAACTGTAATGCTGATGTATTCTTAGTAACCAAAAAACACCGGACATGATGACCATGTTGTTTTAATTTGGTGTTTTGGTTTTCAAGACCATTATCTAATCTGGAAGCATAGAATGAGCCTCACATGGGTCTCTCATTCGGGTTGCCATATTCAGTGCTCAAATTCAGCTGGTTTAAACCTAAAAGAACTCTGATCTTAATCCTGTTTACCTAAAGTCCAGCACTAGTCAGAGCTAGTACAGCCTCTGCAGCCCAGTGAGGGAATTCGGAGGTTCTGAGCTTTCACTTGAAGCTTGTTCATATGAGAAAAAAAAAAAATCTGTATCCTCAACGTAGGTTAGGGCATTTGCAGCTCTTGTTCAGTTGATTGTGGTACATATTTGTAGTGTATGAGAGCAGGCTACATACAGTTCCTTAAAACATATATGGCTTATTTATCTTAAAAAAAAGCAATCACTCCACAGAAATCTAGACTTTTACTGGAAGAGGAGTCGTGAAGTCCATAAAGACAATGAGAGGAGAAGTAATTTGTGAATATCAAAGTGTTTGTGTTACTCTGCAGAAATCCTTATCATATTTACTGATTTCCATTTCCCCTTGGGGCCACTGCATTATATTGTAATGAGAAACCAAATGAGGACGAGATTGTTCCTTACCCAGCGCTTTGTCCACACAGCCGATTTTACTGGGAGGACAGATATCCGCTGTTCCTGAGAGGAGGAGGGAGAGGTGAGAAAGACAGAAAAAGGATGAGAGAGAAAGGTGAGGGTGGGAGAATACGAAATGGAGGGAGAGAGCGAGAGCGAAGGATGGAGTGTGATATAAGGGGAGAGAGGTGGAGGAAAAAGAAGACATAGACGGTGGGAGAGATAGATAGGGAGAAAAAAATTCAGAGAAAGAGGGAGAGAAGAACAGAGAGCGGTAGAAAGAATGGCAAAGAGAGGGGTGAAAAAATTGGGAGGGAGAGAGGGAAGGAGGAAAGAAGGAAGAGAGACATAGAGAAAAGCAAGAATGAAAGACGGGCAAAGTGAGAGTGAGTGAGTGAATAAGAGAACAGAGAGAGTGAGAGAGAGAGTGAGAGAGAGAGTGAAAAAGACACAGAAAAAAGGAAAAAGAGGAACAGAGGAAGGTAGAAAGAAGGAAGAGAAAGAGAGAGAGAAAAGCAAGAATGAAAAATGGGCAGTGTGTGAGAGAGAGGGAAAGAGAGAGATACAGAGAAAGAATACCAAGGCAAGGATGGTGAGAGGAAAGATGTAAGAGAAAGAGTGAGAGAAAAGTGTAAATGAGAGATGGGCAAAGTGAGAGAGAGAGTGAGAGAGTGAAAAAGATACAGAAAAAAGTAAAGAGAGAAACAGAGGGGGATAGAAAGAATGGCAAGGCAAAGATAAGGTAAAAAAAACAGGTGGGAGAGAGTGAGGGAGGAAAGAAGGAAGAGAAAAAGAGAATGAGAAATGGACAGAGAGAAAGAGACAGAGAGAGTATGAGACAGAAAGCGTAGGGATTGTACATAAGAAGAGAGACGATGAGGAGGGAGTGATACAGAGGTTAGAGAAAAGAGAGGGAGGAGAAGAAGAGAAGAAAATGAGTTTGATCAATCAGAAACAAAATGATCAGCGACCCATGTCCTCTATACAACCCTCCCGTTTTTATCATCTGTCATCTGCACGCGTGACGCCACAGACGGCTCCTGTCTGCCTCTCCAAACTCCCTGATTGCGCCGAAGAAATAGAGCACCCCCCGTCACACACACACACACACCAGCCATATTTAGAGAAGTCTTTAAAAACCAATCAGAGCTGCACAGGTATTGATGACAGCTATTCAGATTCACACTATAATTAATTGGCAGTATATGTGTGTGTGCTGTGTCTGTCTGCTCGGGTAATGTTTTGTGGAAGTACCATTTCCCAGTCACTTAGAAATGTTAATTAAACCAAAGTGAAATGAGTTTGATAAGGAGCGCAGACAGGAGGCAGGCCGTGCCAATGATAGACCTGCCGAGTCATTTGAAAACACAACATTATTCTGTGTAAATAGAAATGCACTATTACCACTGCTTGATGGTTTGTTACAGATTGGGTTGATATTATTGGTCTGTTTGCTGTCTGTTAGCAATGGTACCATGAAGTATAATGGAATTTGATCACATTTTTAGATATATGGATCAAAAGAGCATTTTTACTATGAATCCTAAGTGTAACAGTAGGGTGTGAGGTCTGCAAGTTGCTTGTTTCCATGGAGATGTTACTTCTTTGCATGGGAATTTTTCATAGTATGGCATTAAACTTATGTATTTAGAAGAAGAGAAGGTGACCTCATCAGGCTGTGGAGAGGTGACCTCTCAAAGTACACTGATGCATGTTTTTCAAAGGATTTGTTTTTCAATAAAAACACCAATAATTGAATAAATAAGGTTTTACCATGCTGTGAAACATATGACAGTCCCTCCCACAAAAAGTTACATAGTGCATCTTTAACAAAAAAGTAAATAAATGTAACCTTATTATTATTATTTTTTTTATAAATAAATAAATAATAATATTTCTGTCAAATAGTATAATGTGATCTAACTACTCACAATTATTACTGTGTTATTAAAGTATTTTATAACTACAATATGACACGAGAGAATAGTTAGTCCATTATTTAATGTCCACTTTATTCTTCATGAACATTTCCATCTCCTGCTCAGAGACACTGAAGTGGCCCCATTCAACAGTCCAACACCAGGAACCAAAATAAACCCAAATGTGTTTTGAGGACTATGTGAAAAGCAAACGTCTCCAAAATGTTTTAAAATATTTACTAAAAGGAAAGGGATGGGAGGAAAGGGACACAGTTTTGCTTCTTCAGCTGTTATGTGAGGATTTTCTGAGTGCTTCCCAAACAGTTGCATTGTGGGCAGTGTAGTTCTTATGGGCTGGTTCTCAGAACATGTCTTTTGATAATCTTTTTTAAAATCTTTTTTCTGCAAAGTTATTTAAAAGAGAATTAATGCCCTGAACAAAGGCAGCTGGCTTCTTCCAGTCAGAGGGACAGTAAGTGATGCCTTTTCTGCTCCTATTTTGAGGTTTTTGTTGAAATCAACAAATCGGCACAAATCAGATATTGGCCAGGGAATATTAAACACTTTACAAATGGAAAACCTCACCAGAGGACACTTTTGCTTTTACATGCTAACTTTTACTGAAATGTTGAATCTAATACAACAACAAAATTTTATTTGTAGTAAGGACTACCCAGTTATTTGTAGGTGCAGATTATTTCAGCATTGACAGTGGAAATGACATCGCTTACCATCCCTCTGACCAGAAGTAGCCAGCTGCCATTGTGCACAGAGCCTATTATGAAAAGATGGAGAGGCTGGGGTGACACATGGTTTAGCTGCTGCTGAAAGATGGGATAGAGGAAGTTGGCTGCATGTTGCTGAAATGGAAGGATGAAAAAGGATGAGAAACTTATGAATTATGAATACTTGTAAAGTGACTGGATGAGAGTCCAAGGTAAGAAGCTGTGATTGGCTAACAGATGATAGAAGCTTCAGATGACAGTCTTCTATGTTAAATGTATGCTTCAGTTGCATGTAGTTTTTCAGGTGTGTTTTGATGAACCTGACCACTACTATGTGACCACTACGAGTATGTAATTACATTGTAGTAAGGGTTAAAATGGGGTCTAGAGTCTAGGTTACATGTTATTACAGGCTGTTACAAAGTATGTCACATTCACTTTACATTGATTTTAAACAGTGCATTACATGAAGATAGGAATAATGAAATATGTATTAAAATAAAATGTTAAAACTTTTGCTCTTGAGATTAATACAGCTCCCGTAAAGCAAAAAATAGTATATTGTTAACCATGTCCAAGGCGCCTGGCTTCACTCCTTGATACACTAGTGTCACATTCAGAAAGTAAAAAAGATTTTCAATTCTAACTTGGCCTGGAGCTCCCTTTGCGCTTTGAACCAACCGCTGCCTTCATTTCTGGAGAATTTTCAGTGCACTTAATTTGCAACAATAAAATCTATGCACTATTGATACGTGTTGGGACAACTATAGCCAGCTAGGTGGCACCTGACAGAAAGAGCTGAAGCCAGAGATGCCAGACTGTCTAGAAATGTTTTATCTCATTTGAAGTAATAAATATAATCTAATATCTGAAGTTAAATACAAGAGCAGAGGCCAAGGTCTCCATTCAGTCTCAAGATAGTCATCTAAAGAAATGACATTATGAATACATGGTTTAATGATCCTATAAAACCAGTATAAAGAACATATTTATGAAGAGATAATGCATTGTCTATAATTACAGATTCTACAGATAATGTGATCCCATTATGATACACCTCTGTTTGTTCTACCCTTAAATACAATCATTTTCTATTAAAATAAAGAAAAAAAACTTAGCTTTGTCCATAATATTACAAGTTCAACTTTATTTCTGCAGTTCTTAAGGTTATAATATAGGGCTGCCACTTTTAAGATTTTTAGAAAACAATAACTCATTTCGAGAATTGGAATGTTTTCCTGTGTCCATGAGATCGAGAAGCAAAACTTTTCTTTGGAAATTCTTCAATTCTTTGTTTTTTGGCAATCAAACCAGGAAAAAAAAAGGTGACAACTGATGATCCATGTAAATTGGCACCAGATTTTCCGTTATAAGGAACCAAATTCAATGATGAAATATGTTCTAATATTTCATTATAGAAGGTGTGTGTGGGAAACAGATACTTCACTTTAGGTAAATATTGACTTGTGCGAACACAGTCTCAGCAATGGTAAGTGTATTTATTCATATGACTCAGCAAAGTCGCTGCAAAAGGCTGTTTGGATAAAAGACCGTGATGAGTTTAGTCACGCATATCCTGGTTGAAGAAACATGAGCTGTCTTTTTCTGAAATGTCATGTGGTGTGAATGTTGTACCTTCTTCACTGTCTTCATGTTGTCATATATATGGCTGCCCAATTCACAGCTTTGTTCAGCGTGACTCCCATACCCCATACCTCATGTAGTTAGAATTGTCACCTCATCAAAAAAGTACATGGAATTGTGTTTTGTTGCATTCACACATTTGAGTAATATGTGTAATATATATCTCCAAAGGTCAAAATGTTCTGCTCCACCCTGTGATGTCATCTAACAGTAGTTTTCAAGTAAATAGCTACATTTTACCCTCAGGCAATCCCGATGCTAAAGTCATCCAAATGATTCTAGAGTTTAAAAACATGACCACGTGACATTACAAGGTGGAACAGAGTGTTTTCAGTTTGAAAGAAGAACTAAAATATGCAGAGTTTGTGTATTAAACATGTGTGAATGAAACAAAATGCAACTCCAGAGATGTTTTTGATCAGGAAACAACATTATAACAGCTCAGAAAATAGCGCAATATGGGCCCTTAGATAAATTTACAATGTTAAGGTGGCTATGTGGAGGAGGTTTGATAAATTGTCTAATTAGACCTGCTGACCTGTCAATCCAGAACAATGGATTCTGACAGTTTGACTAGGAAATTTAAGCAAGCTTAGTTTTGTTATTGTAAGTGAAGATATATATTGCACTAATAATATTAGTGCAATATAGCTGATAAGAGATATATTGCATTAATATTGTTATAGCAGTATATCATGTCAAAATCAGATAAGATTCTGTATTGTTGCAAACCCTCCCACTGACAAATTATTCTAGCTTTGGGCTAAGAGTGAGAGCACTGACTTGTGACAACAGGTTGCTGGCTCATGACACATTTAATTTAACTCTAACAAATTGCCTTTACATAAACAATAACATTGAACTGTGCCCACTACAATAGCAGGGTTTAAATGCTGACGGATTATAAGACATGAGTAATCTATGCAGCTCTATAGGATTACACAGAAACTAGCTTCATCATTAGGGGAGATTTGCATGATGTTTGTTGCTCCAATTAGATGTTGTTTATCGATTGGTTTAATCAATTGTGCTTAATAAGGCGGCAAATGTCAGTGACAGCGCAGTGACGAACAGCAGAGTCAAACAATGATTTAACTGGGCCCAAAACAGCAATGAGTGAGCCTTCTTTATCTGTTCTGATTGATCCAGTATAGTCCTGTTTTTGACATGTGGTTGAGTCAATATTAGTTCTACTTTGACCTGGGCAAATCCTAGGTTAGATTTATTTCTGGTTTAGATCTTGTTTAACCAAAGTTTAAAGGGCCCATAGTATGCTAATTTCTTACTGTTTTATTGGTTTAGTCATTGATTGAACCAATTTTTGCCCTGTCCTGGTTTACAGTAGTTAGACCCATTAGCTTTATTCTTAATGGGTAATGCCATAACTCTGCTGATGATTTAGTTCTACTTTGTGCCTTGTTTAGTTTTTGCTTAGTCCTGGTTTAGTTTTGGTTTGTTTCTGGTCTAGTCCTGGTTTAGTCCTGTTTTTTCTGCTTTAGTTTCTAGTTCTACTAGAGTCCTTGTTAAAATCTCTGTGCTGTGACCTTAAATTTGAGTCTAGACGTGTTTGTGCCAGACTGATGTGACATAGAGGAAAGCGCTGAAGGAGGGACCATTGAAGGTGTCCTCCAGAAATGAACACACATTCACCTGACGGGACATTAGTCTATTTGTCTCTATGTCTTTGGAACTGCACATTCTCTGTTATTTTCAATAGCCTTGTGTAAAAGAGCAATTTTGATAAAATTTTATTTCTATGGATATTTCACAGACACACACAATCTAAAATCACCTTTAAAACTTTGAGAAGAGACTTTTAATTTATTCTGCAGTCTACATTAAAAGTATTATTGCAAGTATTATGTATTATTTGTGGTAAAATTCATGAAACTTTTAATTAACTGTCATCACCTAATCTATAGTACAAAAAGTAAAATATATTTTAACTTCAGCTGTTTCTATTCCATTACAATTTACTAAATGTACTGTTGTCACTACGTGTCGGATCCACTGTGTATGTGAACGCAGAGCAACAGCAAGACAAACATGGAGTTCACGAGCCAAGAAACTGAGTGTCTTGCTCCTTTAATACAGTTTTCTAGACTTTTCTAGACAACTTACAATTCTGTACAACTGTGGCGTGAAAAGCTTGAGTGAAACTGGAAAACAAACATAAATAAAATGTACATTAGCTTTGTAATACAAAAACAAAAATGCATCAGAAAATAGCTTGCACCACAAACTGCTACTTTAACAAGTTATTACATTTTCGAGATCTTTTCATTTGCTCATTAGGTCATTAATACGACCTAATTCATGGGCTAGGTCTAATTCCTGGTAATAACATGTACAAAATGATCTCTACAACAGAGTTTATAAAACTTATTTAAGTCACCAAACACATATTGAACTTACAGCCATTGCTTTCATAAGTGTAGATAAGATTTAAAACAGAGGAAGAGCATGCTTTGCCGTTAATCATCTGACCAAGCCCTGGGGTCTCAGAATAGTTGCCCATTCAAGTCAATGGGCAGAGCTCAATGGCGCATGACTCCAGATTAGCCTTTAGCCCGGTGAGGCATTTCCGGTGGCTCTGGGCCGATTGAGCATGTTCAGTAGTTCTCGTTTCTCCCACGGAGCAAGCAATTATAAAGCGTTTTTTAAGACAACTGAAGGATTTTGAGCTGAGAAAAAGTTTATGGTATAAAAATAGGTAAAAAAATCGCCACAAATCTTACATTTTTGAAAGTTATAGGTGCCTTGTCAGCCGAACACAAGCAATTTGTGATTACATTGTGCTGTATGAGAGAAATTCTTTCTCGGTCCAAGGGATTTTTCCCACTGTAGTACCAGTGAGTGCCCGCTACATCAAATGGAGGCAGCTACAAGCTAGCAATAACCTATCCAGTTATTTTAATAGATCCATGCATCTGACTGAATTCTGCTTCTGTTACCCATAATGCATTGTGACCACTTCCTGGAGCCTTCAAAATAAGCAAGTAAACCCAGAGGGCATAGGTGCATAGTGATGATTTTGAACAAAATGGCAAGTTTTACCATGAAATAATAACAGATGAATTATGACATATTATTACTAAATAATCATGAAAATTTTCAACCTTTTACTGAAACACACTTTTTTACTGTGGACAGAACACTAAACATTGTGAATTAAAAAAAAAAAATGTTCAAGGGGTGAGTGGTATATTTTAACCCGTACAAGACAAAAAAGCAAAAAGAAAGAAAATTACAAAGCCAGAAATCCATAACAGCATCAAAACCGTTCCCCTCCTTTGTCACCTCCAGCGTGTTTATCAGGAGGGGGGGCAGATGACACTTTGTCCCAGACTTTGGCCCTCTCGCACTGGGCTCAGATTGGACGTTGGCTCCTCTCGACCTTGGTGCTTCATATCAGAGTGTGCTTCTGTAATGCTGTGCTGGATAATCTGTGTCCAGTGGCTCTTCAAGACCCCAATCAGCTCAGCACTTTCATCTCTTCTGCCTATCTCAGAACTGCGTGACTATTAATAACTATTTTTTATATTACTGACACTGATCAAGGGAACTTGTTTGTTGGAACAAATTGACAATTACAGCTACACAGACCAAACCTGTGATTCCAATGCACTTTATTCTCTTTAAAAGGTATAATCAGCTCTGATAAGTGTTTATCCATTTAACACGTGTTTGCTTTTCAAGAATTTCAGTGTATTCTGATTGATGTATACATGTTTGAATGATACTGCAAGAGTCTGCATTAGGCAGGGCCTTATTGGGAATAAGCACCATGCGGTAGTTAGACAGGGCCTTACAAGGCTTGTGCACCACACAACAGATAGACAGGGTCTTACAGTTAGACAGGGCCATAGACAGGACCTTAGACAGGGCCTTACCGGGCATGTGCACCATGCGGCAGTTGCAGACGCGGATGACCTCGTTGGTCTCACACAGCAGGCGGCAGGCGCTGATGCTGTACGTGTCGTATCCAGGGAACTTCTCTTTGCTGCTAGAGCGGCAGTTCCCCCAGGGCTGGGGCAGATAGGTCAGCTGAAACCAAACACAGATTTATGAGGCCTGGAGGTAAGCCAGAGCAGGGCTTCTCAAAATGTGGAGTGTGTAAAGTGGCACTAAAGAGGCTGCTAAGGAGTACAGTTTATTAGCTCTCATACTGATTTCTTTCTGGTCCTGGTCATATTCTAGTGGAGAGAATTTTTAGTCAGTCCTAAATAGTTTTGATGTAATTCTCTGGTGCATTTTTGATACAATTAGAAAGATGAATTTATAATTTTGTTTTTGACCTGATCCTTAGACCTGATCCTTAGAAATCAATATAAATAGTTTACTAGAGATTAGATAAATATAGTGCTCCACTATATTTGTGAATGCAGAAATGTACAACAGTATTTTATAACTGTAATAAAGAGACGTGAGACACTAAGTCCAGGGGTGCTGTATGTCTTCAGCACAAGGTGTATGGTAGTCAATCTGGCCATAACATTTTCACAAGTACTTCAAAACTGGAAAACACAAACTCAGGAGGAAGTGTTGTGCAAAAAATAAAACACATATATTAAATGTACTTTTGAGTTGTTATGACAGTTGATATGTTATTAGACCTTAATCTGCTCTAAATTTAGTATTTTTTATTCCGTGTTAAAAGTATCAAGTAGAGGCTGTACTTGAAAACCAAGATCAAGCAAGACATTACTTTCTTTGGTTGTTCTTGCTGTGAAAGATTTAAGAACCACTGTACTCAGCAATGAACTATCTATAGTTAGAACAAAAGAAGCATTGTCCAAAGACGAGTAATGGATGAGACAGAAGTTACCCTCTGCTCCTGACAGGACACAAAGGTCTGGAAGCCCGGGGAGACTCCGAAGCCCAGCTGGTGGATGTAAGGGGGCTCGTCCTGACTATGGATCTGCACCCGGATCCCAGCCTCCAGAGAAGTCTCATCTGCAGCACAAACACAGGGGTTACCCAGGCAACCACACAGGGACTAACTGACAGCTTGGCCTGAGTTTAGAGCTAAAAACACCAAACCACCTTTCAGTCATGTTTGAAAATCAAGCCAGTGGGGAGTGAACAGTGGTGAAACAACATGCCCATCTTAAAGGCACACTGTGCAACTTTTGTGGCTGACGGTTCCTTAATCAGCCATTCTTGCTTTGCCTGGAATGTTCCACAGCGTGGGACTAGTACTTATCTATCAATCTTGTATTTTTCCAATTTAAGTTGGTTTTGTTGCTAAAATACCAAAAAAACTGAAATAAGCAGGTAGTGGACCACTGGGGTCTACATGGAAAGTTACATAGTGCACCTTTAAAACTGATTTGTGTTAAAAATAATTAGTGGCGCAGAGGAGTGGTAAATTTCACTTGAATTTGTACCCTCAGTGCATACATGTGGCCTAACGAAACAATGTGGTTGCAAATGCCAATGGCGCAGGTTGGCAGCCATGCCCTTGTCAGTCAGTCCCTCAACACTACCACTTACCACCACCTACAGTGTGAGAAATGAATGAAGATGTGACTTTGAGTTTCCAAAAAGCTCCCAAAAACCAATGCACCTTCATTGCACCGGGCATCAGTTGCATATCGGGTTACATGTTCAGCAGGTGATTATTAAATAAAAAACATAACATACAAGATTAAGATGGAGTCAACATTATGATAGCTTGGCATTTATTTGACATGAATTATATTTCCATTCAAAAAAATGCGATTGAAAATAAGAATTAATTGTACAGGTGTTTAATGGTAAGGGGAAGAGCACCCAGAGAAACCATCAAAAACCTTCTTGTTTTAAGGCAATGGTGCATTTGCCATAGTGTGATAGCATGCTCATGTTGTTTTTGACATAAAGTTACGCCACACTTCTGTCAAAAAATATGTCAGTGAAAATCAGACATGAGAGTTTGTTTTTGCTCCTGTACAAATCATATTTCCAGAAATGTAATGTAAAAACATAGCAAGCTGAATTTCTATTTTGAGCAATACGGAAAGCGCATGACAGGACAACACTGAACAAATATGCCGTAGCTTACTAGTTTCCCTCCAGATGGGCAGATACTCATCTTGCTGTATATCCAACATGATCTCGAGTCCGTTCCCCATCCCGCCTTGCTTGGTCTTCCTCAGCGCGGTCTTGTTGCCATTAAAAGTGTAGCATTTTCCATATCGCGTGTACACCTAGAAAGAAGACAGCATAGATTCATATCAGGACCATAATCATAAAAAACATGACAACTCCACAGTCACGCACATATGCAGTCTGTGACAGGTCGGTGAAATGAAAACATAGATAGAAAGTGGAGAATAAATAAACAAGCTGAGAAAGTAAGGGACTGAGTATTACCCACAAGCCCTTGGGTGTAGCGTGCTAGCCTCCGTGTCCCCAGTGCACTTTGATAAGGGGAATGTGAATGTATTCCTCGACAGGCTATGCACAATGAAGCTACGCAGAACAACCAGACATCAAGAGAAGCTTTATCTCATTTCAAAAGAAAACAAAACGCAATAATAAAAGATCCTTGCTGAATAAATGAACTATCAAGTGTCTCTATGGGGAGACATCATATACAGTGCTGTGCAAAAATCTATAACATGGCATCCACAATATTGATACTTCACAGCTGATGTCATCAACATTCCCTGGGGGTGTAAAGCTAACTGAGCACACTGCTCTGTCTGAAGCACTGTTACTCAAGTTAGACGTTAATCTGAGCTTGTTTTAACACAATCTGACCAGACAAAACTGACTTGGTTGGAACTACAACAGGAGCTGACATGTGCTGTTAAACAAGTCTTTCTCAGATAACATTACAGTCACTCTCACCTTTTTTCTCTTGTATTGATTTGTATTATTATAAAACATTTTTGACTGTGTTTGCTAATGTGTGCATTGTGTCTCCATTGTAACTGCTCAACATTTAACTATATAGACATACATGTAGAACACCCCCTGCGTGATGTTGAAGTAGCAAGAGATAAATAATACCCAACAAAATCTTCAGTACAGCGGTATATGCTTAGGCTATTGTAGGCCTACATTCAGATAATTTCACCAGTACCCAAAACCCAATATTTCTCAAATTATGGTGGATTTCAGTGTCTTTTTTAATAAATAAATAAATATTATTACAACTAGCCATCATATTAAGATTCATATACAACATAAGGGACACAATTGTACAGGTGTAGGGGAAACCAGGGCACAATAATATGTTTAAAGCCATGCTGTTCCATACAAAGCAATAACATCAACAGGAAGAAAAACATGTGGTATACACCCCCCAGAAAAGTGACATTGTACACTTTTAAATCTTGCTGCAATCATCTCACAAGCAATTAATCTTCATCTCATAAGCAATTAATCTGCTATCTCCAATCAGACAAAATCCACACCCATGGTCTGTATACAAAGACATCATCACTGCAAATGGATTGAGTCATGGAAGGAATCTGTTAAAGAAACCACTCTGTAAATTGTTCTTATATTAAATATTTGTTGTTCATGACAGTGGAATGTGATGGTTGCCTATTATGACCCTCTAATGTCTTATCTCTTATCTAAATATCACACCCTTTCACTCCAGTCAGAGTAAAACAGAAGAAAAGACTGCACCACCCTGGTTATAAACTCCCAAATATTTGTAGTTACAATATGAGCAGACTCTCATTGAAACTGGTGCATTTGAACCTTGCATAAACATGTACGACACACGCCCATATCAAAGTTTACTGGCGGCATAAAACACAGCTGTCCTTGAAGGCACCACCGTGTAAACAGCCCTGGTCTCCGCTGTAATCACTGTTGTGGATACAGTGGTATTGTCCATAGAGGGACTTTGATTTGGCCGGATCCTCCCTGTGGTCACTAAACTTGCTGCAATGTCCCCTGTATTTAAATACCACAGCTCTCATTAAGTGGATCCAGGCCATATCAGTTAGAATGGGATGTTTTTGTGTGTTTCCCTGGGCTAGTCTTAGTGTCTATTATGGTGAAATGGGCACTCTTTCCTATAAATGTTTTTGGTAACAGGATAATTTACTACTAACACAGCAAAAACAATTGTTATGTGATTATCACTATTTAAATGTAGCGCAGTGTGGTTGAATCTGGCTTCACATAATGAGATGGATAATACTATCCTGTCACGAACAAAAACAAAGTATAAAAAAGCAGATGGTGTTTCCTTCAAAAAAAGGTTACAAGTCAGGTCTGTGGAGAGACAAGACCCCTCACAGCAAGGGTGCAATGTCAATGTCTGTCTCTATAGAAGTAAATGTCTTTTTGGCTGAAATGCTATGGAGTGGGGGTTTAATGGCAAATTAAATTGTACTTTTCAGCACTGAAAAGATACTCTATACAATTTCATGCATTCATTCACTCTCTTCACAATCTATTAATATATTGCTGGGTTTCAGATGACATCACAACATTCTACAGGCCAACAATATGTAATACAGATGGGGCAGCTAGAATTAATATTGTTAAAATGCAGATTTTTGTTGTAATACAGTGATTTAAAGGGCCCATATTACTCTACTTACTGTTCTCTGTTATAATGTTGTTTCCTCATCAGAAACATATCCAGTGTTTTATTTCATTCACACATGTTTAATAGGGCTGGGTATCATTAAGAAGTTGCCGATTCGATGCGTACCTTCATACATAGGCCACGTTACGATACATATCTCGATATACTACACTTTTGATTCAATACGGTATTTCAAATAAATTCAATAAGGTTCAATTAAAAATAATGGCTAAATCATGGCTGTGATACTAAAATTCTTTGTTAAACCGCTTCTTACCATTTAGTTAATATGAAACACACCCATTTTACTCATCAAAAAAGTGAAAATGTCACATGTGTTGCATAAACAAGTCTCTTTCCTCTAAACAAGCAACAAAACTGTAGCACTGTAACTAAATAATTTAGTAAAATGTACCAAAAAATACTCAATATATCAATACAGCTATCCCGATATCAATAATGTAACATCACATTAAACGATACGATATATTGATACTTCAATATTTTTGCACACCCCTAATGTTTAAGACATGCATATTTATGCTGAACATGTGTTCCACCTTGTGATGTCATGTGATAATACAGGAATTGCTCCACTGTGTTTTAAAACTCCATACATTTTCACTACATCCATTTGGATAATTTCAGCCCCTGAATTGCCCGTCTCTACTAAACAAAAGGTAAAAGGTGGAACAAAGCTATGAAGATGTAGACAGACTAAAAAAACAGAATAACACGTCTAAATGAAACAAAAAACTTTGGTATGTTTTTGAGGCGGTTACAACAGTCTAAAATGACTTAAAGCTCAAAGGAGTTAATTTAGTGTAATTGGGACTGTAAACATACTTAATACATAATTTACAGATAAGTATAATGTAATGAATAGGGTCTCTTGCCATCCATCTGGGAGTATGACACCGTCACTAGTTTAGAATCTGATGTCCAATATTTGTACTATCCAACTCTATTATACAAGCAGCTCATTCAAGTTCACTGCTCTAGTTTTGATGAGGTACAAAGGGTCACTATTGCATGAAATCAGTACTTTTGCTTCTGCTTGTGCCTGCATGCAGTATCTGTAGCTGGTGATTAGAAAATGGGGGGCACTGAGGTGGTTAAAAGGCCAGTGGAAAACTAAGGTATCCAGGTGTGACTTGTGATTGACGTGCTATTTGGGATGAAATAGTTTAATCTGTATTTGGGGATGAGAGGAGCAGAGTCAGGGGTAAGGCACTTATCATTGATCCATCCCACTTCCTGACAGTGAAACCTGCACAGGGCCTGCTTTATCTGACGAGACTGACAACAGCAGGAAAGGAAGAGGAAGAAGAGAGGATTTCACACATAAGACCATGGACTAAACCAGGACTGAGTCTGAGCTGGACAATTTCACAAGTCTTGAGCAGGGCTGGACCAGGACACTGTCACATAGGGCCAAATCAGTAGTGGTTGTAAAATGTTTGTATACTCAGTCCAGTGATATGCCACGTCCTATTCCATGCTAACAAAGAATCTAAAAGTATACAGAACTGGCTATTAAACCAAATAATAATTCCTTGATGACATTGCAGTACTCCTTCACACATTGCAAAACTGTTTTTATGTTTTCAATTCATTTATTTAGCAAATAATAACATAAACAGGCTTGAATGCTGTTGTAGCCCTGACCTAATCATAGCCATCACAATATCTGAACAGTGTTATGTAGTGTTACTTTTTCTGCTTTTACACTTTCAGCACAAGATGTCACCTTTTTTCTATGTGGTTTGCTACATTTTACTAGTAAGAAAACCTTATTTATGGCTGAAATCAATTTAAAGTATCAGAATAAAAGTGTCGAACTTTTGGATAGAATTCTCCCTAGTGTGAGGTTATCAATGTGTTTTATATCTTCCTATAATTTTCAACATATTTTTCAACCTTTCTTGGCAAACTGCTTTTTGATTGGTGTAAAAGCTATAATTTATATTTACAACAGGTATTATTCCACCAAATTAAGCAAAACTTAGTGAATCATAAAAATCTGTAATACGCACTTTAACTTATGAGTCTATGTCTGTCTATGGTCATAATACAATGGCTGATTCATCATTTTCTTTTCTAAACTTTATTTTCAAGTTGAGACATTGCAGAGTTCATAAATTGCTGTTACACTAAATAAATCTGTTTTATTTCTCAACAATTGTCCTTATCGGTCAGTCCTACCAATGATTTCAATGTATACTCTGAGTACTTTCGTTTTGTCAGCTTTCCCATCAAATTGAGTGAGTTAACAGAATGACTTGAGCGATTCCCAAATGGGGGACTTGGCTTGTGCGCTGACAAGCTGAAACAGTGCAGCTACAGGGCAACACAGACAGACTGAAAAGCGCATTTGTGCCGTACACACCAGCTAATTATCTTAGCTCTTTACACTGCTTTGTCCCTCTTTGTTGACATTACGACAGAGTTTACAGTTCAATTTGGCTGTTACAATGTGGGTGGGGACGTGAACGATGCCAAAATGTGCTTCTGTTTTGTATTAGTTTGACATATTACAAGAAACAACTTAATCCGAAATGACATCAGTGTTGTTTAAGGAGGAGAGAGAGAGTGGAGAGGAGGTCTGTTGGCTGGGAGCAATAGGAACAGATAATATATGTAAAGTGA